AGATGTGAATGTGTAATTTAACATTTTCAGTAAGGATAACGGACAAAAGGAGTGCAAATACAATTTATTGAAATGTGAACTAAAAGTTATCAAGCATGAACCATCACCATTTTAAAAAAAAACAAAAAAAAACGAAATAATATACATAAGTTACACTAAATGTTAATCTGTTAATTGACAGGCTAGGCCTGTGCAGGTGGTAACAGCTATGCCCAGCATGGGCTAAGTTCTGTAGGTGCAGCTGGTGTAAGTCCTCCTCCATCAGGTCTGCAGGGTCTTTCCCTGCGAGGAGGACTCCTCGCAGGGAAAGACCCTCAGCCCTCTCCGGCCAAAGCAACAGACAGGACGTTCATGAAGCTGAGGTCTCCCCCAAAGTCTCTAATCATCCATCCTGTGAATATGAGAGGGGAACAAATAGTGTAATAGATGCTTTGGACAATAAGAAATATAAAGTTAACTGTTGAGTTGCTCAGTTTTTTAGATTGACAGGGTTTAATAACACAAACAAAAGGAGAGAAATAAAGATTGGTCTTTCAATACATTGTGTTGATTTTGTCTTTTGAATTGTTTGTCTGAAGTCAAGTAGCTAGAACTGTTACTTATAGTTTGAATGATACAGTCTGGTTATAATGTGTGGAGGAGGCATCACAGGTAAGAGCACCATTTGTTGTGTTCCATCCACAACACATTGATGTGTGTGTATTTATTTATCTACTATTTCTTGAATCATTACTGTCAGTCCAAAACAAGAGATTTTGTTTTGGTAACATTTAAAAAAAACAAACATTATCTCTTTCACTACACTATCTTGAATACTTTAGTTTTTACGTCACTACATTTATCTAACAGCTTTAACATTGTAAAGGTGTCACTTCGGACTCTGGGTAATTATGACAGCATGTCCTACTCAGAGCCCTAGAGTCTCTCGGGCTCTGGTCCTACTATTTTGAGACTTTGAACAAACCAGACCTTCATCTATTAATGTAGAAAATAGTCGGCACATTACACCATTATGAAAGTAATCATTAGTTAGCTCATTGTTCAAATGAGCTCCAACTACAACAGTTAAGTCAACTCGTGCATCGGTAATAACAATAAATCAAATGATATAATAGAATAACTTGTGTCTACTTTAAATACTCTAACAACACTTGTTGCTAATTATACTAGCATACTTTTACTAAAGTAACATTAACATGTTTAAATGCAGGGCTTTTGTAAGAGAGTATTTCGTATAGTGTAGCATGGTCTACTTGACTTATCTAACCGAAGTGATCGTTACGTTACTTTGCAAACCGTCACCCCCCCCCCCCACACACAAAAGGACACGGTAACGTTGTGATTCACTTCAATTAATGATAACTACGGAGCTTGCTAACAGCAAGGCACAAGGCTACTTCACTCATTTAGCTAATGTAAGATACAAATGCTGTCGAGCCCTCACTGCTTGTAAGATAAAGAGCACAAACTGACTACTTACCCGAGCGGCGAGCCCCGCTGTTCTCCGTCATTTTTCTCCCGGGTTGTTGTGATCACATGACTGACAAAGCCGTGCTCTGATAGGCCAAGTCAGTTTGATTGCATTAGGGCTCGATTGCTTATCCTGTCTGAGTAGCCCGGATGATGCTGCAACGCAATTTTTGACATCGAATTTTATACACCGAATTTTTTGACATCGAATTTTTTGACGTCGAATTTTTGGGATCTGAATTTGAACATTCGAATTTTTTTCACTTGAATTTTTGGGATCTGAATTTGAACATTCGAATTTTTTTCACTTGAATTTTTACATTTTTATTTCACATAGGTAAATTCGGAGCAAAAACATTCAGATACATGATTTTCAAAGTAATTATTTTCAATGCTATAAATTCGGTGTCTAATACAATTCGAATACTTCTGTCTCTTGTTTGCTTCCATACTACCTTACATTACACAGTTGATCCGGAGTCCTGTCAGTTAAAGTGTTTCATAGTTAGCTTAGCTAAGCATCAACCTAGCACTGAAATATATGGATGTTATGTGACGGTATTTCTGAGGAAAAGTCAGCTGAAATGGTGGCATAGTTGCCACTGCTTTACGTGTCAACAGCATGTTTGAACGTATTTGCAGCAGTAAATGTGGCTGTTTGGCCACTGACGTTGCCATAACAACACCTGAATTTAAATGTGCAACCTCTTTTTGTGACAGATTTTTGCATGAAATTATAATTCTTCTGATTGATATTCCTATTGACAGCTAGTTTCTATGTGTACATTATGAGATGGACAGCCAGCTAACAAGCTTTCAGATCAAAGCTAATCCAGTGGGGCTCCTGAAAGGGGCAAGGGACACTATGCTCCCAAATATTAAGCCTTGACCCCCATCTTAAAATTGATATGATCACAAAATGATCTGCATTGTCAGAGGCCTTTTTTCCTCATTATCATGTCAAATTGTACAGCTTTCCTTAGTTTTGAATGCAGAAAGATGACTATATTAGAGTATTAAGTGAAAATGACTATATTAAAGTATGAAGTGAATATATTAAGTGAATTACTCAAACTGCATTTGTATAGGAATGATTATGTCCTATTGGCAGATAACTACTCTAACAGTGATATCTACAAGAGATGTACATTTAACTATTTTCAATTGGTTAGTATTACATTTTGTGACAGTGTGGTGACACTCATTTTAATGAAGACAAATTTGTGTATCTTGAAATTCATTTATTTGACAGAGCTGGAAACTGATTGACTTACATACTTGTTTGTGTTACCTACACAGTCATCACAGATGAGCCAAACAGAGTAGAGGATGAAGAAAGGAGAACAGGAGAAAGGGACACACAAGAAGGAGAAACAATAGACAAGAACGACAATGGAGACAACAATGAACAGGAACACCAGAACAGACAAGAGTCAATGGGTAACATGACTGATTTAGGGACTGCAGATACAGGGCCAAGGCAAGTGAGACATCACGGCTTTCCATCCAGCATGTTTGGCCAGCAAAAGAGACCATTTCAACCGCAAACAGCAAGTGATGAGGGATTATTATTTCCTCCTTCCATCCCTTTTTTCTGTTTAATCTGATTACTAACAACTTCGAATAATTTGACATAGTTTATGATTTAATTGGAAAATAAAGTGTTTTTAAATAATAAACCCGATTCTGATTCTTTGATTTTTGTTGACATATGGGTGTTGAGAGATGTATCCATATCTCTTAATGTTGCTCTCAAAGTGCACAAGATTGATGCTTTTAACTTCAACATTTAAAAAAATTCTTCCTGGGGGACCCCAGAGGAGGTGAGTTCCCTCAAAATAGCACTTTATCTCTGCTTATGTAACTCCGGTGTAGTGTTCCCTCGGCAACAGATCACTCAGAGCTGGTGATTACTTTCCTGCATTTCAATGGACAGCATAAAAGGACACGTGAGCTGGGTTCTGGTGCTCAGATTAGCTATTGATGATCACGTTGATAAATCATATAAAACCAATCACACAAAAACATGTTGCTGTGACTGTGAGCATTAAACAATTAACATTAAACTAAACAAACACAACAGTACGTTATTGTCCTTATAAAATAAAAACATACATTTTGTCCACCGAGATAATACAGGCACCTCAGAGTCCTGCACGGGTCTGATTTTCAAGACCCGCTCCCGCCCCGCACCCGCGACGTGCAATACCGAACCCGCCCCGCTACCCGCACATATTGCCAATTAGTTCCGCAACCCGACCCGACCCGTCGGCACAAGATCCGCAACCCGACCCGAACCCGCATAGCCTATGAGCAGTGAAAACGTGCAATTATTAACACACGCAGTTTCATATTTGTCTCAGAAAGCGTGGGATGTTGGTTATTTTCTCCATCTAGGATGACACCAGAAGCCTCCCAGACGTTGGATTTCGCTCTTGAAGAAGTGTTATTGTAAATGCTGTATTCTCCGCTAGAGAGCTTCACCTCAGCCATTTCGAATGTGGCGCGCACAGCAGCAGATTGCTGCGCTGCAGAGGTTATGATTATGCGCGGTCCCGCGGGGGAGAGGTCTGAGGATTTTAAACATTAAACTAATTTATTATTATTTTAATATATTTATTATGCAATACCCGCGACCCGACCCGCATCATCTTTGTTTTACCCAGAACCGAACCCGGAAAAAAGCGTTTGAAAAAATACCACCCGCGAATCACCTTTTTTGCGGGTCACCCGTCGGGTACCCGCGGGTACCCGACCCGATGCAGGACTCTGCACACCGTTACCCTCAAGAAATCCTCACGTGCTATGAGAATCTCCCACAATCCATTGCCGTAACAAAGCTAATGCAGACACACGTTTGTGACAAATAGTAATTGTGAATAGCTCAAAATAAGATCTGTGGGAAACGTGGCTACCTGTTAGATACTGTAAATGCACGTTTTGTTCAGCAGGATAATATCCACATGTCTACCCTACTTTTATAATTTTTGAATCATAAATCTATCGATTAGATTTATGATAGACTTTTGAAACTACAAGAAGATAAGGAGGACTTTTACAAAAAAGTAATAGAGATTTTTGTCCAGAAGGATAGGCAAATGGACTTCATCTTCAAGTTAAGGTAAGACCGCAATTTTATTGAAAATGGGATCTTACTAAGAGAGAACAATTCAATATTTAAATGATAAAATTAAATGTTTTGGGTATCCTTCTGTTGAACTCTCTGTTTAAAATTAATCGAAGCATCAGACAAAAAAAGCTTTTGAAAATAATATTATATTTTGATTTAGGTCAAAATATAATATTTGTAAACCTGAAGAGTCAGTGCCAGTGCCTCACCAGCCTCACTGCAGAAGCTTATATAGACATCTAAATTGTTTGTGCCCCACCACTTTTGTACATATAGAAACGCCACTGCACACATGTAATGTAGTTCCCGTTTCCCCCGGTATTCAGCTAATCAGGAAAGGTTTCGCTCAACACTCACTCACTCACTCACTCACTCACTCACTCACTCACTCACTCACTCACTCACTCACTCACTCACTCACTCAGGTTGCTTGGGACTTTCCCCTCCCTCCGCCATAAGACTGATTTCCTTTTTGCCCAACAACTTCAGGAAGATCAGCGTCTCCAGTCTACTCTGCAGTCATTTCAACTTTCTGACGGTGTTTACACAGCCATGCCGTCAGTAAACCGGCTGTATGTGTTTCTTTTGTTTACCGTGGCTTCGACCTTCGCCTCTGCTGACAGTAAGTAGTCCGTGTTTATGTGAAATCTCGGGTAGTTTTTGAAGGATTTAATGGCTTAACTACAACAGGTAGTGGTTAACTGTAAGCACGCATGGACGTTTGTATACATTGTTCTCGCGATGTGACCACTTGAGTTGAATTTGTTTTTCTTACCTATTCTTACACATAGTTAACAGGGTAATCCCCAGATTTACAAGGCTTCTGCCACTGAAATGTTTAAGCTTTAATTTTAATTTTCGTTTAATTCATTAATCTTATTAATTGAAAACAAAGAAGAAGAAATTCAGAAATGCATGGGGAGGATATTTTAAGTGAATGTGACATGTAGCCTTGTGACCCCTTTGTAGGAAAAGCAATACACAGTGTTGATGCACCAATATACTATCATACAAGTAATATAGGCCAGCTCAACCCAAAAAATAAATATCAATATTAGTCAATTGTCAGATATACTCAACATAGGACCTCATCTTCAACTGTATTGTTCTTTTTCAGCTGACATGACTGTTGTGTAGACATTTTGTTGTCTCCTCAGCAGAGATGGCAAAAGCACACACATCCTTTACTCAAGTAGAAGTACAGATACTCATGTTTAAAAATACTCTGGTAAAAGTAGAAGTACTGACTACACTTCTTTACTCAACTAAAAGTAAAGAAGTATGGGCTTCGAAAAGTACTTCAGTAAAAAGTACTCATAACTAGCAGCTGTTTTAAAGAGTACCTGACCTCCCTTTATATTAATAGAACAATAATGTCATTGTTAGCAAATTAATGTTTCCATGCTGAACAACGGCAACATGACAACGTTTCCATTGGTCCCTCTTCTTTAGAGAAGACCAGGAAATGATGGATACACGGATCGTGTTCAAATCAATAGGCACGCAATGACTCTAAATAATAATGATCACGCCACCAAACACACATTCAGACTAAAGGAACCAGCTGTTTGGGAAATGTGAGAAGTAGAAAGTACAGGTATTTGTGTTCAACATGTAAGAAGTAGAAAGTACAGGTATTTGTGTTCAACATGTAAGAAGTAGAAAGTACAGGTATTTGTGTTCAAAATGTAAGAAGTCAAAGTAAAAAGTTGTCAGAAAAATAAGTAGTGGAGTAAAGTGCTGATACCAGAAAAATGTACTTAAGTGCAGTAACGAAGTATTTGTACTCCACTACTTCCCACCTCTGCTTCTCAGTGCTAAAGTTGTGTGATTTCTTCTCAGAGATGACAGCAGCCACGGTGTACTGGGACCCCGAACACAAGATGGTCTTGCTGAAGGAGGGGGTGCTGGAGACCGAGGGGGGTGCGTACGGGTATCTGAATGACACCCTGTCCACCTCAGGCTGGAGCATCCTGGAGATCCGTGCCGGGTACGGGAAGACCCCTGAAACCGATGAGGTGACCTTCTTCCTGGCCGGCTACCTGGAGGGCTACCTGACGGCCCAGTGAGTCTCTATGTGCTGTCTTGTTGCCCTCTGTGGGGGAAATTCTTAAGAGGAACTGATAAATGATTCATCATGGACAAAGTTTGTCTTTTGTTATATTTAATAAAGTAATAAAGAAAGTCAATATACAAGTGAAATCGATCCCAAATGTAGGAACAGAGCTACTTCCTCCTCAGAGGATAGAGAAGTTCTGCTCCCCGAACACAGCTTACAGTCTCACTATATAGGAGAGAAAAGCCAACTGGTCCCACACTTAAAGTCCCTTAGGCATCATCTAAACATCCCCACCATTACACCATAAACCCCCCAGTCCTTAACCCTTTGCATATCCCCCTTTTACACTTCCTTTTGCCCTCCAGAAATGTAGATCCTCAACATGTCTAAACACATGTTGTTAAACACATACAAGACTAAAAATACAATTTAACAGTGTAAAGGGCAACCAGAGTATAAGACTATATGTTTTAAATGATTATATGATCATTTGACGTTTTCCAAATAGAGACCTTTTAATCTCCAACATCTATTAATGCCACTGAAACAGCTATTAATCCAGCATATTTGATACAAGGTTGTACAAATATATTCAAAAAGGATAGAAAAAGTGGTGACAGGTCACATTTACAGATAAGATGCAGGGTTTAAGGCGTTTACAGTTTTTGTTATTTTGATTTCATTTATTTCATATGCATTTTCTTCCTCCCCAGGCAGATGATGGACCACTACACCAACATGTATCCGCAGCTGATCCACGACCCAAAGATCCTCGAGCCAGTTCAGAGTTTCATGTCGTGAGTTTGTTCTCTTCTCCTTTTAAAAAATCAAAACCGCAGCAGCAGCAAAACATACGGTTCACTTTCATCATATCCTCTTTTCAGTGGCCAGACATTTTAACTGACAACATTTTCATTTCAGTCAGACAACTCACATGTTTCAATATGTTTATTAGAAGCAGCATATAGTTTGAGTTTGGCGTCTAGGCTCGAGCCTCATCACTCCACAGATTTACAAAGAACATTGAGTGATGATTAGATAACTATGCCCCGAGCCTACAGGTGGAAGCTGGGGTGGAGCTGGGGCAGACGAGTAGCAGCAGCATGAAACACAGCAGCAGGAACATGAACGCAGCAATAGCAAGTGAACACAGCAGCAGCAGCATAGCGAGGAGGCAGAGGCAGGAAGACCTGGCAGCTTCAATAGAGCGGCATGTTTAGGAGAATGTGTTTGGTTGGTTGTAAGAGGGACGAGGTGCGTCACGTATTAATGTATCATTGGTGCTCAAGTTGACTGCCTGAACTAGCTCGCAGGCTTCGCCCCATTTCTGCCACCCTTCTTAATAAAAACAACAACAAATGCCAGAGTTTGGTGGTGTAGTATTTGATGGGAGTTTGTAACTGTTTCAAGGAGCAAATTATACATTTAAATACAGCAATTGTCCTTCGAGGTATCTGTGTGACCCTGAGTGGCTACGGGCTAAAGGCAAACGTTTGCTCCGTTTATTACTCTGATATCCTAAAATTCAGACAGCCGATGACTAAAGTCCTTCATTTAGTTAGATATTTATTGCAAAACTAATCGTGCATGGTGAAAGTGTGGCTTGAAGACTGGATAAAAAGTCCATTTGGGTCAGCTTCTGGCTAGCATTAGCTTGTTTCTCCTGATAACCTAAAATGCAGACGTACGATGACTTCTGGTTTGTAAATCGTTGGGAAACATTTGGAATAATAGAAGTAGCCCTACACAACTTTTTTACTATTTCTCTTACGGCATTTGGCTTCTCTTGTCCAGAGTGTATATGGTAAGCATTATTGGTTAGGAAGAGGAAAAACAGAAACAACATTATTGTGCTGAAACCTTTTAAGTTGCAGTGTTTAAAATATGAATCAAAGGGATTTTATTTCATTCATAGCATGGTTCCAGTTTATTTACATGTTGGACTTCACGTCTTCAGAGTGTTTGACGATGAGTGTTTGGCATGAAGTAATTCTAATGAGCAATGACAACAGTTAATTGCAAATGTTGCTGTTGGGCTTGTAGGAAGCAGGACTCGTGGACCAGAGAGCAGGTGAAACTGAACAAGAGCTCTGATCCTCTGTGGAGACACGCCGGCTTCATCGTGGCTCAGATGGATGGACTGCAAGCAGGAGTCGCAGAATGGGCCAAGAAACAAGGGAAAAAGGTAGAAAAGCCACATAATTATAACATTATCTTATTGAAACTCTTGTTTAAACCGGCTCTAGAAGCAAACTTTTCGTCACATCCAAAAATATGCCACAACAAGAGTGAAACAAAGTGCATACAATGTATAAACCAATAGGAAACATCAGGTTTGAAGTATATACATAACACATAGAAGTTCCCTAACAAAGCAGTCACCATGAATGTATGAATATGAAGTTTATCTTTCGCTTTAAGACACTTATGTTTTAAAGCTTTAAATAGGGCTCTGCCAAGTTCTTATTTAAAATGAGGAACCTCCAATTCATACCAAACTTGTGACTCACAGTTTGTTTCACTCTAAAAATGTAAAGAGACATGAGATTATATGTCTTGTGTTTGCTCTGTAGATAAAAAGAAGATGCATATTTTCCAAAAGTTAGTTATAATCCAACAAATGATACTACTGTTGGTTTCAAAAGTGTCTTGTTACTATCAATGAAACCGACAATATTGCTGGATAACAATTTAAAACATTGTTTTTATTGCATCTACACCTCACATACTATTGTTTTATTGTGTTAAGCTACAATTTAAGTTAAATCATATATTTTTGATGACGCATAAACTTAAAAACGCAGCTTAGGAAGTGCAGATATGGAATGAAAATCTCCCGAATTCAGTGATTTAAGCTATGAACAGTTGTTTTGTAAGTGATATAATATTGTGTGGGTGGCTTCTTACTATGGAAGCAGCACTACTAGTCATTTCCCTTTGCTGACCAGCATCTGTTTATCTGCTTGTTCCCATAGCCGCTGTCCCTGTTTGCGATCCAGTTCCTGAATGCGGTGGGGGACCTCCTGGATCTGATCCCAGCTCTGCACCGCTCCTCCAACCCTCCGCTCATGAACTACAAACTCCCAGGGATGGGACACTGCTCTGCTCTCATCAAGGTCAAAGGGCAACACATATCATGCCTGTTACATACTCTACATTAGGCGTATGTAAATCAAAGAGTAGACGAAAGAGTCAAGCACACATTAATAGAATGGTATAAGGTGTTTTCATCAAAGCTCCTGTGTACAAAATATTGTTGAGCAAATACATTATGTACCAGCTTTTGCAATCTCGATCTTTATTTATTTAGCACATTTAAAACAACCTCAGTTGACCAAAGTGCTGTACAGGCAATGAATACAATATAAAATAACACAAGTTGAATCCAAAAGGACGTTCATGCTGTATGTCAAACTTTAAATGGAAAAATGTTTACCCTTATACCATATCGACTGTTGAGTCTAACTCCATTTGACTGTTTCTCTTCAGATGTTGCCTGGCTTTGAGAATCTCCTGTTTGCCCACTCCAGCTGGTACACTTACGCTGCCACAATGCGGATCTACAAACACTGGGATTTCCACATCACTGAGCCCCACACAGCCACTGGGAAACTGTCCTTCAGCAGCTACCCTGGTACGTAGGAATTCACCATAGCAAGAATTCCTCAAAGATAACATTGGTGACATCGCATCCATTTGCAATCAAAGTTTTCCAGATTGTCAGAAAAGGTTATCTTTCTCTCCAGGTTTCCTCGTGTCTCTCGATGACTTCTACCTCCTGGGCAGTGGTCTGATGATGACCCAGACCACCAACAATGTCTTTAACTCTTCCCTGTTTGACTCGATCACTCCTAACAGCCTGTTTGCATGGCAGAGGGTCAGGCTGGCTCACAGTTTGGCACATACCGGAGAGGAGTGGGCCAAAACCTTCTCCATGTACAACTCTGGTGAGTCCTAATGGGTATAAAGCACTAAAGGCAGTAACAGCAACCTGAGTAACCCTGGGCTAAAGGCTACATTAGCATGGAATAAAACACAGGATGTATCTGTATCTGCTTGCTTAGGTACCTACAACAACCAGTACATGGTGTTGGACAGGAGCAAGGTGAAGCTGGGCCGCAGTGTTGAAGACGGAGCTCTGACGGTGGTGGAGCAGATCCCCGGGCTGGTGGAGTATTCTGACCAATCACAGGCTCTGCGCAGAGGTACTGTAACATCAGATCTTTTTTCCCCTGTTTTCTTCTGTAGTGTTTTTTACATTTTTAAGACTTTCTCTTTGCCTCCATTTTCCACAGGTTACTGGCCCTCCTACAACGTTCCTTTCCACCAGAAGATCTACAAGATGAGTGGGTACGGAGAGATGTGGGAGGAGTACGGAGAAGACTTCTCGTACGATCTCTGTCCCAGAGCCAAGATCTTCCGCCGTGACCATGCTGATGTTAAAGACATGGACTCCTTGAAGCACATCATGAGGTCTAATGGTGTGTGGTTCGTTTTGTTTGGATATCACCATAGAGTGTATAAAATAAGTGGACGTTGTCACAGTTACGTCACCTGTTTTTTACCAAATGTAACCCTATGGGACCAAATGTGGACAGGCTGTTGATCTGGACAGAAGGGAGGCCTGTCGGATACCGAGTCATGCTATTGCTAGCTCCCTGGCTTGGTTATCAAGGTGCATCCGTTATTATGTGAATGCTGGTTCAGTAGCATAAGATTGACACCATATATCTTCAAATGTTATATCTTCTGCTTCTTGTTATTGGATTTCTTCCATTCATTCTTTGCTGTCTAACTACTACAGGATATTTAACCATATGGAGGCAACAGTTCTGCTCTAAATTCCATATTGAGCACATTTAATGTATTTTTTGCTCGTTTGCAGACTACAAGAAGGATCCATACTCTAAGGGGGATCCATGCAAGACCATCTGCTGCCGTGGCGACCTGAGTGCAGAGAATCCTTCACCAGGAGGATGCTACGACACTAAGGTAGCGCCTGTCCCCACACTGATCTCACATGACACTGATGACGTATTGTGTAGGCCGACCTTGTAGGTAGCATTGCAAGGGCTCCCTCGACAAGAAGCAATGGGATTTTTTTGTGCAGAAAATAAGACATGGGGAAAATACATGTTATTTGAGGATATTTACAAGCTAAAGGTCGGCATTATGACGTGTTAGCAACCCCTGTTTTAAAGACACATAGAAGCAGTGTGGTATTTACTGATATATTTTTATTTTGTACAACAAAACGTTAAAACCTCCTAAGCTTCGGTTAACCTCAGACCTTATTTCAGGACTATAACCGATAACACGTTAAAACAAATATTGACTTAGAGACAAAGGAACCACATTTCCGGTTTTAGGACTCATTTCTGCACCACCAGAGACCAAATGCCTTTTATCTCAGATTCTCTCTGATCCCTGTGTTGTTGTTGGTCCAGGTGACAGATTTCCACATGGCTGGAGAGTTTGTTGCGGAGGCGGTGAACGGGCCGACGACAGAGGACGGACTCCCGCCGTTTGAATGGGATAAATTCAGCAGCATGAGCCACCAGGGTCTGCCGCAGTTCTACAACTTCACCTTCGTCAGGATGCGGCCTCTTATCTTCAGGCCATGAGGTGTGTGTGTGTGTGTGCGTGTGCGTGTGTGTGTGTGTGGCCTAGCATTACTATACTTGTGGGGACCTAAATCTGTTTATACAGTCACGTGTGGGGACTCGCCTCCCTTATGGGGACAAATTGGAGGTCCCCATGAGGGGAATCATTAATTTTAGGGTGAAGACTTGGTTAGGTTTAGGGTAAGGGTTAGGGTACCTGCAGCCATTTGTGCCTTAAACACTGAGTTACTTGATGATTTTATAAATGGCAAAATCAATGCACTAAATCAGTGGTTATCTGTAACCCTTTTTTTAAATGCTTAAATGTCTGTTATGTGCCAACACTATCGTTACTATGGTAAATTAATCACTCAATGTTATTCTCAGGGCTGGTGATCTGCTTTAGTGTTGTCACGATACCAACATTTTGGTTTCCATACCGATACCAAGTCAAGAATTGCGATTCCGATTATTTTTCGATACTTTTCTAAAAAAAAGGGAAACAATGTAAATGTAATTATTGTGCTTTATTTCACACCAGAACCATAACACAAACTTTTAAACAATGAGAACAATAAACAAAATAAATGACAAGAATTCGTATTAAATCAAATTAAGCATCATCTCAAACAACTTTTTTGTTTTATAAAATATAATAATTTAATATTTTATTAACATGTAATAGTACAGTAATATAAATAATTATTAGCCGATGTTAGCCACATTGGTAAGTTAGCTAAAAAGATAGCCATATTAAACAGTTATCATTGCCATTAATTGCCTCGTCAAACTACGAAAACGTTCGTTTGTCACAAAATAAATTACACTTGTTTGACTTAGATTTGAGGGCATGGGCTTGAGCATGATGTAATTATGTTATCTATCACATTCGCTAACCTGTCTGGATGCCGGTCGGCGGGTGCTTAGCCAAGTCTGATGTGTTGGCTCTCTTGATTTGCAGGGATCTAAAACGTTTCTCACAGACAGGCCTCGTGGTGTCCGTAGGCTTGCCCTCACTGTCAGAGATATAGCTAAAATACTTCCAAATTTCGCTTCTGGCGTCTTTTTTGTCAACAAGCCGAGGCGCAGCGGCAGTTGCACTCCCACTTGCAGCCATGCTTCTCGTTTTCTCACATGCTCTGGCAGCTAGAGCGTGGCCGCGTGCACGAGAGAGGGGAGGGACTTAGAGCGTGCTTGAGAGGGGCGGGACTGCAGGCACGGCTGCAGAGCAGGGAGTGGAAGCAGAGCGCTGAACACACACGGCTCTTATTAAAACGGCGCTTTCTCACCGGAGTACTTTTCCCCGTCATTCTTAAAGTACCGATGCTAATGAAACGGAGGAATCGTACCGTTTTTAACGGCAGGGTATCGCGGTACCTTTCAAGTATCGGTACACCGTGCAACACTAATCTGCTTTAGTGCTGTGATTTATGAGCAGTTTTTTTCGTGTGCAAAATGAACATCCTCAGGTTAAACTTTATGATTTTGATGTGTAACAATGCAAATCTGTTTCATGCCAACATTTGATGTGCTAATTGTTTATTAAAGTTTTACAGCACAGTCCTGTCTCTTGACTTGTAACAGTGACTCTTGGGTTGACTTTGTATTGCTGCTGTCAATAACAAGAAGTTAAGGAGAGTGTTGCAAAGCTCAACAGCTCTAATATCATTTAGAGCCACAAATATTAATATGTAGTTCATGAAAACTTGCAATGCATTACATGAAAGAGAGGTGTTATGTTTTAGAAGCCTGTGGCATCATATGTATTATTTTCTGTCACTCAAACAGTCATTCAACCTGATCAGCAGTCACAAAAGTTAAAATATATACTTTTGATTTATTTACATAGTTCATCTATATCCATGTAAATAAATAAAACGGCATTTGAAAAACAAATTCATTTTAATTTAAAATGTTTTAGATGAATACAAAAAATCATAAATAAACTAAAATGTGTTATTAAATAATTTTCCAATAAAAATAATTAAAAAATATAATGATTAGTAAAATAATTTGAATTCATATAATAAAAAAATGTTTTAAGGGGTAATAACTAAAATGAAATAAACTAACATAATTATATTAGAGCTGATGAAGGTGAAAGCTAAAGTAAACAACTCAAATAGTTGAATAAATCAATATCGTTACAAATGAACCATGTAGACAAACAGTCAAATTATCGTAGATGACTGCAATATTTAATAAAAACTAAGGAACTTAGAGGTCGAGACCTCTTTGTTTTTGAAGAGAAACGGTGCGTTCTGTCTCTTTCTCTTTGCCCCCCGGGGACGCATGCAGTGAGTCACCCTTTCCTTTGAGATGGAGGAACTGAAACGTCTGTTAGGCACTCTGCATTAGTTTCATTAAACCCCCCCTCGCAGCCCTCCTCTGTGTCTCACGGTTTTCTGTCTTCAGCGACACGTTTTCTTCCTTTTAGTTTGTGTCTTAAACCATAATACGATCAGGGAGACAGCAGCAGGTCTCCACATTGCTTCTTCAGCCATGGCCAAGAAGGACTGTCCTGCTGGCAAAAAGTGGGATAGGGTCGTGTACATGTGTATCGATCACAAGATGGAAACCAGACCTGGACAAACAACAGGTGAGTTTCACTGAAGAGATATATCATGTCGAACTCAAATCTATCTTCCGAGCGGAGTTGTTTTATTAGGTTTTGTCTCAAAACCTCTTTGAGTTAGTCGTGGTTTTGTCCTTAGTTTGACTTGACATCATCAAAGTCAACTTTATTGTCAATCTTTCAGTTTATGTGTTTTCAGACAGAGAGATCGAAATACCGTTTCCCTCAATCCCGTATACAAAAAATACAGATATATATAAAAATATGTATACACCTATATACACAATCAACAGACACATTTATACATATGCACACATTAAGAAATAAATAAAAGCAAAATAACAGTCACTTCAATATCTTTGGGAAATGTACATTAGTGCAAGATTGTTCTGGTTACTTTCTGATGTTGACTTGTATTTTTTCTTGCAATTGAATAGATGTTTTCAATCAGGGCTCTGCAATGTTGCTAGATAACGCCTTAGATTATAACGTTATATGACATCAGTGTTGACCTTTTCTGGTTTTAAATGCTTCATTGGGAATGTGAATTTTGTTAAGGTAGTTATTAATGAACTATAAATAAATCACTGCTCCTAGTACTAGGATGGGTAAAAAGCAGAGAACACATTTCACTGTGTGTGCTGTGTTGCTTGGACATGTGTGACCAATAAAGAGGGCTTCATCCTCCAATTCTATTATATCTAATTAACCTGTCCCTCTCAGAGCCTGCCCTGGCTGTGGGGGTGCAGCTGAGAGCCACGGCCCTCGCTGCCCGGGCCCCCCTACTGGTGCTGCTGGGTCCGGCCCTGTGGATCGTGGTGGTTCTGGCCACACTGGGCTCCATCCTGGCTGTCACTCTCTGGTTTATCATTTACAGACGCCAGACCAGGCACAGCGGCACCTCAGGTAAAGACAACTGTGGCATTGAGGATCAATATGATGTTCTTTAGTTTCAAGTTTCAGTTTCAAGGCTTTATTGTCATGTGTACATAGCTACAGTGTAGTTATGGCAAGGAAAATCTTAGGTCCCAGGCTCCTCCAACAGTGCAACACAATAACACAGATAATAGTGCAGGTAAATAGAATATAATAGAAACAGTGCAGAATAGTCTATATACAGTAATTGGAATATTGATATGAGTTGCAAACAGATGGTGGGTAGGTGGGTAGGTGGGTAGGTGGGTAGGTGGATGGATATATAGATCGATAGATAGCAGCCTTATTGTGCTTTTTGGGGTTCTCCCTTTCCTGTAGTGTGTTATAAAGGTTTTTGTGCATATGAAAGATCTGCAAAGGCTGAAATACCAAAGTTCCCTCCAGAGTGAGTTTCTCTCCCACAAACCTTGCCTGAGTCACCTCCATTGGACTCCCTTGTCTACTTGTGAGACATAATGACATCACTATGCAACACTCGCGCTTCTATTGGCTAGCGCTCCAACCCATTTTACGTGATAGGCTAAGAGGGGGTACATCTCTAAGCGGTTGACCAATCACAACAGAGCCGGCCAGCTAACCAATCAGAGCAGACTGGGCTCTGGTTTCAGACAGAGGGTGAAAAGAGGTGCTGCAGCACAGGCAGTATGAGAGACATAAAGAGCTTTTTGAACATTGCAGCATGGAGACATGTAAAGACACACCATGTGACTGTGAGCACCGGGTCTGACATGCAGAGTGCGCAACTGAGAGTCGTGTGGAGGAAATGGGGTCGCAGAAGGAAAGGTGATGAAGTGTGACGCTCATTACAGTAGAAACTCCACAGTTTCTGTTCTCTTCTTCTCCGCGTCCCATGGGTCAGCTATTCTGGTTTCAACACACATCCTGAAAGAGAACCACAGAGAACCGCTAACAGCTTGCACTCCATCGTGTAACGGCTTTATCTTTAAGTGGGGCTTGGTGGACAGAAAGACATACATCTGTGTATCGATAAAGCCAGATATTTGAAATCTGCTGAGCGTTTAGTTTGTATAACATGCTGTTTAAAATTATTGGCTTTGAAATAACCCTAACGGTCATGGGATCACCCTGCAGAGGAAGGCCTAGATCATTCTGAAATACTTGAGCTTTTCTCATTAATATGATAAATATGCCAACATGACCGTAACCGTAATGTATAATTGTCTGGAATGCGACTCGGCAGTCTTAACTCAGTTAAAGAAGAAAAAAGACTAGTGTCCTTTTATGAATAGCGTGGCTTTTTTTCTCATTCAATAAATTGTCAACAATAGACCTTTATCCACAGGACAACCAGGAATGTAAAAAACTTGATAAGCATAGTGGAGCAGCGACGTGCAGTCAGGGGAGGCAGAGCCTCACCTGTCATACTCATAGACTGGCCATACTACAATGTAACGGAAAAACAACTAAAGAAAAACTAAATAGTAATAATAATAAAATGTCTCCACTGATCTGTGTTGTAAATGTGATTTATGTATGATTCCAATCGCTTTTTATAGTCAAAATCAGCAAATTTGCCGAGCTCCGCTACAACTACATGGGAGCGATGAGGAGTGAGGCAGGGACGAGCTCTGCCTCGCCCTCACGTAAGCCCACAGTAACTTGCTGGAGCGCGGGCACTAATTTAGCGCGGGCACTTATTTTGTGAGCGCGCTCAAGCCAGTTACTGTGTGGTAAGGTGAGGCACAGATGAGCTCTGCCTCACCTCAAATGCGTCACCTCACAGAAACTGGCTGGAAAGCGGGCACTAAGCGCATGCCTGTTACCATCTCACTGTAGGTCACCAATGTAATGTTTGTAGATCCCTTTATTACATTTATCCTCGCCATCCATAGTCTCTAAATAACTTATTTCACGTATATGATATTTAGGCTCGCCGTACAACGGCAATGAAAAAAGCACCAGGGGAGGCAGCCATAACCTCTGCCGCACTGAAGGGGGCGCACGTGAGCCCACAGGTCCTTGTTGCTACTGTTATTCTACGCAGAGACGGTATAGACGCGAACAACAAACTAGACTTTTGAAACTAGAGGTAGATAAGGAGGACTTTTACAAAAAAGTAATAGAGATTGTTGTCCAGAAGGATAGCATGGACTTCATCTTCAAGTCAAGGTAAGACCACATTGGTAATGAAAATTGGCCGGTGCCTTGCTCAAGGGCACCACAGCAGGGCAGGAGGTGAACTGGGACCTCTCCAAGTAGCAGTCCACACTCCATATTTAGGTCTGGTCGGGGACTTGAACCGGTGACCCTACGGCTCCCAGTCCAAGCCCCTACTGACTGATTACATTACATTGCATTTAGCTGACGCTTTTATCCAAAGCGACTCACAATAAGTGCATTCGACCAGGAAGATACAAACTTGAAGAAAACAGAATCATAAAAGTACATCAGGTTTCATAGAGCCAAAACTGCTACTCAACTGGCTTTAGATAAGCCAGTCCTTTGTTAGTATATAAGTGCTTTGTTAGTAATTCTATCGCTCGAAGTGGAGTCGAAAGAGATGAGTTTTCAGTCTGCGCCGGAAGGTGTGTTTCTGCTGTCCTGATGTCAATGGGGAGCTCATTCCACCATTTTGGAGCCAGGATAGCAAACCCACGTGTTTTTGCTGATGGGAACTTGGGTCCCCCTCGCAGTGCGGGTGCAGCGAGCTGTTTGGCTGATGCAGAGCGGGTATTATATCACAATATAATACTCAACTTCTAGCGCTCCAACACATTGTTTCTGATCTCTAAGCAGTTGACCAATCACAACAGAACCGGCCAGCTAACCCATCAGAGCAGACTCTGGTTTCAGACAGAGGGCGAAAAGAGGTGCTGCAGCACAGGCAGTATGGGAACAACTTTTTGAACATTTAGAGCATGTAAACATGTCACAGTAGAGACATTTTAATATAAATATTACATGTAAGATGAGCACAATATGTCCTCTTTAATTTCACCTGTATATCAGTGACCATCTAATATCCAGTGACACTCATCTCAGTGGTTTATTCTGTTGCAGAGGAAGCAGCACCACAACAGCCTCTTCAGAAAACAGAGCCACCCGCCGAGATCCACCTTCCGCCTCCAGAGATGTTTCAGAGAGCAGCATGGACCCCTTCTCCCTGTCCTCACCAGCACCCGGGGGCCCGAACAGGCTGCAGGTCAGAACAAGAGGGCTTCACTTTCTGCAGTGGCCCCTCAGAGCACGCCTGGCCAGAGGGGCCCAACATGCTGAGGAAGCACAGGGTGCCACTTCCTGCCACAGAGCTGGGTGGCACAGCGCTAGTGACAACTAAAACTGTGTAGGGCTGTGTGTGTGTGTGTGTGGTGTGTGTGTGTGTGTGTGTGTGTGTGTGTGTGTGTGTGTGTGTGTGTGGTGTGTGTGTGTGTGTGTGTGTGTGTGTGTGTGTGTGTGTGTGTGTGTGTGTGTGTGTGTGTGTGTGTGTGTGTGTGTGTGTGTGTGTGTGTGTGTGTGTGTGTGTGTGTGTGTGTGTGTGTGTGTGTGTGTGTGTGTGTGTGTGTGTGTGTGTGTGTGTGTGTGTGTGTGTGTGTGTGTGTGTGTGTGTGTGTGTGTGAAAAAAGACCTTGATTAGAGAACTGATTGACAGCTATATGATAACATGTGGTTCTGGAAGAGTAGCCTGGTTTTAACATTGTATGCATAAACGCAAATTACTTAATTGTATTTTAAGTAGCCCTAATGTTACATTACATTACATTTCATTTAGCTGACGCTTTTATCCAAAGCGACTTACAATAAGTGCATTCGACCAAGAAGAAGCAAACTTGAAGAAAACAGAATCATAAAAGTACATCAGGTTTCATAAAGAAAAAATATTTCAAGTGCTACTCAACTGGCTTTAGATAAACCAGTCCTTTGTTAGTATCTAAGTGCTTTGTTAATAGTTCTATCGCTCGAAAGAGATGAGTTTTCAGTCTGCGCCGGAAGATGTGCAAGCTATCTGCTGTCCTGATTTTCAATGGGGAGTGTGGGAGAATTTAGGAAGGTTGAAGACCAGACGAGCAGCTGCATTCTGGATGAGCTGCAGAGGTCGGATGGCACATGGACCAGCAGGTAGACCAGGAGGGCTGTGTGTGTTCTTGCTTTGTGTGTGTGTGGCTGTGTGTGTGTGAGAGTGTGTTACTCAATCAAAGAGATACACACTGGCATTGAGAAAGCCTTTAATATAAGCCTTGAATCTAGTACATTTAAGGGTTTTCTTAAGAGTTTAAAAAAACAACTTGATCAAAATATTTTTGTTCTCCAGAATATTGTGTATGCGCACGTGCGCGTGTGTGTGTTTCTTAACTGTATACTGTTGAGTATGTTTTCCCCTCATTATTGTATCCAATTTGTGGATTAATCTTTCTTTTACACCATGTTTTTATGGTTTTTAATACTTTTTCTACTGCTTTTTATTTACTTCTCTGCCTCTGTGCAATACAATTTAAGACTGTTTACAGTTCTGTGTACTTTCTTGTAAAGTGTTTTAAATAGACAAACCAAAAAAAGTGCTCTGGATATCATGTCATATTAATTGTATACATCATTTAATAAAATCATTACAGAATATATATTTCTGATGTTCTAGATGTTTTGGTGTGAAAGATAAATATTCTCAGATGTTTGCTTTATTATAACGGATATAGTTTCACTGTCTTTGCAGCAGAAAAGAAAATGTACATGGTAAATAATTTCGTCCAACTTTCTCAATCAATGAGCTTCCTTCAGGTGACATCTAAACGTTAACGGACAGCTGTTCATAAAGTCAAGTCAAGAAGAATACATGCAATATCAGTATATGGATTCCTTACCATATGTTTTTATAATAGTATATAATATAAAAAGAGAAGGCAATGGTTGTGTGATAGATATAACAAAACGGTATAAGCCCATTCTATTTTTATTTTAAAAACATTTAATACACAAAATACACCCAAAACAGTTCCAGGTACAATTTATAGCCATTATTTCTGCTAAAATGTCAGACTTTGATGCTCCCAATGCACATAGCTACATTAATATTCTCTTACATTTGTGAAACTGTGTCTGACCCACATAAAAAAAGAGAAGGGTGGCTTATGTATAGCACTTCTTTCACCACAACTAAACATCTTTCATGATATATAACAATAATACAAGAGATTTGACTTTCTTTTTAACAAAAATAGACTAAATAAACAGGTATCTTACTACAGTATAGGCACTTTTATCATCAACATATAAGAGTCTACCTTTCAACATGCCTGATTTTTTCACCGCTGCTTGACTGTCACTCAAAGAAACCCAGCAGTGCTCATTCAGACTTTTCTACAAAGCCCGTTTCTTGACCGTTTTTGTACGGAGAGCTCCTCTCCTCACAGGTAGGTGCTCGGGTTGTCGGTGACGGCCAGGTGGAAGTACTCTGGCAAGCCGTTCCCCTGCAGGCTGCCGTTGGTTTCCCTCCGTTTGATTTTGGTGGAGAGGGTCTTCCTGTTCTTGAAGCCCTCGTTCCCAAGGCCACGGTTATCCAAACTGGACACGATCATCTCCGCCAGGTCCTGCTGCAGCCGCTGGAAGTTCTCCCTGATGCACAAAGTAAAGATTATTTTTTATTATAGATGCAAATGTATATTGTCACGATCTGTCTTTGTGGTGTTTTGTCTTGTCTAGATCTGTTTTTGGTTTTCTGTCTGCGTTGTGTTTTGTCTTGTTTGGATCTGTCTGTGGTTCCCTGTCGTTAGTTTCCCTGGTGTGTCTGATTACCCGATTGTGTTCACCTGTGGCCCCTGTGTTTTCTCCTCCCTCCTCACCTGTGTCTTGTTTGTGTGATTAGTCTTGTGTGTATTTAAGTTCTGGTTTTTCTGTCTGTCTTTGTCGGTTCGTCTTTTGTTGTTGACTGTGTTCACCAGTGAGTGTTCTGTCTGTCCAAGTTCTATTTCGGTATCCTTGAAATAAAGGTGTATCAGTTTAATCTGCATTTGGGTCCTGCTTCCTTCGCTCTACCGTGACATATATAGACTTTCTGCACTACTTTTTATTTTGTATTTTATTATATATGTTGCATTGTTGGAGGAGCTCAGGTCAAAATAGTTTCATTGCCATTTCTACACTGTAGCTTTGAGCATAAGACGATAAAACCTTTGAATCTTTGAGAAAATGAAAAGAAATTGTCCAAAATCAAGTTTTTAAAGAATGTCTGCTTGACTACAGAAAGTCATACATTGGGGTCGGTAATAATCCCATTAATATGATTTTTGTATTTAATTAATATAATTATTTATATTGATAATAATCATTAATAACAATAACAACATATTTATTATTATTTCATTATTTAAAAAGTATTATCTTAATCAACTATTTATATTCATGTGATTATTAACCACCCCTAATTTATGACTTGTTTGTGTAGATTAATCATTATTACAGTATCATTATTATAATGTATTTATTGAGCACCTTTTATACAAGAGGTCAAAGTGTGCTACAGATTTTTATTTTCAAATGCAACACAATTAAGCTGGAGCAAACAGGCATGGAAATAAGACATTAATAAGACAATAGATGCTTAAATATGTGACATAAATAAAAATAAAAAACACCACAACAATAATAAAACATTAGAGAATTAGTAAAAAGCATTTCGAAAATAATAATGATATTAATGATTAGCCAAATTAAATAAATGTGTGTTCAGCTCTAGTTAAGCATTTGTAATTGATTCTTCACAATACCAGATTAATTGAGAAAACTGCACCCTTTGAATAAAAATGAATTGTTTGAATTAATGTATATCTGATACTTCTGTTACAGTTCCATTAAGTCCCAACATTTCGACTAAACTCAGTGTTGTTATCTAGCTGTTTATATCAACAGTGAGCTGGAAGGAAATATTAGGCTTTGGGGGCAAAGTGTGTATCTTTCCGTATTAGAAGATAATTAAGTGTCAGCGTTTACATATAGATTAGACAGCATTTTACTCACGCTGTTGGCGGTGTTGGCAGGTTGTATTTTCCCCCGGTCACTCCTGTTAACCAGTAGGTCATCTCTTTGCCTTTACCCTGTAGGCCAGACACAGGAAATAAGAGTAGCACACAATATATTTACAGCTTACACTAGATACAAACAGCTGGATTAATTTAGAGTAAAAGCAAACCCTGCTAACCTTCAGGTACGTCTCGCCTCTTTGTTCATACTCAAAATTACAGTCTGTCCTCTGCAGGATGTTGATGGTGGACTGGCTGGAATGGATTCTGAGAGCTGGAAAGAAGAAGAATCATGAGTCAAACGCTCAGATCTCTTACGGTCATAAACCAACCATAATGTGACTGTTAAAATGCGTGTGTGTAGGGGTTTTGTCTTTATCACATTGTGGGGCTCGCATCTTGTTGGCACAGTCAGTGTGGGGTCCTTCCACAATATCACGAAGAAAAGGGTGTGTGTGAGTGAGTGAGTGAGTGTGTGTTGATTCTTACGCAGGCCTGTGGACTCCATGCGTGACGCAGTGTTAACTGTATCTCCAAAAAGACAGTAGCGAGGCATCTTGTTCCCCACCACTCCTGCTGCACACGGTCCTACACACAAAACACACAAACAAGCATCAGTATCAGTGGTCAAATGTAACCAAACTGTGACAGATGGTGTCGGATTTATCTTTGGCTAATCACTTATACTGTTCAACCACTAGATGTCAGTAAGTTTGCAAAATAAATGCAAATTGAAATATAAAGTTATGAGCTTACTTCTGGTTTGGACTTTAGTAAATAGTTGGCAGTGTACAAGTGTGTTATTGCCACATGCTGTTTTTATTACTCTAACATATACTATAACTGTTACTTTTGACATATAATCTATGATTTCTGAAAGATGTGTTAGATCTTTGTATGTAACTGCGCATTTACATTTATTTATTTAATATTTTATTTTGTTACAATAAAGCAAAGACATACACAATATACAGTAAGTGGGTACCCAAAACCTTTACATGGCGTACAAGAGGGGAAAAAAGCTGGGTATTACATTGACAATTCCTGAGAATAGTCTAAAGCTGCCAGTCGACAGCATCGTAGACATAAACAAAAAGGCCAAGGGTAACCTTAACCCACTTACATTTTTAAAAAGGTAAAGAAACATTGGGGAATGTGTGGGTGGAAATGAGAAATAGATAAATTACCTGAATGCACACCGATGCGGATCCACAGAGGGATGCCGGGCAGGTGCTGCAACTCAAACGTCCCGACAAATGCCAGCATGTCCAGGGCCATGTGGGCGATGTCCACTGCGTGCCGGTCCCCGTTGCGTTTAGGCAAACCTGATGCAACCATGTATGCATCGCCTATTGTCTCAACCTGAGAGATAGAAAACAGATTTAAAAAGAAATAAAAAGAAATAAACAAATAAAAAACAATGTATCCTTTAAAGGTCTCCTATTATGCTGTTTTTAGGCATATATTATGGGTCTCAGATATATAAAAACATGTCTATGATGTGTTTTGCTCAAAATACCAAAGAGATCATGCATTTTAGAAATCCCTCATATCCCTCTGTTTCAGCCCTGTTAGAGAACTGCAGGTTTGGGGTCCTTAGCTTTAAAAAAAAAAAAAAAAAAAGGAGGGGGAGCCTGCTCAGACTTCTACGAGGTTCTCAGCTAAATGCTGGCGTGATTAAATGCCATAACATGTTCCAAACCACATCAAAGTTTATTTCTGAAACAGTATGGAGCTCAAATGCTTTTTCTCTCGCAGGGTGAGTTCCTTTTTTTATTTCCTGCTTTTTCACACATGCTCTCCAGTACAGGTTAGCTCTGAGTGTTAGCGATGCTAATATAAACACAGACCATATTACGTCCAAAACAGTCGGGCATTGTTTCTGATAGCAACGTTTCTGATAGTGCCGTGGGTGTAAAGCCAGCCCACATTTCCGATGTTACGTCATATCGGACGCAAATCTGGATCAGCTCCGTTGTACCCCCGTTTTTAGAGATGTGGGTACGGAGGAAAAAATAATAGGTTTTATTTTCTGAGACTTTGTAAGTTCCCTGACACACCGGGGACACATATTTATGTATAAAACCATAAAAAAGTGCATTTTACATGATAGGACACCTTTAAGACTAAATCTTAGTTCAACCTTCTAAGATAAAAAAGCAATAAATACAACAGTAACATCCTGCCTGAGACCCTTTTGAGTTTGACTTTTACCACTGATTGGTAAATAGTACGTTCAAATGTATATAACCTTGTAGACATCATGGTGGTCCAGGATGCTGTCGAAGTTCTTGTAGATGTCATTGAGCATGTCCACCACCTCCATGGGGGTGCTGTAGTGACACAATGTGGTGAATCCCACAATGTCACTGAAGTAGATGGTCACCTCCTCGAACAGTTCAGGCTCCACTCGGCCCGTTTCCTTCAGTGAACGCACCACTGGGCTGAGGGGAGAACAGGGTACAATAATACAGTTCAGGCACTCTGGATATTATGAAGAAGAAAAATAACCTTTATTACTTCCCTAGGGAACAGATCAGATGAGTCCTTTTGGTTCATATTATTCTTATGGTAAGAATATTTTTTGCTTACAGTTTTCCCTTATTATTATTTATTTAGAATTTTTTGTGTGCTTCATTTTGTTTCTTACCTGAGGTCGAGGCAGGGTGGGGATGGGGGTGTAATGTTTAAAATAGAAAACTGAAAGTGAGCATTATGTTTCTGTCCCTTTCTTATTCTGTAATTGTATATTTTGCACTTTTAATGCTCAATCAAATATATATTAAAAATAATAATAATAATACAGTTCAGGGAATATGACATAGACATTTTAATGCAAATACAGCGTAAACATCAACTAAAATACTGTTTTTTTTCTGTATTAGCCCTTATATGTCATCTTTAAATAAAAGATAAGATAAGAGATACTTTATTGATCTCAATTTGGGAAATGTTTGCGTTGCAGCAGCATAAAAATCTCAAAATAAAATTAAAGCAGCATTAAAAAGTAGAAAATATACAGTAGGTCGTGAAGATACAAAATATATAAACGCTGACAATAAAACACTATTGAAGGGCTTTAGACACAATATAAAGCAGGATATTATTTACATTAAGAGTGCAGGGAATGGAATATAGACAACCTTTCCTAAACGAAAGATGACATCCCCAACCAAACATCATCAGATTCGCTCCAAACCTACCCAGGAAGTAGCATAAAGTTGAGGCGATCCGCTCGGTCCCTCTCAGCTTTGTACAGAGACGTTCTCTCCTCCACCAGATTCTCCAGAGTCCTTGAATACATCTGCAGGCGGCGGATCAGATTGTCCATGTACGTCTCCGTGGCCTGGTTATGCAGGTTACTGTGGAACATCATAACATTTTTATCCACTTTATCCATCTTTTAATCAAAGTTACAGGCAGTATTGTGGCCATTCAGGCAGGGGCGGTTCTAGAGGGGCACAATAAAAGCGGGTTAAAAAGACAAAGACAGTATAAAGTAATTGTGTAAAATAAACATAGAATACCGTAATTGTTTTATGTTTTTATAAAGGTATTTGTTTTAGTACATTTAAGTTACAGTCCTTTGTTTCAGTAGTTTTTTTCATTTAGAGTATTTGTTTTAGTGACTTTAAGGCGAGACACCCCAGGTGAATAGGGTAATTGTTTTAACTTAAAGGTATCAGCTAGAAATTTCTCGAGTTAATTACTTACAATAAGGCAATTGTTTTTTGTATTACAAGTTTTCTGAAATAGCATGTTTAATTATGCAAATGTGCCAATATCTCATTATATATGCACATATTTAAAAAAAATTCAGGAATCGAAATCTGAACTTTGGATAAAGCCAGGTTCAAAATTCTTGTTTCATTTTGTAGTCATATTAGTATCTAGTATCTTTTACTGAAGGGATATTGGATATCTCTTTTTATCATTCCATAAATCTGAAAATACTGTCAACAGCCCTAAAATATCAATTTTCGCCATGTTTTTAGGTATACAATGTTGTATAATTCAGGCTATGAATGATATATGAACAAACCCTTCTGAAAAAGCCTTCATAATATTGATAGGAATATAACTGGAAGGTTTGGTGTATGTACGTGCTACTGAAGTGGACATTTCGGACTCAGAGTAGGAGAAAAAACTCATTTTGAGAAAACGACCTTTAAAGATTGCAGTGAGGCGCTAGCTAAACCCTCCTGTTCTTTGGATGATAGCTTGCGCATTGACGCACTCCGTGAAGGTATTTCATGTTCGGGGTCATTTGTTTTTTGTAAAACCTTGCTTCGTGCAAGTGACAATTGTTGTCGTCTTCTCTGTGAACGTTTTTTTCGCCGTTCTTTTGCCATTTTGAGATTTAAATTTCTAGCGGAAAGCTAACCAGGAAGTGTTTTAGCACACCACGTGACGTATCTGAACGAATCACGTTGTCAGAAATTGACACTAGCCAATGAGATTTTGTTTCTTGGTTTAAGAAGTGCTGCGTACCGGTACGCCGAACCGGTACTGGACTTGTAAAAAGTTTCGGTTCAAGTCCGGTTAAAACCGGAACGTCGGGAACCGGTACTTGGACTCGCAAAAAAACTACCACTTACGTATATTCTGGTGTCTGTGGTTATTTAAACATTCCCTGATAAACGTTATTCAGCGTCAATAAATGAGTGCTAATCCCAGTGTGCTCAGTGTACAACATCACATGTCATTTCACCTTCGATTCACGGTTTGAAAACGTAGCATTTCGCCACATGCTAATGCTAACCGGAAGTGAATAATTTTCAGAATAAAATTATTAAATTAATAGTGTGAACTTCCGGTTTTTTCAGAATAAAATTGATTTAAATTAAATAGTGTATTTAATTCAAAATTACGCCATATCAACATTGATTTTAATTTCTAACAGTATGTATGTACATCACTATGTATGTAGTATGTACTGTATAATGTACACATGTAGAGTTGTAGAAAATACATGGTGTACAGACAGTACAGTACACTCTGACTGTACAGTCACTACAGTGTAGCCTATACTGTATAGTAGGTGTGTAACAGTGTAATGCGTATAGTCTACTCTACACTCTACCTTTCAGCAACGTTTTAGGGATTTAGGCTCAGTCAGCTCAGGGACTGTTCGGTTACTTTAGTTTGCTAAATGAAAGACATGTTTGAACTTTGTAGTAGTTCACTGTAGTTGCTGTCATAAGTCATTTGTAGACTAAGTGGCAAAAAGTGTTTTTTTTACATTTGTACTTTGTAGAGAAATGTAGACACAAGTTGGAAGGGAGCACAATAAACCTGACGAGTTTGAATTGGAGTTGATTATGAGTTAATTTTCAATTGATAATTAGCTCACAATAAGTTCACTTTAGTCACACAACTTGACACAAGCCATGGGTTCAGGTCCGGACTTATAGGTCCGGACCTGAACCTGAACCTCTGGACTTGAGTCCGGACCTGAACCTGAATGTGAGTCCAGGTACGCAGCACTATTTAAGACCCCTTTGTACTTTCACGATTGGTTGCTGATACAAAGGAAATGACCATATTTGGATCTGATGAGATTGTGCAGGAGAGACACAGCTTTCCAACGATATCTCTGATGACATGGTGCACACAGCGGTCGCGGTACTTTATGTTACGTTAGAATGCTAACTTTTGGTGAATTTAGGAGAAATCTACAGACGCAAATAGACAAACTATAGTAAAATAAACACTTAAATGTGTATTTTGTACGTTTTCCTTCCAAAAGTCTGAAAGAAAACATGTTATAGAATCAAAATAGCACAAAATCTCAAAATTGACCAGTACTTGAAAAACGATGTTTTTGCCTGCCGTGTCTCGCCTTAAGTGACAATTGAATTAAAAAACATTAACAGTATTTGCTTTTATATGAGGTAATGAACAGTTTAATCTCCACTGTACATCTGGGTCTCTGATTGGATTTAGTTAGTCAGTGTTATGGGGCCTGTTGCCCCCCCCCCCCCCCCCCCCCCCCCCCCCCCAGAACCGCCCCTGCATTCAGGTATGACAGGACGAGTGCCGATTTAAGAACTTAGGTTAAGATAAAATAGGACGTTTAGGAATGCTTTAAGACTGATAGTATCTTTGAAACTTAAGTCAAGATAGTTAAAGCAGATGGGATATTTGTAATGGGGCACCTGGGCACTTTCCCACCTGCAAACACAGCAGATTGTGTTTATTGAAACTGTAGTTTCAGTTCACAGAATGCTTCAATAAATGAGTCAGGAACATTTTATTTATATTGCCCCAAATCACATATATTTGGCCATGAAATGTTTCAATGAAATATCCCGAATGGATGAGATTTTGACCTACCTGAATATTTTACCCAGAGTTAACTCTATTCTCTTAAAATCTGGCCGTCGCTCTGGGTCTTCATCCCAGCAGTTTTTTATCAGCGTGTACAGCTGTATCCGGACAAAGAGAAAAAAGGAGGGAGGGTTTGGTCTTCTTTATTCAATTATGATAAGTCCAAGCAGCTTTACTTTATAAACCGTCACCTGGACTGTTACTGTAAGAGCTTGTGTTTGGTGGCTCTCTTACCTCGATCTCTCTTTCTGACGCACCGTCAAAGATGAGGTCCGGTCTGAAGACGCTCATGACGCTGGGATGCTGCACTCTGTAGAGCTTCTCTAAAGGAATTTCATAACAATACAATAATCAATGGGAGTGGGGGTGATCACTATGGTCACATTAATATCTCACTGTAAACTGTTTGTCAGTGTATCCATTTTTGTTTATTTTGTTGTCTATTGCAGTTTGACGGTGTACCAAACGATCTGGGCCTACCTGCAGGATCAGAGCAGTTCTGTGTGTAGAACGGGGGTCGCCTCATAACGATCTCATGAGCAATGATGGCATAACTGTAGACGTCGCCTTTTTGAGAGACTCCATCTTTACGAAGGTGCTCCGGGGACGTCCACACATCTAAGAAAGGAGAAAAGAGGTGAGTGGATGCTGACTTTATTTTATTTGAAAGGTCCCCGATTATACTGTTTTTCATCAATATATTATAGGTCTCATATATATATAAAAAAAGTCTCTGAAGTCTTTGGCTCCAAATACCAAACAGATCATTGCAGCATCCCATAATCCCCTCTGTTTCAGCCCTGTTTCAAAAGTGCTGATTCTCTGTCTGTTACTTTAGATGAAAATAAGGAGCCACTCCCCACGCCCCTCTGAGAGATATTTGGTTAAAAAGAACACAATAGCCGCGTTCACACCAAGTACTTTGCCGTACTTAGTGCCCCGGCACTTATTACCCCAGGGCACTTAGTACAGATCGCATTCACACCGGAATAAGTTCCCTGAGGGAATATTACGCAAATGAGCCACTGACGTCACTTCGTCTTCTTCTGCTTTGGGTTTACTGGCAGGCCGCAAACCACTTCACGGTGTATACTGCCACCCAAAGTCCCCGGCCCGAAGTCCCCGGGGTTGAGGACTGGCTTCAGTAGAAGCTGCTTGGAGTCCCAGCAGCTTCTACTGAAGCAGGGCTGCCAACACTCACGCATTGAGCGTGAGAGTCACGCAATTAACCCATATCTCACGCACTCACGCCACACTTGCCTTTCCTCACGCTAAGGAACAGCAAACCGAGCAGTCTACGAAATGAGACGGTCTTCTGGCTGAGTTCAGTAAAGTTGGAACAATATTGGGAGATTCTGATTTCACAGATCAATAACTCATGAACAAAACGTTATTCAGACACAAATGACGTCTCCTAAGTACCGTGGTAAGGTTGACAACGAACTACAATCACATTTTGATTAAAAAAAGCCAATACGCGCCGTCCTCCGAGCTGGACACATTACATTGGTCTCTATTCGCAGCCGGAGAAGAAACGAGTGCTCAAGGACCGTCTGCAAAGTGCAACTCCGAAAAAAGAGAATACAATAATATTCACTATTATACAGTATATTACTACCAAACTCACCACACACATCAATAGTCTCCTGGTGGTCATACTACAGCAGAGTTTGGAAGAATATGCTTTTGAATAATTTTGGGGAATATTTATAATGTAACATCTTCAATAAATATGGCATCATCTTAAATAACTTTACTATTATACAGTATATTTCTACCAAACTCACTATTTGCATTGTTGTTGTTAGCATCTGGTTAGCTAGCTGCGCTAACAGATATTAGAAGCTGTTTCTAAAACAATGAGATAACTCAGTGAGGTAAGGGCGACTCTCTGTTTAGATAGTTAACTTAGTCTAGCTATCTCAGTGGGTCTCAAACACTTTGGTCACCATTTATGAGAATAAATGAAAAACAGTTATGAAATACTATATGACAGTAAAACAAGAATACCGTTTAAAAGGGGAGTGATTTGTAAAATGTCCATAAAGAAAAAGAAAATCTGTTTATAGTTCTGTTTCATATGGGGGTTGAGAGATGTATCCATACATTCATTTTGCTCTCAAAATGCACCAGGTTGATGCATTTAACTGCAATATTTAAAAAACAAATCTTCCCGGGGCATGCTCCTCAGACAGGGGCGGACTGGGACTAAAAATCAGCCCGGGAAACTCGACCGGCCGACCGGCCCAACTCGGTACTGCTAGTCAATAGTGAATTAATGGGAAACCCTAGTTTGTACATGTTCAATACATTTGTAACACTGTACACATGAACGTTTCTTTTTTCGGTTCACCAAAAAAGAAATCTCACTCCAAGCTGAACTCAAATGTTGGCAGCCCTGACTGAAGCCTTCCGAGTAAATCGCCAGAACGCCGACACCTCCTCATCTCCACCGCTCCCATGTTTTATTTTGTGTTGCCATAATTTAGTCTCTCTGCATTTGTGCGCTGGGCGAATGCTAATGCTAATAATGCTAATGCGAGGATAATAAAATGGCGGCTCTACAAAACATTTCAGAGTTTTACAGGGTGTGGTTTGCAATTCGCCCAGCCAATCAGAACTGGGGCACTTTTTTCCCCCAGGAAAGTACCATCACTCAGCAGGCACTAAAAATGGGGGTAAAAGTTTCCGGCTTGAAGTACTCTTTTTGGTGTGAACGCGACATAAGGGGTACTAATGGAACTAAACGCGAAAAGTACGGGGAAAAATACTCCGGTGTGAACGCGGCTAATGGTGCTCTAGGAGGAGATTCAGGTGATAAGGTGGGGGGGGTTACCTTGGTTGGTGATTGGCTAATGGTTACACAAGACAAAAGACCATTATGACATCATAAAGTGGCCAAAATCTGATGAGCTCGTTTTCAGACAGGTTTTTATAGAAATGGATCAGGACAAAAAGTGAGCGAATCTTTTTCCTGAAACTTTCAGAATCTCTTTACACAGAGGGGACACATGGTGATGTATAAAAGACAGGAAAAAGTGGATTTTGCATAATAGGTGACCTATATAGTCGACCTCAATGAGGATGAAACCGTTTTTCTCACCTCTGCCTGGACTCAGGATGGTGTGACAGCCAAAGTCAGTGATCTTCACCACCATGCGGTTGTCGACCACACATTTGGTGGACTTGAGGCGACCGTGGACCTCGATGTTACTGGAGTGGAGATATGACATGCCCTAAAGAAGATATAAAGCAAGTAGAAGAGAGAACGGACCAAGATGGTTACACAGAGTTGGCATGTCTTGTATCCAGTGATAGAATCAGTACTCAGAGCTCTTACTTAAGTGAAAGTAGTAATACTGAAGTGTCTAAGTTATTTTTTCCAAGTAAAAGACCTGCATTCAAAAATCTTACTTAAGTAGAAGTCTAAAAGTATTGACTTCAAAGAACGCCTAGTGGATTAAACCATATATATTACATTTCTGAATTATGATTATTAATGCATCAATGTGTTTATAACAGCAAGTAAAAGTGGAGCTTATTTGAATTACTTCATATACTGCTGCTTGATGTCTTAACCCAGGGGTCTGCAACCTTTTGGACCAAAAGAGCCATTTTGCCCCCTTTTCCAACAATTTGTTTTGTCTGGAGCCGCAAAACATATTTGATAGCTTATAAAGTTGTATTTACTGTTATATCATAGACAAAAACTACAGTTTTTTTGCATTTATTATTTATTACATTATAAAACTGTTAACCTCTAATAAGAAACAAATAACTCTTATAAAGAGAATACAAAAAATACACAGGCCTAAAAGTACAAGTATCTTAAAATTGTACAGAACTTGAGTACTTCATTATATGCCACCACTTGTTGTATCACTTAACTCTCCTTGAAATGCATGAAGGTTAAGTAAAAGTACACACATTTGTATCCTTAAAACACATTAAACTAAATAAATCAGGCCACTTGGAAGATACTGCAGAATAAAATTAGATAAAAGTGTGTTTCGTCTGACAGAAAATTATGCGGAACTGGTATTTTTTCCCTTTTAGATCCAGTTTAGTGAATTACAAACAAAAAAAAACAGGCAATACCTTTGCTATGTCATACATGACTGATATCTTAAACTCCATGTCCATGAAGGTTTCATCTGGGTAGGAGATCCTGTCATTCAGAATGTACTGCGGCAGAAAAAAAAACGGATAAAGAAGTTCATTTTTTATCTCATTATGTGCATTTAACATCCTTTAAGTGCTCCTTAAAGAGCCTGTGACACGAGTTTCCCCCATCATCCAAACACATCAATTTGAGTAAATATTGTCCCCTTGAAAACCGTTACTGAACTGATTTTGGATATTTGTACTTTGATAACCATTAATCTGCCCTTCAATGTTGACCATATTCTGGATCTTCTCGGGATTCTTCAAGTCCCGCCAAATTATGTGTGACGTCATTGCGGGCACAGCGCTCCAGCTGCACCGTTCAGGATCCCAGCATCTGCATGTAAACGCACGATGGCGCACACAGCAGCAAGCTCAGACAGCGATGACAGTTTAATTTTGAACGTGTCTGAGAGCTCATATGAGGCTGAAGGATCGGTTTATGTTGTATCTGTTAGAAGTTTAGGAATTAGGTGCGTCAATATGGGCGATCAAACGGTCATGTAGCCAGTGGTGGACTGGGACTAAAAATCTTCCCGGGACTCTCGACCGGCCCACTTCGGTAGCGCTAGTAAATTCTCAACGGGGGGAGTGGGGGATGTGCTAGTGACCCACTTCGGTATCGGCCCATCGGGATTCGTCCCGATGGCCAGTCCGCCACTGCACCCAGCCCAGCCCACGTAAACTGTCAACGGGGGGAGCCTCGCTGCGGGGAAACGGTGGACCTAGTGTCCCGATCGGAGTGGGAATAATAATAATAATAATCTGTGCATTTTATCCATTAATTTCCCCAACATTGTGGTAAAAAAACCACACGTTTAATCCATGTTGGTGTACTACAACTACAAAAAGCATCGGTTTGTTTTCTCATCAGGAAATGCAGACCGGCTCAAACAAACGATTTTTAAATCATCATCCTCACGATCATTTAATGTATCATATGTTCGCCGAATTGACATGAAAGCACGAATAAATGTAGTTTCATCCACTTGAGTTTACAACTACAAAAATAATCGATTTGTTTTTATATCACATCCTACGGGAGGAAATTCAGTAGCTCTCACTACCGATTTTTAATCCTAATGTAATCATCATCTTCACCACGATCATTTATGTTTATGTTCGCCGAATTGACATGAAAGCACTGACAAATATGAATATACTATAGTCAACTTCATTAAAACGTTATTAACGTGCCTAAACTCAGTAATTGACCATTTCTACGCATGACAACACACTTTGTCCGTGTTTGGCTCTCTCGCCGCACAGTGAAGCGTTCCCGCATAGACGTCACTTCCGGCTTCCCCCAAAACTTAAAAATGAGTCGAAGGAATTTCCCCGCGATGTTCGGAATTATTGATATTTATCGGAACGGTATCGCTTTTTCTTTTTTAAACTGACGGTTCGAGATTACTAGTAGCCCAATATTTCATTGCACCATAGTTGTTGGGAGGCTGTCACATGCTCTTTAAACTGTGTCTCCATGACTTATCAAAAAACAGTAAAGTCATAAACCACATGCAGCCTACTGTAGTGATTTAACGTTGAGAAAAGTCAGATCAACATTGCACAAGAGTATACGATCGAAAGCAGTGCACCACCATTCACAAAGGAGGTCAAAAAGATTAAAAAAGGTAATAAAAGAGGAAGTTGAATGACAAAGAGATAATAAAAAGGAAGAAGATACAATAAAGTAAGACACAATAACAGCTACTATGACAACAAGACAAAACAAAATACACCTATAAATCCACCAGGCTTATATATCTACATATAAGTCATGTGTATTTTAATAAATAAATGTAATAGTTATCTTTTGACACATGGATCCTGAATTTTTGGACTCTTTTGTGGATTTTGCTGCTGATAACATGTAGCAATAGAGCTCAAACTAAGGTATACAACCTGATACGACTATTTGGAATCATGTTCAAGATATTTAATTAAAGAAGGCGCTTAGTTAAACTATATCAAATGTGTGGATCTCCAGAAAAAATATTTGTACTTGTGTTTTAGCGTTTGACCTGAATCTAATGTCCTATTTTTGGTTTGTATAATTCTTTATGCCTTATTGTTGAATCCCTTTTAGCTGCATCCTGTAAATGAAAAGTGCTGTACAAAAAAAGCTTTATTATTATTCTATCAGGATATGATATGCAGGGAAAGTAAGTGTTAGTGATGGTCTGCTCTTACCCTGAGTGAGCCCCTCTGACAGAGCTCAAACACTCCAAAAACGCCGTACTCAAACTTCACCGTGCCGTAGAACTTGGTCAGGTTGTAGTAATCTATCCGTAGCAGCTGAAACATGAAGATATGGAAGTGAGGAGAAAATTAAGGGGTTATAGGCAGCTCAAATGGCAGTCATGCATCATTTACAATAATACAAATGCTCCCTCATTCACATTCTTATTTATCATTAGGACAAAGATCAATATATTATGTTGAGCTACAAGTGGAGAAAAAGGTGCAGGTGGGTGGACCAAAAAGTGTTTGAGGTATTAAAAAGAGGTATAATAAATTGGTGTCTTACAGTGTTTAGCTCAATCCTTTGTTCCTCTGTGAAGTCTCCGTCTGTTTGTTTCATCTCTTTCAGGATAACAGGCTAAAAAATATAGAGGAATAAGACATACATTAACACTGAGTGAAAATACTTAATTATTTCTTTGTTTTTACAAATCAAAATGGCTTTTGATCGTACCTTCTTGTCATAGCGGCCACGATGGTTGAAGAACGTGCTGTCTTTCCTCTTATCTTCATCGATCTGTTACATTCATGCACACACATACATGTTTTGCTACAATTGTGAGGACCATCAACCCAAACTACGTTGTGAGGACCCCCCTTTCTGCTAAGGCCAGGAGGATGAAAATATAATTTTACCACAAGGTAGGGGTAGGAAATCAGAAAAATAACTCCAAATGTTTACAAAACTGTTGATCACAAACATGCAACTATCTAATTGTGTGTCCTTCTCTTACTGGACGTAGGAAACAGCTGATTGATGTTTACCTTCAGAGACACCTCCTTCTCATCCAGTGGACTAATCAGAAGCGGGTTTATGTGAGACCACTTCTTTTGCAAAAGACGCACTTTCCTGTTCTGTCTAACATTAAAAAACAAATAGTACATACAAACAGAATCAGGACGGGGGTAAAGAGGACACACAAATGCAAACATGAAAAAAACGCTGATTATTTTGGTGTTTCAGCTCAATTAAATCAATTAAAATTGGCCTTTGTTGCTCCACTGTCAATAACTTTATGTCACTGATTCGAAAAACATTTTATTAAGAACTAATCTATCTTGTACTTAATGCAGCTAACTGATGATTTGTCTTGTCAAATTCAACTTTATTGATACAACATGTGTAAAACAGCTGTCAAGCATGTCGGCTGTTTACCTGTAGAAGATGAGAGCGATGGCCGTTACCGCGACAACACTGAGACTCAGAACGATCACAATCACATCCTGCATATCCAAACCTGGAAGCACACACAACGTGTTATGACCGAAAAGCATACAGTCATATCATGAATACATTGATGACAGTGAAATTACACTATATTTCTAACTTATATCTAAGAGACCTGAATAGGCGCATTCACATCGCAGTACTTTTCCCACAAAGGTTCTTGAGAACTTAGTTCATGAGAACTCTTTAGTTCTCATAAACTAAGTACAGATCGCGTTCACACCGGAATAAGTCCCTGGGGGAGGATTACGGCCCGTCCACACAGCGGCGTGCGTTGAAGCTTCCAACGCTTCGGCCCATTCACTTTGAATGGGGTGACGTCACTTTTAGCCGAACTGCATCGTGGGAAGCGACGTGGAGCGTTGCTGGCGTGGCTCGCTGCAAAAGTTGAGCAATGTTCAACTTTTGACGCCTCGGCAGAAGCGTCAGCCAATCGAATCATATGCCAGTACAAGCTCTAGCCAATCAAACCGCTGCTTGTGTGTCAGGGGCGGGAGATTCATATGATTGGTTGTTGGTCGAGTGTCAGACACGCCCGCCGGCAAGCGTCAACGCACGCCGCTGTGTGGACGGGCCGTCAGGCAAATGAAGCCGCTGACGTCACTTCTTCTTCTGCTTTGGGTTTACAACTTCACGGCGTATACTGCTACCCGAAGTCCCCGGCTGGAAGTCCCCGGAGTTGGGGACTGGCTTCAGTAGATGATTAGCTAATGCTAATGCTAATAATGCTAATGCGAGGATAATAAAATGGCGGCTTCACAACACTTTTTGGGAGTTTTACGGGGCGTGGTTTGCAATCCGCCCAGCCAATCAGACATAGGAACCTTTTTCTCCCACTAGCAGGGACGGAAAAGGGGGTACAAAAGGTTCTGATTAACTAATTTTTGTTCCGGCTCTTCGGAACTAAAGTGGGAAAAGTACTGCGGTGTGAACGCGGCTAATGGTGTTATCAACCTTGCAGGAGAAAACCTATTTGAGAAATTACTCAATCAAACAGATACACACTGGCATTGAGAAAGCCTTTAATATAAGCCTTGGAAAATCTAGTCAATTTAAGAGATTTTTAAGTTTATTTAAAAAACAACTTGATCAAGATCTTTTTGTTCTCTAGAATAAATTGGAATAATTTAAAATAAAAACACGCTTGCACACTACCTCTACATCATTTGTAGTGTGTGTGTGTGTGTGTGTGTGTGTGTGTGTGTGTTTATTACCATCTGGGGTTTTTGGCTTGTCATTAGGCAGGCGACCATGCCAGCGCAGGGTGGGGTTTTGGTCAATCACTATGGTTTTATTTCGTGAAGTGTCAAACAGTAACAGGGTTTCGTACTGGAGAAAAAGACCAAATACAAGTATTAAAAAAAAGATAAATAGGAGAAAAGGGTAAAGTAAGTTACTGATAAAGGCTGAATGGAAATCGCCTTACCATGCCAGTTTCAGTTGATGTGTAAATCATAGAGAAGTTAACATCTCTGTCACCGTACTCATCGATCACATAGTGTCCTCCCATACCTGTTGGAAGCAAATACACATATACAAAAAAGACAATATTAGTTTTTTTCTGGAAATGCCATAGTTACAATATAATATTATGTAATTGATTACAATACTCGATTATCAAAACAGATGCCAATACATAATACACTAAATAGCATTTTCAATTTGCAGGAAGTTCTCGAAAACTCATGAAACTTAACATCAGAAGTGTTGCAAGTTGTGCTATGGATCTCTAGCTCTGGCCTTGACGTTATCAAATAGTTCCCCTAACAGTTGCAGCCCCAACATTTAACTTTTAAAAAAATTAGTAAGCAGTACAAGTGGAGATGTACTAGAAAGCAGTCCACCATTTCACTTTGTCTGTAAGTTCTGTGTCACTTTTAAGCATTTACAGGCACTGTCTTTTAACAAACTCCGCCTAGAAAAATATGAAAAATTGCAATATATAATCTCCAGAGCCTCAGACCATCCTGGATGTCTGGCTGTTGTAAAAGGGCCAGTACCCTGACATGTGGAAGGATACGAAGGTCTGATCATTACTTCCTGCAACCTAAATTAGTTTGCAATTCAACTAATGTAGTATTGACGGTTGAATCTTGCTTTTACACAGGGGCAGAAGAACTGCAAAACTAGTATATTACATTTCTCCTGCATTACATTTCTGTCCCCCATTGTCTTTTCTAACCTCGAGTTGTCACTAATCATATACACACCGTAAAAAGAGGTGTTTCCAAAAGGGTTGTCACTCAGAGGCACATCGTAGATTCTGTGATCGCGCTGATCCAGCATCGTCTCTCTGAGCACTTTGCCAAACAGCAAGGCCCCGTCATGATACCCAGCCACGTAGTCGTTAATCTGCCCATGAAATAGAAAAACTCACAATAACATCAAACAATTCGGTAACTTTTTTCTATTCGCAGTGTTTAGTAAAAACGCTGCTCACCGTGTCGTTGTATTGATCCATATGAGATCCAGACGTGTAGTTCCTCGGTGGCAGAGTGACAACCACAACATCTTGCATGGCCTTTATAGATGTTGTGTTGAGGTAATACTCCGGGCTACAGGAAGGTAAAGTAAGGTAAAGGGTGGTGTTAGAAAAATCTACGCGCATCCACATTAATGATCAGACATCACCGTTTATTTAAAGAAAAACTGACAAAATACTAAACAAAACTCTAAACTCTCTAAAGATTTGAAGCCATACGGCGTATATCTTGGGTACATTTACTCATTCAGATTTCACAATGCGGTCTCTATTGTGCGGTTAATAAATTGTTTGCCTTCCACTCATCGTGAGCACCTGTCACCTGTCGTCTATTATAGGGCCAAAACCACGCCTATGTGACGTCACCATAATAATACATTGATGGTCGACATCAATCAAAAACAATAATAATAATAATAATGATAATGCATTTTATTTATGGGCGCCTTTCAAAGCTCTCAAGGACACCTTACAGAGCATAATTAAAAACAAGCAACAAAGAAGATCACACAGTAATACAAGACTTCAAAAACAAAGACTTCAAAAACAAAGACTTAAAAACAACAATCAGTTTAGCAGAATTAAGGTATTGAATACGCCAGTTTAAAAAGGTGTGTTTTCAGGCTGGATTTGAAGGTTGAGAGTGAGTCCATATTGCGGATGTCTTGTGGGAGAGAGTTCCAGAGACGGGGGGCAGAGTGGTTGAAGGCTCTTGACCCCATGGTGGTCAGGCGGGCAGAAGGTACAGTGAGTTGGAAGGCAGAGGAGGATCGGAGATCACGAGAGGGAGTGTAGATGCGAAGGAGCTCAATACATATAAATAATAAAACATATACAAAACATTCATAATTGTAACGGAGGTGATCTCTGGGCCCATAGATCTCGGCCTCCGTTACGGGTAATATAGCACTAAAAACATTGCACAGGAAGCATGGGAATATATGTAATTATAGTTTGTCTGTCTCTGTTTCCTGGTTTCATGTTAAAAGTGTTCCCCCATGTCTGTGGCTGTTGATTGTGTGCACCTGGTGCCCTGTGTTGTCTCCTCCCCCCCCCACCTGTGTCGAATTGCTGATTAGTGTGTGTATTTAGGGTCTGTTGCCCTGTCTGTTTTGAGGCTGGTAGTGTGTGTGAGATCCTGGTGGCTGCAGGCTGTGCCCACATGAACAGCAGCAGCAGGATTGAGGCTGTGTGTATTGTGTTCATGCTGTAATAAATGCCCACACCGGGTTATATTTGGGACGTGCTGCCTCTGCCTCCTTGCTTGGTCTGGGCCGCTCAATTGTCAGCTTCACAATTGGTGTCAGAAGTGGGATTGACCAAGTGAGGAGGTGAGAGTGATGGAGGAACTGCGGGAGAGGATGAGGTCACTCCTGCAGCTTCAGGCAGCCGGTGAGCAGCAGTTCGCACGGGAAGAGGAACGGAGACTCCGGAGGCAGGACGGCAGATTGGCTGGAGGCTCGACGGGCGCTGGCTCTGCCGCTGAGGCATCAGAGATCCTGGCGGAGAACCAGAGATTGGTGCAAGAGCAGAAAGAGCAGCAGCTCTGGTTACAGAGGGAAGAAGAGAGGAAGGCAGAAGCATTGAGAACGGTTGGAAAGATGGCGGCGCACACTCAGAAGAATAACAAGCCAAGGAAACCTGGAGGAAAGGAGTCGCAGCTTTTGATAATTGCCAAAACTCCGGAGTTCGTCCGGGAGGTGATGGGTTCCAGCACCGGTGCAGGCAGCGGGGAGTTCCACGTTTACCGGCACCTCCGACGCAGGAAGAAGCGGGAAAAACTGAAGCGCAAAATGCGGATGGCAAAGATAGCCGAGAAGGTCCGTCAGGAGAGAGAGCGTGTCAGACCGCAGAACCAGCAGGAGTGCATGGAGAGGAAGAAAGGGAAGCTTCTTTTCGACTTCACGGCCCCCCCTGAGGAAGCCAAGATTCCTAAGACATTTTATTTCCTGGGGAGAGGGGTAAGGAAATGTAACGGAGGTGATCTCTGGGCCCATAGATCTCGGCCTCCGTTACGGGTAATATAGCACTAAAAACATTGCACAGGAAGCATGGGAATATATGTAATTATAGTTTGTCTGTCTCTGTTTCCTGGTTTCATGTTAAAAGTGTTCCCCTTCCCCCATGTATGTGGCTGTTGATTGTGTGCACCTGGTGCCCTGTGTTGTCTCCTCCCCCCCACCTGTGTCGAATTGCTGATTAGTGTGTGTATTTAGGGTCTGTTGCCCTGTCTGTTTTGAGGCTGGTAGTGTGTGTGTGAGATCCTGGTGGCTGCAGGCTGTGCCCACATGAACAGCAGCAGCAGGATTGAGGCTGTGTATTGTGTTCATGCTGTAATAAATGCCCACACCGGGTTATATTTGGGACGTGCTGCCTCTGCCTCCTTGCTTGGTCTGGGCTGCTCAATTGTCAGCTTCACAATAATATTTTATTATAAATAGAAATAAGATAGAAATGCAAAATGGCTTCAACAGGTGGCATTGTGCTACATCTTTACTTGCCGAAGAAAAAAGGTTTTACCATCAATTCAGAAGTCTTTTTTAACACATTGCATTACATTTCATTTAGCTGACGCTTTTATCCAAAGCGACTTACAATAAGTGCATTCGACCAAGAAGATACAAACTTGAAGAAAACAGAATCATATAAGTACATCAGGCTTCATAGAGCCAAAACATTTCAAGTGCTACTCAACTGGCTTTAGATAAGCCAGTCCTTTATTAGTATATAAGTGCTTTGTTAATAGTTCTATCGCTCGAAGTGGAGTCGAAAGAGATGAGTTTTCAGTCTGCGCCGGAAGATGTGTAAGCTATCTGCTGTCCTGATGTCAATGGGGAGCTCATTCCACTATTTTGGAGCCAGGATAGCAAACCCACGTGTTTTTGCTGATGGGAACTTGGGTCCCCCTCGCAGCAGAGTCCTGCACGGGTCTGATTTTCAAGACCCGCTCCCGCCCCGCACCCGCGACGTGCAATACCGAACCCGCCCCGCTACCCGCACATATTGCCAATTAGTTCCGCAACCCGACCCGACCCGTCGGCACAAGATCCGCAACCCGACCCGAACCCGCATATGAGCAGTGAAAACGTGCAATTAACACACGCAGTTGCATATTTGTCTCAAAAAGCGTGGGATGTTGGTTCTTTCCTCCATCTAGGATGACACCAAAAGCCTCCCAGATGTTGGATTTCGCTCTTGAGGAAGTGTTATTGAAAATGCTGTATTCTCCGCTAGAGAGCTTCACCTCAGCCATTTCGAATGTGGCGCGCACAGCAGCAGATTGATGCGCTGCAGAGGTTATGATTATGCGCAGTCCTGCGGGGGAGAGGTCTGAGGATTTTAAACATTAAACTAAATTATTATTATTTTAATATATTTATTATGCAATACCCGCGACCCGACCCGCATCATCTTTGTTTTACCCAGAACCGAACCCGGAAAAAAGCGTTTGAAAAAATACCACCCGCGAATCACCTTTTCTGCGGGTCACCCGTCGGGTACCCGCGGGGACCCGACCCGATTCAGGACTCTGCCTCGCAGTGAGGGTGCAGCGAGCTGTTTGGCTGATGCAGAGTGGAGTGCACGTGCTGGGGTGTACAGTTTAACCATGTCCTGGATGTAGGAAGGGCCAGATCCATTCGCAGCATGGTACGCAAGTACCATTGTCTTGAAGTGGATTCTAGCAGTTACTGGAAGCCGGTGAAGGGAGCGGAGGAGCGGCGTGGTGTGGGAGAATTTAGGAAGGTTGAAGACCAGACCAGCCGCTGCATTCTGGATGAGCTGCAGAGGCCGGATGGCACATGCAGGTAGACCAGCCAGGAGGGAGTTGCAGTAGTCTAGGCGTGAGATGACGAGAGCCTGGGCCAGAACCTGCGTTGTTTTCTGGGTCAGGAGGGGACGTATCCTCCTGATGTAAAGAGTGTATCTGCAGCAGCGGGTTGTTGCAGCGATGTTTGCAGTGAAGGACAGTTTGTTATCTAGGGTCACACCCAGATTCCTTGCAATCTGAGTCGGGGAAACAACAGAGGGGCCGACACTGAACATACTCATGAAGTAGATGTGCTTACTTGTAAATATCGATGAGAATGAACATGATGTCCGGATCCATCGGGCCCATCTTCCCCTTTATTGAAATAACGTCGTCAGGGCTCCCACATAGGATGAAAACTGAGATAAATAAACCAGTTTCATTATGACAGAAAGGGTATGTTTAAGCTTTACACATGTGCATTTAGGGGTAGCAAATAAGGACACTACCTCAAAATATCCCTTAAATGTCTCAATTTCATGAATATCCTGACTTGTCTTTGCAATCCTTGTCACTAGAAGTGTTTTTTACCGATTATGTTCTTGTTAAATCTTGCTAAACCATACATAGGGAAGTATTTATACATCATTCAATTAATCTGTAGGGGATTTTTAACATTTGCCTTTGAGGTCGACATTTGGTTTGCAAGTTTTGTTGAATCTCAAGCGGAAATACTTCATGCATTATGGTGTAACTTTAACAAATACTCACTGTTGCTGTGTCTTTTCTTAGCGTTAAGTGCTTTCTTCAGTTCCACCTCCCCACGCAGCATCTCTCTGGATGTCTGTGAGGCAAACCTGGCAGAGGGAGCTTCCAATGCATTGATATACCTGTGATAAAAGCAAGGACGCAAAATTAAAAAGATGTACACATGCTGCAGCGCTGAATGATCCGACAAAAGTCAATCTGATAAACTGTGTTGTCCCACCAGAAGCAGTCCTCAGATACGTTGATGGGTTTCTTGTAGACATAGACTTGCTCCCAAGGATACTTAAAATCCAACGTTTCCTTCAGGAAGTTGATGAAAAAGTCTGCGATCTTGCGAGCCGGAGGCAGAATTCGGGTCAGTTTGGATTTATAGTCACAGGAGAGGCCGAAGCTCCCAGCTGAGATGACGGGAATGCTCAGGCTCAAACCAATCTCATCACTGAGGTGGATAACAGGAGGGGGGTTTAAAAGTAAAACATCAAAAAAGTTCTTTGATGGTGGATAATCAAAAAGAAACAGTCATACTCACTCCACTAACTGGAAGGTGGCATAAGTGCAAGAAGGCCCCAGCATGACGCATCCAACTTCACCCATATTCTGCAGAAAGATACATAATTCTGTCATCAAAAAGGCCTTATAAGTGATGTCACTATATTACAGATGTAATCAAAGGAGTCCAATGGAGGAGTTTCAGGGACACTTTGGGATTTTAGCCTTAGGAGACCATTTACATGCACAAAAACTTATAGAACACACTACAGGTAAGGGAAAACCCCCAAAAAAGCATAATAGGGCCTCTTCAACTAATATCAGTGTTTCCCCATACAAATAGTGGCGGTGCATCGCTGCTGCTGAAATATAATAAGTGGCGACCCTTTTTCATTTTTGATTGTTTGTTATGTGGATTTGTAGTATTGTGTTACTGTATGTTCAATAAAGGTGTATTTTTGCTAAATCTTGAGACATTGCCACTGTATGTACTAGGCAGGGCCGATTTTTGGCTGCGCTAACGGATATAAGAAGTAGATGTTTCTACAACCAGGGTGGAGGAGAGCTCTCCTGTCAGACTGAGAGGCTCTGTGAGGTAAAGGACTCTCTGAGTGTTTAGATAGTTAACTTTAGTCTAAGTTATCTCAGTGGGTCTCAAACGTTTTGACCACAAATTATGTAAACACATATTTCCAAGGCACTCCTTTATAACTATTAGGATAAATAAAAACAGGTTTGAAATAATTCCAATGTATACTATAGGACAGTAAACCAAAATATCGTTTAAAGTTGGAGAGATACAAAAATATGCATAAATAAATAAATGTTAAGGTAAAATAAGATATGAATAAGATTATTTTTTATTCTCTGTTTCTTGTCCTACAATTTCACCCTGGTCTAGAAGGAAAGCGTTCTCGGACGCCTTTTCAGCTCTGTTTCCTGCTATATTCTTCCTACCCCATTTACCTTGAACTATTCTAGGAGAGTGTGTTGACGTTGACTCGTTGGGCCTTTCCTCCTGTACTTTTTTGTTCCCCAGTTCTTTCCTTTAAACTTAATCTAGGAGGGTTCTTAGGCCTTCCCATTTCCTACTTTTGATTAGTTTAGTTTTTCACCCCTGTTCCTTCGTACTAATTTAAACGGGGGAGTGCATTTACGTAGTTTCGTTGTGCCTCTCGGCGTATACTTTGATTTTCTGTCTCTTTGGAGAGTGCTGTTACGTTTAGTAAATTGGGCCTTTTCACTTTTATCCCTCTTCACTAGTATCCCATATCCCCTCTTCATAATCTACACCCGATTCTAGGGTAAGCACAAGCAGGCCTGTTCATTTCAATTTCTGGCTTTGTGTTTCTTCATCTCTTACTCGTTTAATATTTAGGAGAGTGCATTTACGTAGTTTCGTTGTGCCTCTTTTCCTCTGTTTCTGGCTGATCTTTTTTTTTTCGTACCCTTGTTTCTCAGAGAAGAGAAGAAATACTATTCTAATAAGGAGCTGGCACATGTGTCTCTTCACTGATACATTGGGGGGTCAAAGGTCATAGGACAAGGGATTCCATTGGCGGCATGCGCCGGCCTGTGCCTTTAACCGTGTACTTCTGGTAGAACTGCTCGGGTCTTGATAGATTGAGTGGGGAAGTTCATGAGATATTTCTAGAAAATAAAATAAGTTACATTTATTTGTTATTGGCTATGGTAGGTTATTGGTTATGTTCACATATTTATTTGATTATTAAAATGTAAACCGATCTTTCTCATATGGGTGTTTTAGAGTTGTACACCCTAGATCAGGTCTCTAGTAATTGTGTGCTCAAAGTGCACCAGATTGAAGCATTTTACTTTAAAATGTTCAAAAATCTTCTCGAGGGGCATACCCCCGGACCCCCCTAGAGGATGTGATGTCCACCCCTCCAATTCAAACATGTTCATACAATACTGAATACATTTGAAGCCATTTTGACGTATATTAGCTATGTCAATACATTTCTGTTTTTGTAGTGTATTTGTCTTTTGTAGAGATTTTTCATTTATTCTTTATATATAAAATCTCGCCTAGGGCAGCAAATTGTCTAGAACCAGCCCTGGTCACTAAAACATTCCACGCGCTCCGCGCTCACATTATACAAGGGAAATTGTTATCGAGCATTAAGCCACAGCCTCCAGTATGAACATAGCAAAGTTTAATCCCTTGATCTTATCACCATCAACAGTAGCTCACTTGTTAACAATGAGATTTTCCAAGGACGAAGAGGACAACGGTAAAAGGAAACACAGAATAACAGATTGAGGTTCTGGTTTCTTGTTTTCAGGTACCAAATTGTCCTTGCAACATTTTTAAATCTCTCAGTGAGTCTTTACCTTTAAGCGTTTTTACTGCAGAAACTTATGATAAATTGGCCTCAATGAATGCACCAAAAGACAACCTCTTAAATGTCTCCTATTATGGAAAATCCACTTTGTCATGTATTTTCTACATCAACATGTGGAAAGAGATTCTGAAAGTTTCAGGAAAAAAGATTCTCTCTCTTTTTGTCCTGATCCATTTATATAAAAAAGCTGTCTGAAAATGAGCTGATCAGATTTTGGCCACTTTATGATGTCATAACGAAGTTTTGGCTTGTGTAACCATTAGCCCATCAGCAACCAAGGTAACCCCCCCCCCCCCCCACCTTATCACCTGAATCTCCTCCTAGAGCACCATTGTGTTCTTTGTAACCAAATCTCTCTCTGAGGGGCGTGGGGAGGGGCTCCTTATTTTCATCTAAAGTAACAGACAGAGAATCAGCACTTTGGAAACAGGGCTGAAACAGAGGGGATTATGGGACGGTGCAATGATCTGTTTGGTGTTTGGAGCCAAACACTTCAGAGACATGTTTTGTATATATCTGAGACCTATAATATATTGATGAAAAACAGTATAATAATAAGGGACCTTTAATGCATCTCATCCTTGGTATTCAACAGTCGAATTTGACATCTTTTGACCACTCACATGCAGTAATTTGAGTATCGCCACTCCCTCACAGGTGCTGCTGCCACAGCCCTGCCGGTTGTACACAGTGGTGTTGAACCCGTTGTAGTTTGCTGTCAACGTGAAGTTTAAACCTTCGGGAATGGAAAGAAGATAAGAGTGATTAATATTAAAATTGAACTCATTAATCTCTTATGGCCGTCAAGATTAAATTACACTGAATCAAGCTGCCACTGGTCCAAATACCACCTTTGATTTGTCATCAACAATTATCTAAAATGACATTTACAGCAGCAGCGAGAAATAATATATTAGTTTAATTTGATGATAAGAAGACTAGCCTATGACCTTATTTTTGGTATGAATTTCACACATTGTATGGCTTATTTCAGAAACTTGGGTACTGCCAATAACAAACCAAATATTTTAAAGGAAGTTTCTTAAATTTAGGAGAGAGATTCTCTTGAGACGCTTTTTAGCCTAGCTAAGCACAAATGATAACAGCTAGCTTCAGTTAGAAACAAATATTTGATAGACAGCTTCACCATTGATTTATTCATATGTGTATTCTTTCAATGTGCAAGCCAGGCGCAAAAATATCCAAGTAAGAATAAGTTATAGCAAATAAAAACGACTCATTATCAAATAAAATATGTGTTAATTGTAATTCATGACTCAAAAGCCAGGTTCGAAATTCTTGTTTTATTTTGTTTACATTTTAAAGTCAGGTTTCCAAGGTTTTTATAGAGGGAATTCTCAATGCACATGGTTGGGTACCAAACCAAACCTCCTTACCTTTGCGTGTAATGTGTCCATACTGTAGTACTGAAATTATGTGAAGCACTGATTATCATTGAATGTCAGGTCTTTACTATTTATTCTTTGATCAAAATGTTCTTTATTTAAATCAAAAATGTTTCTAGCATTTGCCTATTTTATCTAGCGAGTTCTTGAGTTATTGTACAGCTACTTGTTACTAGCTAATAGTTGAGACAAATCAAGTTTAGGTTTCTCAAAGTTCTGTCTCAAAAAAGGTATTCTTTGGTGTTCAGGACCAAAGTCAGTACAAATCAGCACTAATACTGAAATATCTCAAATGTTGCACAAAACCAATGTCCCTGCCTTGGCCCCATGTTCAAATCTTCTAGAAAACATCCTGTTACATCGACTACATGTCCTAAAGTATTTGTGAAATGTAAATAACTCCATTCTAAATTTTATTTAAAAGCATAACAATGTTATGAGTCCATTTAAAAGGTTATTTATCTGTAAAAAGGTTCATCCAGGAAATAAGGACAAGTAAAATGACATCTAAAGTAAACCATTAATCCAAATGAGATCTTTTATGAACAAATAAGTTAATAAAAAAACAATTTGGGCCTGATTTTAGTTTTAAATTAAGTTATTTTATTATTTACTCAACAGTTGATGCCTTATCACTCAACAGTATGCAGAGGAACTAGTTAATACATTCATAAGCAGCCACCTTGACTTCTGTTTTAATGGTTTTCCAGTGGCTGCTATCACTTCCAGGTTTAAAGCTGATGTCCAGCGATATAACTCTCATAAAATGTAAATTCCTTCTGACAGTCATGATTGATTCTTTATCATTAGGTTTAATCATTTTGGCTGCTCCAAATTGTATCAAATGATTATTCTCTGTAAGATTCATTCAGCCTTTCATAGGGTTAGGGTTAGGGTCGGTCCATACCATGTTTAATGTTCTCCTGTCTGTCCTCTTCGATGGCTGCTTCCAAAGCACTCTGCACAAACTTCCGACTCCATCCATAAGTGTCGTCCTCCAGAAGCACAACATTCATGGTGAACTCACGCTTTGATGACAAACACTCCTCCAGCATCTTGTTGGCGACCACCGCCATTACTAACACACCCAGGTAGGGTAAACTGTGTGAGCTGTACATCTTGTTCCTTGAGTTTTTACGGTCTTATCCACCGTTTCTACATGACAAACAGTATATATCAACCTGTTCAGATAAAAAATGGCTGAAGGTAGGTTTTTACATTTGTCCGACGGAAAAGATCCTCTCCATTGACGAAATGGTTCCAGAAAGAGACGTGAACTCTTTTGCAGAAGTCTTGATTGTCCAGCATCCAGAAGAAGAGATACTTTGATTGAGATCCAACCACTTTTACTACGAAAGACACTTGCTGTCTTAACACCAGTTGTTCCTTGAGTGTGAGCCTGAGATCAATAAACTTCCACCTTGCTACAGGCTGGTCTACCCATACGTTAATGAACGACAGCCAAGTCACAGTCGGTGCACCAGTCAGAGGGAGGGAGGGCAAGTAAGCTCTCACACTCCATCTGGACTCACTTAGAAACTTATAATGATCATAATTCATTGTGTTTGTAAGAATTTGTTTTACATCTCCTGTCTGATAAGAACAAAAATTATCACAAATACCATTTGTCCGTAATTTTCCATAATTTAAAGAATTAAAACACAAGTATCTTTCCCGGCTATTATTTATTATTATTTATAAAAGTGTATTATTAATTGCAGTCATGATTTGTCAACCGGTAATAAACTCTATATGTGACATATTCGATATTTTGCCTTTTTTTACCCAATCTGTTGTGTTCAGAGAGTCTTTGTTCGAAGCAGAGGCGGGGGAAAGCTCATGTAGGGTGAGGGGCAAAGGTGACAGGAGGCCATAAAAGTGAAGGCTTGTGTGGAGCTGATAAATAGTGTCTGCTATAAAAGCAGGGTGGATTTAGCCTATAAAAGTGTTGGCCAAGCTACTCATAAACCAGTGTCATCTCATTTGGAGAAAAGCAGCTTTAATCCTTCCAACACTAAACCAAACACACACAATATGGCTCTGCTGCTCCAACTTATTTCACATTGTAAAAAAAATAATTGAGTCACACCATTGCACTGTTTACATTGCCCTGGTAAAGCTTTGACCAATTGTGCGGCAGCTTACTTTCTGCTGCAGTATCTCACCAAATAAGCATCTGAATATAGTCACCAACAAATGCACTATTTACTTCTGTTTGAGAAATGTTTGGTAAAAACCATGCTGCCTAATAACTGCTTTACAAAATCAACTTAACATTCATTTGTGTTTATATACTTATTGGCAGTTTTTTGCCATGCTAGCGACATGGCTACATGGACGCCAATAGAGTGGTGCAGGAATAAGTCCTAACCTGACCTTACCTGACCTAACCTGGATATGAGTTAGCATATTAGATCATCTAGTTCCCTTGTAACAAAGTAATTTAAGATAGTCATAAGGTCTGTGGTTAACACAAGCTAAAAAGATGTTCACGTGTTGTTCTTTGTCATAAAATACCTCAGTAAATACCCCGCTGGTGAACATCTAAAGCTTTTTTTAAAACAGTGTATGCTAACAAGTGTCTAATGGCGCATTTCCACTACAGCGAGGAGCGCGGTTTAAGCCGTTTTTGGTTGCGTTTCCACTTGGCGTAGTACCGGCTAGCGGGTACTATTTCACAGTTTTTCTGGCCCCATAAAATCGAGGTTCTTAACGGGCCAACAACCAGGCTGAGTCGGGCTGAGTATGCTAAACTACAAAGAAGGAATCGCTGGCAAGGGGGCTACAACTACAACAAAATGAACATATTTGACCGTGATTTAATTGTAATACACATTTCAAAATGATGCCGGTTGTAAGGGAAACTTCTGTGTAGCAGCAATGCAGTGGGAGTCACCGACTCAGGAAAGAGACACGGGAAGTGCAGGAGCTTTGATGTCAAACACTGATGGTTTATTTAGAGTTTCGGCCGGAGAATTCACATCACAAGTCACAGCAGCCACGATCTGACTGCACGGGAGAGTTGCCACGTCAATTCTGGAGCGCCTCTCTCTCGTTAGCCCATTTAACTGGTTTAACTGGTAATCAACATATTATGATAAAATAGCCTAAACAGTTGGGAACACTGAGTTACTTGCGTCCGACACTTATGGCCTCGAAGATTTCATACCTTGGAGTACACAAACAACAAAGAAGGAAGTGTCCCAGTGCACCCACAACAATAAACCATCTGTGACCTAAGGTTGCCCGGTCACAGAATGGGAACAACAACATTATGGCTGAAGCAGCCTATCTCCTTAAAGGAGATAACAGACGTCAGGGTTGGTCATGCACGTCATATCTAGGAGTCTAGGACAATTATTTCCCTATATACTAACACCGTTTAGTAAAAACCATGAATTAATGCTTTGACAAGTCTGCAGACAGACGGCAGCCAAAAAACCTTTTAAAATGCGTGTTTTCTAAATGTAGCTTGGCTAAGCTAACGCAGTATATGCTCCGACCGTCCACACTCACAACAACGGCCGATACAGACATAAATAAACCAGCGACTGTATTCGCCATGACACAGATAGTCTGTGGTTTGTACTTGTTTAACTTTTGTCTAGTTTCTGAACAGATACGAGGAGCTGTGAGCTCAGAGGGCTAACAACTAACAGCTAACGGCTGATATTGTTTTTCTGTGGTTCGCATTGAAGATGACGTCACGGCTCCACCTACACTGCGTTACTATAGTTACTGCCCCAGCTACTAAACTGTAATGGAAACGCAGCGTAAAGTGAGTCTGTCCTAACAAGGCCTAACAATAGGGTGACCAGACGTCCCCGTTTTCCGGGGACAGTCCCCGTTTGTATTGGCCTGTCCCCGGTTGAAACTGTCCCCTGAAATGTCCCCGTTTTTTAATATACGTTAAAAACACATAGCAAGGTGCAATAAAACGTTTCATGTCAGGAAACACTGGGTAAATAGACTGTGGTCAAGCCAGCCCCCACTTCGGAAAACACAGTCAAAAGCACGTTGTATTGCGGTGCGCGAATATCCTATGGATTACGGTAGAGGCCTGTAAAAACTGCCTTCAAAATAAAAGCGTTTACTCGGTCAATAAGAAATATAGGCTACCTAAAAAACACACCAAACAAATTCATATATACTGGAGCTTAAATTAAGAATGATGTACTATATAATGTGATCAATAATAACTTAAAACAAACTACGTATAACTACCACATTATAACTGAGTGAATGTAAAATGTCAGGATACAGTTATGAAGACATCTGACATTTCCACTGGGTGACTAATTTCAATTGATGTTCGACATTTCTCACAACACTCTAAAAATAACATGACTTTCTGAAGATCTAAATCTCAAATTAGATCTATTGTCCATCTATATTTTGATTATTATTTAATCAAAGAGTCATTCGAAGTCAATCAAATACTTATTTCACTTCAGGGTGATAGCTGGAGACCCCATCTAGTCATTCAGAGAAAATCAGGACAATCTGATGTAGAATTTCAAAATAAAATACTTTTGAAATCTCATATATGTTTTTATACAAGAATAAATAAAAAACTGTCAAATTATCAAAGACTTATTTCCCTCCAGGGTGATAGCAGGACACCCCATCTAGTCACTCAGAGGGAATCAGGACAATCTGATGTACAGCTTCAAAATAAAAGACCTTTGAAGTCTCATATATGAGCTATCTTCCTTCTGTTTGTATCCAACAGTTCAAATGTTCGAATTACATTAAACCAGAATTGTCCCCCTTTTTTCTTTAACAGTGAAGACAATTGGATATGTTAATGATATATTGACCGCAAAACTCAAAATGTCCCTGGTTTTCATTTTGAAAATCTGGGACATTACCTAACAAAGCCTAACTATACCGTACTAAGCCGAGTGAGGCCCTGCAATGGAAATGCGTCATAAATTAGACTACTAAGCGTTACCATGCATACAATTAGCCGCTTTTAGCTTAGCAGTGGTGACGAGTAAGTATCATTAACGTGTGTTTGCTTGAGGTATTATTCTTGCAATACACCAAAATCCAATAGAAAAGTCCTTTTGCTTTTATCAAGTGACCTTTTGCGATGCTAACTTCCGGGTCTTTGCCATTGTCACCCATCTTATACAAATGCACTGTATTGCCCATCCTAAATCTTGCTGGTGTCAAACTCTTAATCACACCATTGAACTGTCTTTCTCACACAGTTTTATGCTCTCTGGAAATTAAATGAACGCTCTACTGCGTACAGTATATGGAGAAAAACATATGAAAGTTCGTAGTGTGCTTTTTCATTTCCTCCAATAAAGTCGCAATTAACACCAGAACCCATTAAATTACTACGCCGTGTGACTCCACACACAACACATACTATGTTTATACATATTTGTACAATATTTCCAACCTAAACTCCTGTCTTTCCAGTACAGTGCATCATCCCTCAGCTTCCTTACAGGGTTGTAAACGTCTTAAACAAACACACACGTATGACGTCGTAATAGCTCGGTTGGCTTGGGGCACACAGCCATTTACTCCCATTACCTTGTCAGGTGAAGAGGCTTTCCGTCCCAACACACCCTGGCATTTTATCAGGCAGAGGAAATGGTAACGTGTTAAGAGGAACAAGACCCTTAGTTTTATTGTGTCATGATGCCTGTTTGATAGCAACTGAACGCTGTTAACAGTGCTTGTTATTGTTAGTCGGGGAAAAAAGGTTGCAACTGAGCACTTTCCCCTCTGTATGAAGGTAGATAAGAGCTCTGTTTTAATGGAGGCTTTCACAGAGACACAAACAGCAGGGTAGGCATGTTGGCCACACACACACACACACACACACACACACATATAAAAGAAGAGGCTGAGGTTAGAAGAAGTACTTGTTAAGCATAAACTCAATTTATCCATGTGAGCAAATCTTAACCTTACACTGTAAACATTTAAAAGTTAGGACAAATCAAATGTTAAGGCAACTTTCTGTCTAACTTTAAGTCTTGAGTTATACACACACAAAGTAAAAAAGTTGTGCCACAAGAATAACAAATGTGCCTACTTTAGCTACACAAAAGTACTATTATTCAGATTAAGGATGTAACGTCGGTGCTTCGTCTGCAACATTTTCCCTCTTGGAAGGCAGCGTTAGCTAGGTAATGTTCAAGGTGGCTAACGATTCAGTAACAACCAGAATACGGTGCCTTTAACCAGTAATCAACACAACCAACTGAATAATTTGCATGCAATTACTGTAATGCTAATTACAATTGAGTTTCGATGCAATATTCAAACAAGGTGCTCACTTTTAGGAAGAAGAAGTCCAGAGAGGAGATTGCTGCACATGTGGGAAATACAAGAGGCAAAGCTCACAGAACATGGTTTTAACCTCAAACCTATAAATGTGAGTTTTGAGAACCTAACTTGTGAAATTAGACAAACTTTACAGAACAAACTTGGTAATGATAGTTGAGATTTGATGTAGTCAGAAACACAATAAAATACATTTGGTTTACCAAAAAATCAGGCCAACAGCGTTACTTTTTTACAGTGTACTGAGTGACAACCCCTTACCCTAAAACAAACTCAGACCATGTTAAACCCAAGGAAATGTATTTCAAAGATCCATAAAAGGGATCCAATAAAATGGCTGAATTACAGTGTTTAAAAATATGCTTACTTCAGTATTTATTGTTGCCATAAAACAAGGCCATTATGAATTTCATTGCATGTCTCAATGTCCATGTGATACATCTGGGCAAGTAGATGAAGAATATACATGTTGTATTGTCAAACTGGGAAAAATATTAATCTTTACATTCTTTTTGTGTGTCTTTTTTGACAATTTCAGTCATTCTGAAATTACTATAGAACGAAACTTTGAGGAAAAAACACATTTGTTATTTGTGTTATCTGGATTGTTGGACCTCTCAACCTGGAAACATTTATCCATTTGAGTCTGAAAACTATAAGGGCACTAAGGGCAATGATAGTGTATTAATCCGAACACAAGTCCCCAAAAAGCCCATTTGTATTCTTGTTAAGCTGTTAAAGGTAATAACTTATAACAAAACTTTTAAAGAGATGTTTTAAAAGATTGACATATATAGGAACAAATGAGTCTGGGGGCAAAGTGACAATTTGAGGAATTCAAGAGTTTGGAGAAGGATTAACTAATGGACTCGCGAGATGTGTTGACAATAACACTTTTTTTAAACACAAGCCTTATCCCCTTGAGTAAAGGTTAAAGCTATAAGACCCCATCTGCTGGAGTCAGAGCAAACATGGGGATTGAGGTCAGATAAAGAAGCATGCTCATTATTTAAGAAGCTAATCATTAATCTCTTTACGATAAGGCAATCATTCCCCTCGGTTCCTCCCTCATACTATTCGACCATATTGATTGGCATCTTACTAATAAACCTTGCACATAACTATCTGACCTTAATGACACCACATTCGTTAGCTTTCCGCACTCTAAACTCAGACAAAAAGACCAAAAGCTCTGATAGCATGGTCAAAATACACCCAAAAATACAGGTAACCTAAAAATGCCAAGAAACAATACCCTATCTCTTGTTTAACCTCAGCTCTATTCAGGGGTGATTTATGATTGCTGTGACAGGCAGAAAAGATAAACATGCAGGTGATTTATGGTGCCAGTATTAAGCTGGTCACCTGTTGCAAAATTGCCCTCGTCAATAATTGCTGCAAACTGTTTCATCACATGTTACTGAAGAAGTCCATCTTATGTTCTTGAGAATATATTTGCTTTGTTTCGTTAACAAGTTAGGACACCAAATCACACACAATCGCACAACAACAGAAGTCGAGGATAACATGATGAATCCTTATTTCCCGATACGTAAAAACCCACAAATCAAGGTGACTAATGGTTCCACTTTTCCTGTAATCCATATTTTTGTTATTATTTACTTTCAGTTTTAGTATGAATCTTAAATCAGGATTCATGTTTAGGTATACTTGAATTATACTGAACATTTTTTGGCCGACAAAGCTTTTGTTCTAGTTTTGAATTGTTTATAAATCGAAATGCAATTCAACATGTTGCAATACAAAACAGTACATGTCATTTTAGCTTACGCTTTTATCCATAATTAAAATGTAATACTTTAGAAAAGCCTGTAACAATTGAAAAGTATTTATGTTCAGACACATGGGAACTTTCTTGATGTATTTTTTGATGTATTTGTGTCATGCCCTCCTCTGACAAACATGATAATGTAATTACTTCATATGCATTTGTATACAGATGGTGAAACATTTTAAGGTATTTGACTTAAAATTGTATGTTGGGTTGGATGCCTGATGAACAGTCATATGAATGTGTCTTTATGAGAGCACAATAACACTCTCTCTGCCATTCTGCCCTCTTGTGGAGGTTTTGGCCCAATGAAGATGAGATGCATGCTGAAGGAGATGTATCCAATACTTAACAGTGGAAATGTGTGTTTTGTTGAAAGCATTAAGAAGAAAAAAGGGATTCAGGACAGCACAGGAAGTTGAAAATATAATGAAAATATTTGTTGTTGCACATTGTATATCCGACCTACATAATAAGTACAACATTAAAAGTCATGTCTGCCAGCTGCAAGCCTGACACTGCCGCAAAGTAACAGATGTTGGCATGGGTGGAAGACAGTAATCAAATCAAGAGGAGGGGTAATGTGATCTGAGCTCGCTAAATACAATTTCAAAAGGAACCAGTAAAACACGATGCTGACAAATGTAAAACGACCATACATTAGTTTGTATGTTGGTGTGTCAAACACAAATGGTGTTTGACACACCATTTGTGTTATGAAACCTCTAAAAATCATTACATTTACATTTTAATATTTCTAAATGTCTTAAACGTACAAGAGGCAGCCTGAACAAAGGACCTGTTTAATTTGGGAAACCAGAAACAATGCAACATGTAATTATTCAATTTCTGGAACTGTAATCTTGATTTTTATGGATACTGGACCGATCGAAAGGTGAGTGTCAGCTGGTTTCAAGCTTGAAAAACGTGTAGGCTATCTTCTCAAAACGATGGGGAGGATTAATTGTGGCTTGTTTGTTTCATGGAAAGAATGAAATATAAATAAATATTAAATTGCAACAACTTGGAAGCAGTGTGGGTGTACTTGCTCAAGTGCCAAGGAGGTGAAATGGCCTCTCTCAAAGTACTTTGAGTTCTCTCAAAGTGTCAAACTTGGTCTATTTGGGGACCTGAACCGGTGACCCCCCGGTTCCCAAGAAGATGCCCCCACAGTCTGAGCTACTGCTGTCTTATGTGGGTGTGTAATTGAGTAATTAAAACAAATGTACAAAACAAATGCAATGTCAAAGCACTTTAACCAACAAATACATATTTTTAGCAATATTATTATTTATTATTATTATTATTATAATGTTTTACTATTTAATAAAACATATATAAAATATTACTCTTTTTATAAAAACTGATTACTTTTGCAAAGGAACTGGTCTTTTACTTAAATTGCTTGTGAAAATAGATCATTTTAAGCAATATATTATTTTATTTTGAAACGTATTTGCAAGTTTTACCCCCCTTACTGTTGTGCATGATTTGTTTAAGTGGAATAGTTTTTCCTTAATTATAAAAAAGAATTATTATTATTATTATAAGAAGTATTACTATTCTATTCTCCCATTAAAAATGTATCATTCACAACAGCCTGTGGTGTTTCCATAGACTTTATATGCAAATGCATATATATTTTTTGTAATGTGTTTGCTCCCTACTGTTATGTATGACATTTATATAACTAATAATAATAATTAATAATTCATTGCATTTATTTAGCGCTTTTCCAAGTTCGCAAAGCGCTTTACATAACATTATATGGTCATTCCAGAATTGGAGGACATTTCATGTCCCCCATATAAAAAATCTAATAATCCATGCCCAAAAAGCTAAAACATGCACGTGTTGTGTTAAACATACTTGTATTGAGACAAAATGTATATAAAGTTGTAGAAAAAGTGGTTTCAAAATATTATTTAAATGATCAAATAGCTCTCGAACACCTCCTAAAATGGCATTTTTCTGTTGTCCCCGCTTCTTGGGGACCAACTTGCATGTCAAATATAACATTTAAAATAGGGATTTTATTTACTTTTGTTGGTATTATTCTATTGATATATGTCTCTTGTAATGGTAAAATGACTTTGTTAAATCATAAACATATTTTAAATAACAGTAATTTTGCACCGAAGGTGTGTCCCTCAACATGCGTTCAACCCTGTTACCCAAACCTTTTTAGATTGGCAGAGGAATGTCAAATGACACAGTGGAAGTGACATCAGCAAGCCATGTGCTAGTGACCAAAACTAAGTCCTCTCTTTTATTTTTCATATTTTTACTATCGTTTCAGTCTTAAATGAGTGTGGCACTCTGACCCACTCAACGCTGTTACTGATATTATCAGAATAAAGCATATTCATTTCAAAGTTATCTTTCTTGCATTAGATATCCAAGTTTGTCCTTGCCTTGAAAGTAGCATTACATGCTACATCCAGCAATAATTCCTGAGGTTAAAGCTCAAATTAGCATTGATTTTCAACCCTGTTACTTTCAACCCTGTTACTATGATTAGAGTAACAGGGGTAATTCTTCATTGGAAAATATACATTTGATTCCTTAGCTGGGCAAATCACTTTTTTTGATGATTTATTATCTGTTTTTCCTAAATACATAAAAGAATTTAAAAAAGGTTAATTTTTCAAAAATGTTGGTGTCTAAATTGTGATTGTCCTCCAATTCTGGAATGACCCATATATCAGACATGTAATACATCAAGTAGGAGTTTAACATATATATTTTTTAATTTGTGTTTCCATAGACTGTACATTTTTTCCTGGCGTGTTTCTGTGCAGCATCCATCATTTAATTTGTAGGTAAAAGGTCGATTCGCTGTGTTGTGGACATGCATGGAAATCGATCTGGCCCGCCCACCCGTTGACGTCACGTCGTCCTCGCTTGTGATTGGCGGACGGGTGACTTACAGTGTTGCGAAAGAGCCGATACTGACAGCACGCCGTGTTTGTTTGTTGGTGCTGAGCCGGGCCGAGCAGAACCGAGCCAAGACAGCAGGACTGTAGACCCGAAGAAGGAAGAAGAACCAGAACAAATAACTGTCCTGGAAGAGAATATTTAATGTAACCTTGGAGTCGGGTTTTCATTCTGATATAACTGACTGCTGAATATATTGTGTATATACGTAAATGTGTGTTATTGCGTGTTTGTTTGCACGAGGGTGGACCTTTAGCTAAAACGTCCAAATAGTACAACAGACAAACTCGTAAGAGAGGAAGAAATGGAGAAATCAGATGTCTTCTCCTCGGACCGAAATATCCTGTGCCTGTTTGACGTGGACGGTACTTTGACTCCACCGAGAGAGGTAAAACTGATCATTTCAATTATGTGTTTGTTTACTATCTGCAACCTTTAAAAGCATATGTCAAACACCCACCCACGAAGGGCTGTGTTATAATATGGTAATGTAAAAGTATGTTAATGTATGGTGACCTATTTTAATCCTGATTAACTTATCAGCCTCATGGGCTTTCATTAGTGTTTTGTATTACATTTTTGCAACCATGCCTTTGATTATCTGGGCGAAAATTGACAACGATATACATATACATAGTTTTCGTTTCATTTTTATAATAATGTTCGTTTAACTGGATGAATCATCTCCGTTTCAGTTGTCTTGAAACGTCCACTCTCTCTTCTTCCTTCCATTTCTCATTGGGCTGCTTGAATGATTGGGTTCATGTTAGGTAACTGGTGTTAGTGTGTGTTGTTGTGTCGGGACCATATGTTGTAGAAATTAGACTTCTTCTGTGCCAAATTAAAAAGTCACAAAGGCAAACTGTACTGTTGTGTCCATTGTTCTCTGTTCTCCCTCTGTAATTATGCTTCAACAACACAGTGCGGCACACAGAGAGTGTTCACATGTGGGTGTGTAATGTGGACATAAAGATAAAACACAAATGACAAAACAGCTAGAGACATGCTGTTACGTTAAGAAAAGTATCTCCAAAATCTAGTCTCCAACCACAATACCTACATGATGTATATGTATTGACCTGCCCAATAAGGAATGTCTGTGTGTTTTAAGGGTGGAGCTAACCAGTTAACCCAAATAATTATCATGACGTGCATGTTCCTGTAATCTACAGAAAATCGACCCTCAGTTGGACGAGTTCTTCCAGTCGCTCCGGAGGAAAGTGAAGATCGGCATTGTGGGAGGGTCGGACTACTCCAAGATAGCTGAGCAGCTCGGGGACGATGGTGAGTCCTCTTCCTCTTCCTGTCTGAACCATGTTTACACTGCAGGCTGTATCAGTCACGAGGATGGATGACAATGCATGACCTCACACTTTTTATTGTAACTTCTTCACACAAGTCAACAGAGAATAGGGTCCTTGGGAATTGTATAGACATAAACAACACACCTGACAGATATAATAAATAAAAAGTAGAAGTGCTTTTTCCTCCTCTATTTGTGTCACAATCCATTGTTTCATGTTGACTAAGTTTTGTTTAACTCATCATGATTGTATTGTTGATTTCAACAGACTGCAGGGGAGCCATAGTTAAATAAAGGAACATATTGTCTAATTAGTGCAAACTTCTTTATGTAGCAGTTACAATAGTTTGGCTTATTGAATGTATCTGCAGGATTATTGACATGTTTGGTTTATTTTTGTTTAATAATCTGGTAATAACTGCAGCCCCAACAACCTCACAGCTGAATAGACAGAAGGAAGACTTGTTTATCTGTACATATTGTGGCATAACTGGGATGCACAACTACTGTGTCAAAAGGGAGCCATGTGGTTTCATATGTTTGCCAAAGTTGAATCTTGTATTTATTCTTCATGATGCACACATCACAGCAGATGATGTCGTAGCTGCTGGAGAATGTGATGGATTAGACATGCTGAAAATGTCACTCCAAATGACGATATTTTTTTAATAACTTCCACGTCATGTGACCTAGTAGCAATAGTTTAATTATCATGGTACCTAATGAAGCTGTTTAGGAAGTTGTACTATGACATTATTACATACATCTGGCAGTTATTTTATTATTAGCTTCAAGATGATTACATTGTTCTGGTTAAAGCTGTACAATGAAAGGTTCAGTGACCAAGCATTGACTGAGTTATTCCTGCAGAGTGTTGCAGTGCACTTCCAGGCCAAAGTGAATAGGAAAGCCAGTAAGATTAAACTTAGCTTTCTAGGTGGTGTTACAAACTCTTTAATCTGCCTCCAGGTAAATATAGCAGGCCTAGTTTCCCTTGTTCAGATTTAGCGGAAGAGCCACTCTTAATTTAGAGAGTGCAGGTTATTAAAAACCAGGTGAGCCCTTTAAACACATTTCATTTGTCTCTTCTCTTGCAGTGGTGGACAAGTTCGACTATGTGTTTGCTGAGAACGGGACGGTGCAATACAAGGACGGGAAACTCCTCTCAAAGCACGTGAGTAAACAGTCCCATTTGACTTGTTGCAATGTCAGCTTGTATGCGACATGTTACCTGTAACTACTAAAGAGGAAGACATGAATGAGTGCATTTGTATCCCATCAGGCCATTCAGAACCAGCTCGGGGAGGAGCTGCTGCAGGACCTGATCAACTTCTGCCTCAGCTACATGGGGCTCATCAAGCTGCCAAAGAAAAGGTGAGCAGCAAAGCCTCAGGTGGACTCACACACACACACACACACACCAGAGTTCCCGTTAGAATATTTTTTCGCCGGTCAACATGTCCGTTAAAGTTTAAATCTTCCGGACAAAATGAGAAAAGTGCCGGTCAAAGGTCTTCTTTGTTATTTATTGTGCTTTAAAACAAATTGATATGATTCGATATTAAACAAACTAATCATAGTAGATTAACTACATTATTCAAAAGTGTACAGTAATTTACAATAACACGGGAATAATAAACGGAGTGCTCTCTCCTTCTCCTGACAGCCCGTCAGTCTCATGCAGCTCGCGGATCAGTAATGAGTGACCCGACAGTAAAACTAAACATATCTATAACTAGTTACGGTAGTTTGAGAGGTGATTAAAATAGCTACGTGTGATATTCTAACCTGAAGTGTGTGTTTTGTCCGCTCACCGCTGCAGGTGATCATGCAGAGCTGCGTGTCGACTCGTCAGCAGCAGCTGATCTCTCTCTCCCGTCAGATTAGACTTCACTCGCGTTTATGTCCATATCGATCAGATCCAGCTCGTTCTAGCTAATGATAGGACTACCTGCTTATTAAAAGACACCTAAACAATAAGCATCGCTATGCAACCGGGTGAGGCCACAAAGTATAGCGCAGCATTATGCATTTGTTTACATGCCCACCGGAACCCCGAGGCATTACCAACAGATCAACGCACAATCAACCCATACAGGACATCTCTTTCTCCACATTAAGTGTTAGACATTAGAATGGACTATTCTTGTATCTCACATAAGTGGCGCAACTGATGCGGTATTGCGCTAAACGGAAATTATTTTGAACGGACACTTTGACCGGAGAGATTTAGATTTGCCGGTCTTCAGCATATTTTACCGGTCGTAGTCCGGTAATTACCGGCTAACGGGAACTCTGACACACACACACACACACACACACACACACACACACACACACACACACACACACACACACACACACACACACACACACACACACACACACACACACACACACACACACACACACACACACACACACACACACACACACACACACACACACACAACTGCATTCCTTGTATCCCTGCAATCTAATCATCAATAGCATCTTAAAGTAGAAAAATACTTACCTCACATCGTGACGCCTGCATGGGAATAAAGCTAAAACAAAACCTCCTATGGGAATTAATAAATAAATCCAGGTTTTTCTCTGAAGAACCAGCACCTTACCGTGGTAGAGAGGTTTGTGTGCCCTGATGAACCTGGGGGCTGTGTTGTCTGGAACCTTGTGTTCCTGGTAGGGTCTCCCATGGCAAATTGGTCTCAGGCAAGGGGCCAGACTAAGATTGGTTCAAAAGACCTCATGAAAGAACAACAAAGAAGTGAGGATACCCGGCCCGGAGGAAGCCCGGGGTCCCCTTCTGGAGCCAGGCCCAGAAGGAGGACTCGTCGGCGAGCGTCTGGTGGCCGGGCTTGCCACGGAGCCCGGCCGGGCCCAGCCCGAAAAGGCAACGTGGGCAACACCTCCGCTTCTCCGTCCCGCGGGCCCACCACCTACGGGAAACATCGATGGGGTCGGGTGCGCTGCCAGAAGGGTGGCAGTGAAAGCGGAGGGTCTCGACGGACCAGACCCGGGCGACAGAAGCTGGCTTTGGGGACGTGGAACGTCACCTCTCTGGGGGGGAAGGAGCCGGAGCTTGTGCGGGAGGTGGAGCGTTACCAGTTGGATCTGGTTGGGCTCACCTCTACGCACAGCGTCGGCTCTGGAACCTTACTTCTGGATAGGGGTTGGACTCTATTCTTCTCCGGAGTTGCTCAAGGTGTGAGGCGCCGGGCGGGTGTGGGGATACTCACAAGTCCCCGGTTAGGTGCTTCGTTGTTGGAGTTTACCCCAGTGGACGAGAGGGTCGCCTCCCTACGCCTGCGGGTTATGGGGGGGAAAACTCTGACTGTTGTGTGTGCTTATGCACCCAACAGCAGTTCAGAGTATACGGCCTTCTTGGAGACCCTGGAAAGAGTCCTGTATGGGGCTGCTGAAGGGGACTCTTTAATCTTGCTGGGAGACTTCAACGCACATGTGGGCAATGATGGAGACACTTGGAGGGGCGTGATTGGGAGGAACGGCCCCCCTGATCTGAACCGGAGTGGTGGTTTGTTACTGGACTTCTGTGCTAGTCATGGATTGGCCATAACAAACACCATGTTCGAACATAAGGATGCTCATAAGTGTACGTGGTACCAGAGCACCCTAGGCAGAAGGTCCATGATCGATTTCGTTATCGTATCATCGGACCTGAGGCCGTATGTTTTGGACACTCGGGTAAAGAGAGGGGCGGAGTTGTCAACTGATCACCATCTGGTGGTGAGTTGGGTCGAGTGGCGGGGGAAGCCTCTGGATAGACCTGGTAAGCCCAAACGTGTAGTTCGGGTGAACTGGGAACGTCTGGAGGAGGCCCAAGTTCAGGAGGCCTTCAACTCACACCTCCGGCGGAGCTTTTCGGGCATTCCTGTGGAGGTTGGGGACATTGAACCAGAGTGGTCGGTGTTCAAAGCCTCTATTGCCGAAGCCGCGGCGGGGAGCTGTGGTCTCAAGGTCCTAGGTGCCTCAAGGGGCGGTAACCCTCGAACCTCCTGGTGGACACCGGTGGTCAGGGAAGCCGTCCGACTGAAGAAGGAGGCCTTCAGGGATTTGTTATCCCGGGGGGACTCCCGAGGCAGTTGCAAGGTACCGACAGGCCCGAAGGGCAGCAGCCTCATCCGTGGCCGAGGCAAAGCAGCGGGTGTGGGAGAAGTTCGGAGAAGACATGGAGAAGGACTTTCGGGCGGCACCAAAGTTGTTCTGGAAAACTGTCCGACACCTCAGGAGGGGGAAGCAGGGAACCATCCAAGCTGTGTACAGTAAGGATGGGACGTTGTTGACCTCAACTGATGGAGTGTTAGGGCGTTGGAAGGAACACTTTGAGGAACTCCTGAACCCGACAACTCCGCCCTCTATGTTAGAGGCAGAGCTGGAGTATGACGGGGGATCAACACCAATCTCCCGGGGGGAGGTCACTGAGGTCGTCAAACAACTCCACAGTGGCAAAGCCCCGGGGGTGGATGAGATCCGCCCGGAAATGCTGAAGGCTCTGGGTGTTGAGGGACTGTCATGGTTGACACGTCTCATCAACGTTGCGTGGAAGTCGGAAACAGTACCGAAGGAGTGGCAGACCGGGGTGGTGGTCCCCCTTTTTAAAAAGGGGGATCAGAGGGTGTGTGCCAATTACAGAGGCATCACACTACTCAGCCTCCCCGGGAAAGTTTACTCTAAGGTACTCGAAAGGAGGGTCAGGCCGATTGTCGAACCTCAGATTGAGGAGGAACAATGCGGATTCCGTCCTGGTCGTGGAACGACGGATCAGCTTTTTACTCTCGCAAGGATCCTGGAGGGGGCCTGGGAATACGCTTATCCGGTCTACATGTGTTTTGTAGACTTGGAGAAGGCGTATGACCGAGTTCCCAGGGAGTTACTGTGGGAGGTGCTGCGGGAGTATGGGGTGAGGGGGTCTCTACTCAGGGCCATCCAATCTCTGTACTCCCAAAGCGAGAGCTGTGTCCGGGTCCTCGGCAGTAAGTCGGACCCATTTCCGGTGAGGGTTGGCCTCCGCCAGGGCTGCGCTTTGTCACCAATCCTGTTTGTAATATACATGGATCGGATTTTGAGGCGTAGTCATGGGGGAGGGGGTCTGCAGTTCGGTGGACTAAGGATTGCACCACTGCTTTTTGCAGATGATGTGGTTCTAATGGCTTCATCGGTCTGCGACCTTCAGCACTCACTGGATCGGTTCGCAACCGAGTGTGAAGCGGCTGGGATGAGGATCAGCACCTCCAAATCTGAGGCCATGGTTCTCAGCAGGAAACCGATGGACTGTCCACTTCAAGTAGGGAATGAGTCCTTACCCCAAGTGAAGGAGTTCAAGTATCTCGGGGTCTTGTTCTCGAGTGAGGGAACAATGGAGCGTGAGATGGGCCGGAGAATCGGAGCAGCGGGAGCGGTACTGCAGTCGCTTTACCGCACCGTTGTGACGAAAAGGGAGCTGAGCCAGAAGGCAAAGCTCTCTGTCTACCGGGCCATTTTCGTTCCTACCCTCACCTATGGTCATGAAGGATGGGTCATGACCGAAAGAACGAGATCGCGGATACAAGCGGCCGAGATGGGTTTTCTCCGCAGGGTGGCTGGTGTCTCCCTTAGGGATAAGGTGAGAAGTTCGGTCATCAGGGAGGGACTCGGAGTTGAGCCGCTCCTCCTTCGCGTCGAAAGGAGCCAGTTGAGGTGGTTCGGGCACCTAGTTAGGATGCCACCTGGGCGCCTCCCTAGGGAGGTGTTCCAGGCACGTCCAGCTGGGAAGAGACCAAGGGGTAGACCTAGGACCAGGTGGAGGGATTATATCTCTTCGCTGGCCTGGGAGCGCCTTGGGATCCCCCAGTCAGAGCTAGTTGATGTCGCCAGGGGAAAGAAAGTTTGGGGCTCTCTGCTGGAACTGCTACCCCCGCGACCCGACCACGGATAAGCGGGAGAAGATGGATGGATGGATGGATGGATGGATCCAGGTTTTTCTGTGTCAGTTAACTTCATTTTTTGACACCTAACAACTACCGTTAACCATGCATCTGTTATTTTATTCCTGCAGGGGAACGTTCATTGAATTCAGGAATGGCATGCTCAACATTTCCCCCATCGGTCGAAGCTGCACGCGAGAGGAGAGGATCGAGTTCTCTGAAATCGATAAGGTGAAAAACGTTCATCATTTTAATAGTGACCGAACATTACATTACATGATACTTGTTAGGAAAAGCGACTTACATACTCAATACTGTGGACAATCCCCACAGGAGTAATTTGGGGTGAAGTGTCTCAGGGACACAACAACATGCTGACTGCAGTGGGGTTTGAACCTGTGACCCCCTGATCCCAACACCAACGCACTAGCCCACTGCGCCACACACCTCCCAGGCAAAACAGAAAAACATGTTGCAACAGAACCTGGCAGTTTGTTGTTGTCAGTGGTCTTTGTTTTTGGGTTAGCATATTATTATTCTGTCTGCACTTCCTTGAGATGCAGGAATAAGTAATAAACCTGGAAATGAGTTTTTGTACTCCGAGGTTCCTTTCTTGTGAAATGGACATATCATTTACATACTTGAGTTTCATTATAATGCACAATAGCCCATTTTAGCAGCTGAACTAAACAAACGGTAGCCTACACTTTGAAACATCAGGCACTGAGAGTTACAGGCTGCCTCTCTGTGTCTCGGTTTCATGAAATGGGCTTCATTAATTAGACAGAGAGAGGTCAAACAATGTTGAGCTTTCAGTACGCTTTAACAAGCTGTCCATTGATGGTTCACAGAGCAGGAGATATGCAGGAAGCAGAGGAGGAGAGGTTTAACCCTTTAGCTACACGCTAACATTAATGCAGCTTTTTTACGTTCATACATTGAATAATGTGTACTCAGATTATATAAACTAACATGATGTGCATACATTTAACCTCTTGGAAAACAGAGCAGATAATAGTTAGAATGAATGAGTTATTTAGTGTCTCTACTGGGACATGTCTCCATGCTTTAATGTTCAAAAAGCTCTTCATTGTTCTCCTACTGCCTGTGCTGCAGCACCTCTTTTCACCCTCTGTCTGAAACCAGAGCCCAGTCTGCTCTGACTGGTTAGCTGGCCGGCTCTGTTGTCATTGGTCAAACGCTTAGAGATGTCCCGCCCCTTAGCCTATCACGTACAATGTGTTGGAGCGCTAGCCAATAGAAGAGCGAGTGTTACATAGTGATGTCAGTATTTCACGAAAGCAAACATAGGAGTCCAATCGTGGCATTTCAGGCACGACTTGATGCAATAGAGCTTCTTTAAGTAAATGTCATGTGTTCATTAACAAAGATGGCGGAGTCTGACTGCTTTGTCACTTTCTCCACAGAGAGAGAAGATCCGGGAGAAGTTTGTTGCTGCCCTGAAAGAGGAGTTTGCTGGAAAAGGACTGCGGTTCACTAAAGGTGAGGGTATATCAGAATCTAAAGTGAAAGAGCTGTGCCGTTCTAGAAGAGGTAGCATTAAACTGAAATGTTCAAAATATACAGAGGAATCTGCATGGTTTATAATATGGTGTATCTCAGGTTTGTCTTGTTCTCTCAATATCAAACAAGCTCCTCAGAACGCTGTCTTCTTTAATACTGTAGTGCAGTACAAACCAGTCTCACAGCATGTCTATCATTGTTTCTTATCACTGTTTCAAAAAGACCCATCTACCCCCCAGCTGGAGGAGCTTGTGGTGGACGTTGGAGCCCTCAGTTAACCATTACACACACACACACACACACACACACACACACACACACACACACACACACACACACACACACACACACACACACACACACACACACACACACACACACACACACACACACTCTCCAAGGTGGATCTGGTGGTCAATGTTTGCTTACGTGCTGTGCGAGGTATGTGCTCCTTGCTGATGACGTCTGAAGGCTGAGCACAGTTCAGACTTGTTTTTCCTCATTACTCTTACTCATATAGATCTCTATTTGATAAAATAAGATAAAATATTCTACTTTGCATCCTTTGCAAAACATAAAAAGTCAAATAAAAGTTTGGGATAATAAGGTTAATTGGTTAATCAAAAAGGTATAGAATATAAACAATGCAAATGTGTTTATATTATCCGGGGGGGGGGGGATTTGGTGTTGTGATATGTGCTCCATAATATAATAAAATAAAATAAGTATATTAACTTTAAAAGTAAGTACAAATGTGCAAAATATAAACATGTAATAAACACAACCCACCCACACTCTCAGGAAAGTGTGTTTTTGAGGAGTCGGTGCTATTTGCAGATGTTTCAGGGAGAGGAGACAAGCTGCTGTTCGGAGGATGTTCAGAGTTACATTACTTTGCATTTAGCTGACGCTTTTATCCAAAGCGACTTACAATAAGTGCATTTGACCAAGAAGATACAAACTTGAAGAAAACAGAATCATATAAGTACATCAGGCTTCATAGAGCCAAAACATTTCAAGTGCTACTCAACTGGCTTTAGATAAGCCAGCCCTTTATTAGTATATAAGTGCTTTGTTAGTAATTCTATCGCTCGAAGTGGAGTCGAAAGAGATGAGTTTTCAGTCTGCGCCGGAAGGTGTGTAAGCTATCTGCTGTCCTGATGTCAATGGGGAGCTCATTCCACCATTTTGGAGCCAGGATAGCAAACCCACATGTTTTTGCTGATGGGAACTTGGGTCCCCCTCGCAGTGCGGGTGCAGCGAGCCGCTTGGCCGATGCAGAGCCGAGTGCACGTGCTGGGGTGTACGGTTTAACCATGTCCTGGATGTAGGAAGGGCCAGATCCATTCGCAGCATGGTAAGCAAGTACCAGTGTCTTGAAGTGGATTCTAGCAGTCACTGGAAGCCAGTGAATCAAATCAAATCAGGTTTTATTTATAGGGTTAGGGTTAGGGTTATATGATATGTGATGGGTCCAGGCTCAAGGGCGTATGGCACTCTCAACTCTTTCCAGGACATGTCGGGGCCCTGCCTGCCAGTAGCTTTGCTGATATCTGTGTTGATAGGTAATAGATTAAGAGCGGTGAATCATAGAAACAGGAAGCGCTCAAACGTTTGTGTGAGTGTATCTAATTTAGCAGTGATTCCATGTCAGCCACAGCTTGTTACAAAAAAACATGACTGATAGTGTGTTTAACAAAACTTAAACTAGCTTTATTAAATGTCAGGTCTTTGGCAGGAAAAACATTTTTAATCAATGATTTTATCACTGAGCACAATCTCGATTTTATGTTTTTAACAGAAACTTGGATTGAACAAAATAACAGTGCAGCTGTTCTTATCGAATCAACCCCTCCCAACTTTAGTTTTATGAGTCAGGAAAGAATGCATAAGAAAGGGGGTGGAGTTGCTATTCTGTTCAATGATTCCCTTCAATGCAGGAAGACATCGTATGGAAACTTTGATTCTTTTGAATATGTGGCCCTTCGGCTGAAATGCTCCTCTCGAGCTCTGTTCCTAAATATCTATAGACCACCCAAATACTGTGCAAGCTTTTTTGATGACTTTACTGAACTGCTGTCTATAGTGTGTATTGACTTTGACCGTCTAGTCATTGTTGGTGATTTTAACATCCATGTTGACAACCCCCAGGACAGAGGGGCAAAATAACTGTTTTGTGTTCTTGATAGCTATGGACTGACTCAGCATGTGACGGAGCCCACGCACAATAAGGGGCACACTCTGGACTTAATTATCTCAAAGGGTGTGAATATCTCTAAGGTTGTGGTGACTGATGTTGCCCTCTCTGACCATTCCTGTGTTTTCTTTGAGAGCTCTATTTCTGTTCACAAAAATGTTCAAAAAGAGGTAACCACAAAGCGATATTTAACTGAAAATACTAGGGAAATGTTTACTCAGAATTTCTCTTCCACACTTGCCCCTGCTAACATCTCGGTAAATGAGCTAGTAGATCATTTTAATTAAAAAATTAAAAATGTTATAGATGCCATTGCTCCAACTAAGGTAAAGGAAGTGTCTGGCAAGAAAATATCTCCATGGAGAAAGGCCATGACCGTGAAAACAGAAAAAAGAGAATGTCGAAAAGCTGAACGCAGGTGGCGAAAAACAAATCTCCAGGTTCACTTTGAAATCTATAAAGAGAGACTTGGCCTTTATAATTTGGAATTGAAAAACGCACGACAATCGTTCTTCTCTGACATCATTACCAAAAACAAAAACAACGCACGTGCCTTGTTTGCTACCGTCGATAGACTGACTACCCCCCAGTGTCAGTAGCCTCTGAATTTCTATCCACCAGGGCGTGCAATGATTTTGCCTCCTTCTTCACTGACAAAATTCAGAAAATCAGACAAGCAGTCAGTGCCTCTGCATCAGGAACAGCAAATGTGTTGTCCCTATCTCCACTTAACATCAATTCAAACACCATGACACAATTCCATCAGATTAATGATAAAAACCTAGAGGACATTATTCAACTTCTGAAATCCTCCTCCTGCTGCCTTGATATTATTCCAACAGGATTTTTCAAAGATGTTTTGCCTTGCATGGCCTCAGATCTACTTCATATAGTAAACAAATCTCTTCACTCAGGTATTTTTCCACAGGCCCTGAAAACTGCAGTCATTAAACCGCTCTTAAAAAAGAATAATCTAGATGCTTCAGTAATGAACAATTACAGGCCCATATCAAACCTCCCATTTCTAGGTAAAATCATTGAAAAAGTTGTTTTTCAACAGTTGAGTAATTTCTTGCATTTAAATAACTGTTTTGCTGTGTTCCAGTCAGGCTTTCGTCCAAACCACAGCACTGAGACTGCTCTTGTAAAGGTCTTTAATGACATCCACTTAAACACAGACAGTGGCAGAACTTCAGTGTTAGTATTATTAGATCTCAGTGCTGCGTTTGACACTGTTGACCACAGCATATTACTAGACCGACTGGAAAACTGGGTGGGACTTTCGGAAACAGTTCTGAATTGGTTTGAATCCTACTTAAAGGACAGAAACAACTTTGTTTCTATAGGTAAATACACATCTGAGTTGACAAATATGACATGTGGGGTTCCTCAAGGCTCCATCTTGGGGCCTCTTCTCTTTAACATCTACATGCTACCACTGGCTCAGATAATGAAGAACAACAAAATAAGTTACCATAGCTATGCAGATGACACACAAATTTACGTAACAATTTCACCAGGAGACTATGCTCCAATTCAAACACTGAGTAAGTGCATTGAACAAATCAATGACTGGATGTGTCAGAACTTTCTCCAATTAAACAAAGATAAAACTGAGGTAATGGTTTTTGGAGCCAAGGCAGAACGTATAAAAGTTAGCGCTGAGCTTCAGTCTGCAATGTTCAAAACAACAGATAGAGCCAGAAATCTAGGTGTAGTCATGGACTCTGACCTGAGTTTCAACAGTCACATTAAAACAGTTACTAAATCAGCCTACTATCACCTAAAGAATATATCTAGGATTAAAAGACTAATGTCACAGCAGGATTTGGAAAAACTTGTCCATGCTTTTATCTTCAGTAGACTCGACTACTGCAATGGTGTCTTCACAGGTCTCACTAAAAAATCTATTAGAAAGCTGCAGCTAATTCAGAACGCTGCTGCTCGAGTCCTCACTAACACTAAGAAAGTGGATCACATCACTCCTGTTCTGAAGTCTTTACACTGGCTTCCTGTGTGTCAAAGAATAGATTTCAAAATACTGCTGCTGGTTTATAAAGCACTGAATGGTTTAGGCCCAAAATACATTTCTGACCTCCTGCTAAATTATGAACCATCCAGATCTCTCAGGTCTTCAGGGACTGGTCAGCTTTCTGTCCCCAGAGTCAGAACTAAACATGGAGAAGCAGCGTTCAGTTATTATGCTCCAAATACCTGGAACAAACTCCCAGAAACCTGCAGGTCCGCTACAACTCTGACTACTTTTAAATCCAGGCTGAAGACTTTTCTTTTTGTCGCTGCTTTTAATTGAACTATTCATATCTTAGACTGCACTGTAACTTTTATCCATGTACTTTTTTTCTTTTAATGTTTCTTTTATTATCTTTTCTTTTTAATGACTGATTTTAAATGCCATTTTCTTAATCTCTTTCATTTTTTGTAAAGCACTTTGAATTGCCTTGTGTTGAAAAGTGCTATATAAATAAACTTGCCTTGCCTTGCCTAGGGTTAGGGTTAGGCACATTTTAAAAACGATTTTTGGTCGAGCATGCAAATAATAAATAACACATTACTACAATCGCAAACAGAAGACAATAAATTACAACAGCAAATATAAAATCAAACACAGGGAAATGTCAGGAGTCGTGCTCCGCTCTGAAGGCCAGAGAGAAGTGTGTCTTGAGTGAGGATTTCAAAACCCCTAGGGTCTGGGCTGACCTCACGTGGAGGGGCAGAGTGTTCCAGAGCCTGGGGCCAGCTCCTGCGAAGGCTCGGTGCCCTCGGGTTTTGAGCCTGGTCTTGGGCACTACCAGCAGCAGCTGGTCAGCAGACCTTAAAGCTCTGCCTGGGGTGTAGCGATGGAGGAGTTCAGCTATATAAGCCGGAGCCAGCCCATTTAGTGCTTTGAAAACAAATAAAAGGAGTTTAAAATCAATTCTGAACCGAATTGGAAGCCAGTGCAGTGAGGCCAGAATTGGGGTGATGTGGTGACGCTGAAGGGAGCGGAGGAGCGGCGTGGAGTTGAGATGAATTCACTCGTCTTCCTCAGAGTTGATCTGTACAGCTGCCTCCTGTCAGATGATACTGCTGATCTCTGTGATGGATGTTATATAAACCTGACAGTGTGTCCAATCTGCACTGAGAGTACAGAACCAGAGGGACACAGAGAGCGATGATGAGAGGAAAAAGCTCGACGCTCCTTAACTGTCAACTGGAGGGCGGGGGTAGCCTCGCTGCGGGGGAGCTGTGGACCTCTGCCGCCTGTCAGCGCAACTTACATGATGCAGTTTAAATACAGTTAAATAAATAAAGGGCGGTGCCGGCCGTCAGCGAACCAAGCCTGATTAGCCACGGCCCGCTGGCGACCGGCTCGGTTCGCTGACGGCCGGACGTACTGTGATTCTCCACACAGTTGGCCAGTCCGCCCCTGTGTAGCGTATTATTTTCGATGACAGATGAGCAGGTCGCTACTGGGCTTTCAACTAAAGACACAGCCACGCAAAAACTGCGGCATGTACAGCTCCTTATGGGTAATGCAATGTGTGAAGTGTGCTGCACCCCTGGTCGTTTCACCATGGAGGAAAGCAGCAGAAAGTCGACTGGAGTTAAAGAGAGCGGGGCCTAGAAGTTATCCTTCTGCGCTGCGATGCGTGCATGGCTTCCTTCTGCAGGTAACGGGGAGACGCGCTCTGCCGGCGGTCTCGTTCAGGATCCGAAAATACAATTTAAATATTAATATTATATATATTATAGTCAGCATTTAGCAGCATATTGTGACACAGCAGCATTTAGCAGCATATTGTGACACAGGGGTTGATGATGTGTTTTACAGTGTGGGGTTAAAGGTGTGTGTGGTGGAGGGTGTGTGAGGGAAGCAGCGCTCTGATTGGCTGGCTGCTCCTCAGCTGTTCATCTTTGTTATTGATGACTCTTTAAATGTTTCAGCTGAGAGGAATATAAGAGGGGGAGGGGGAGGGGGAGGAGCAGAGCGCTTTGTGGGAGACTTTTCAGATACATTTCACAGATTAAAAGGTTGTTTAAACTCACAGCTGAACAACAATGACGGATTTACTGTTATACTTCTTTATATTTCAGCTTAAGACAAAACATTTTCACATTTTTCCCGACTGTTTTTTTTTCTACATTTCCATTTAAAAAAACATAAAAGAAAAGAAGAATAAAAAAAGTGACATAAAGCAAATAAATGAGTTAATTAAAACATTTTAAAAGGAAGACATTTGGGGGGGGGGCATATTTGAATTGGGAAGAATGCACTGATTTCTGTCTTGGTTCTCAGTGAATATCAAAGTCAATGTGATCCCATCTACCCATGGTGTCAGTCGTGCAGCCTTGTCACACACTGTGTTTATTTCTGACCAAACAATGCCAAGGGATTTGTTTGTGATGCATCCTTTGTCCTGAATGCAGTGTCTCTCTGCCAACATGTCCTCTGAACAAACCGTCTGTCCCAGCTCGATAAAGAGTTTCAAATGTCTCCATGAGAGCGGACAGTTTGTTCTGCAGAGCTGCTGAGTGTAAATAGAGGTTAAGAAAAGAGAAAGGGAAAAGTATTTGTCATCATATTAAATGTACTGGTGCCGTTAACTCAACATAAATACTGCTTTCGCTGCTCTTTCCAATCAAAATGTTGAATGTTCCTCCTTAAAGGAATACAGAGTGCATTAGTTTATAATATGAAGTTGATTTTCATAACCTGTTGGTCCTCTTTTCTTTCAGGTGGTCTCATCAGCTTCGATGTGTTTCCGGAGGGTTGGGACAAGAGACTGTGTTTGGAGCTGCTGGACAGCGAAGGCCTGAACTCCATCTACTTCTTCGGCAACGAGACCTCAGATGTAAGTCAATATTCACATCTACACATTGCTCTGAACCATATCAATTAACATTTCCCTTTTAATAAAGGCATCTTCACATTTTTATTTCAATTATCAGATGTTTAATATCTTATCTCATTGTTTGGTGTACCTTCACAAATGGTTATCTTTAAGCATAAACATATATCCATTATGAAACGTACGTCATATATCTTCTAGTTATTTTGCCAAAAGATTTTGTTTCAGGCGCTTTTCATGACACCCAAGGACACCCTACAATTTGTTAAATATTCTCAGGGTAGAGCTATGCTTCCTGCCTCCCCTCTTCAGCTAGATTTTCTTGTCCCTTGTCTATACTTTCAACACAGTCTCACGGAATTTTGTGTTATAGTCACCAAATTAATCTATTGATTCGTGTTCACCAACACGATTTTCGCATTTTTTTCGTGTCACACAGAACGATTTTAAAAGCCATGTAAATAATAACAAATTAGAAGGAAAAACAGATTTAAAATCGTTCAGTATTCTGACACAGAACGATTTTAGAAGCAATGTATTTCTATTGGTAGTATGTTTCGTGCCTGCACCAAATAATAAGAAATTAGAAGGAAAAAAAGATGACAAAAAATATAGATTTCAGTTTTCTGAGGCTCTGAGCCATTTCTTTTCCTCGCGGACGGCAAGAAAACTCCGACATTATACAATTTTAAATAAAAGGAATAGGGTTAGGCTTAGGGTAAGATATTGAGTAAGAAAATGTTTGTATGAACCACACAGCTTCCGGTATTCCAAGACCCGACCGGACCAAAAGACGTGGTGCAGGCACGAAACATACTACCAATAGAAATACATTGCTTTTTAAATCGTTCTGTGTGGCACGAAAAAAAATGCAAAAATCGTGTTGGTGAACACGAATCAATAGATTAAATTAATGTCGTGACTATAACACGAAATGCCGTGAGACTGGGTTGATACTTTATCAATATTAAATTAGTTGAATAACTGTTTGATTCAGATAAAAAACGTTTCTGTCAGTGCTTGGAGTTTAAAATGTCTTACCTCATGATTGAAGATGAGCAGAGCATTAACAGAAATAACTTTGATCTGTTTTCTTAAAATCATTTCCGTTTTTTCTCATTTTCAGGGAGGCAACGATTATGAAATCTTCAACGACCCGCGGACCATCGGTTTCACCGTCTTCTCTCCGGAGGACACGGCCCGGTACTGTCGGGAGATTTTCTTTGACGCTCCGCCTCACGAGGCTTGATTTCCCTGATCCCTTTACCCACAATCCCCTCTGATGCCTGCCTGTGGCTCTCTGCTTGTACGACAACAAGCAAGTTAGCAACTCTAATGCAGGTCATTTATGAACCACTCTGAGGTACTACTACTGATGTTCTCCTTTTTAATAATATGAAAACAACGGGCAGCAGCGCGATGATTTGACTACATTGTAAACGTTAGTCCTACTGCTTTTTAAAGATTTTAAAAAAGGGACAGAGGAGGTGTTACATGTTAAAGTAATGTGCCAGACGATTAGCATGTAGCATAAATTAGCTAAAAAACTAACAGAGATTATAAAAGAAGTTATTGTTGAAAGTTATTACTCCAGATTATTTGAGTATAAAGTGATTTTTTTGCACTAATTTTGGGAATCATTTCATACCAATTGTTGGTATTGTTGTTTATTGCTGAAAGAGATGGTAAGAGTGAAAGAGAGAGACATTACATAGGGTGAGGAGTCCATTTTGAAAATGAGACATGAATGAAGCATGTGGCTTTTTATTCCTCGGAAGTTGAGGACGTATGAATCATTCCAGTTATTTGAATGCCTCTGGGATTTATTATGTATTTACTGTGTGATCCCTTAAATATCAAATGTTTTTAAGCTTCAAGGGAGAAGCTTGTTTTGCATCTTAAATTCAATAAAAGGAACATATATCACATTTTATTTACTACTGAATCAATGAATTGATCTTAACCCGTGAGTTGAGCTGCTACCAAGTCACTCTGCACACTTCTGTCAGTCATTATTTTTAATGTAAAATATTTTTACAAACTGTATGGCTTGAACGCTGGTCGAATGTAAACATCAATTATTATGCTTGGTTGTTTGTCTCTAACTCTTTTAATATGAAGCTGTTTAAAGGGTTTTTTAAATAACTTTTAAATGGGTAATGGGTTTTTATTCTGCCATGGCTCAGAATAATAATGCCTCTTTGATGTATCAGTAATGTAAATATGAGGCTTTTAAATACATCAGCTGCAGGACTGTTAACTCTCAAAAGACTCAAAGGATCATGTAGAAAAACACTTTTATGCACAGCAGAAAATGTTAATGTGTTGCTGCTAACTGATTACTTTAATTATTTTCTGGATAAAAAAGTGAATTAATTGTAATAAAACATTTTTGATATCTTGCACTGATCATAGTTCTCCTGTGTTGTTCTTGAGCTTTGACTAATGCGCTTTTACATATGACTCACTTACAAAATCACAGCACCTTCTCAAAACAGTTTCTCAGCCTCAGTGTTCTCACATGTCACCACTGGAGGTCGCCAGAAACTCAAATCCTACCTACGCCAGGTGCTTCTAAAATACATTAAAGTTCATCTTGTGGCTGTTTGAACACCAAATGATAGATTTTGAAGAATGCATAACCACTTTGATAGATCTGTAAATCATCGATGTCTCTTTTAATCTCGTAAAAGCCAGTCAGAAAATGTGACTTGGTGTTAATTGCCGTCAGAAAAAAAAGCTGAACTCTTCACCGATAACAACAGATGAGTAGATACAGAGCACCAAGAACTTTGAAAGCCAACATTGCTGTTGTTATTTCAATGGTTTCTTTTGTGATTATTTATATTTCGACCCACAGCTAAATGCTATAGGCACAATAATGCCTGAATAACACAAAGGCTTGGATTGCAGAGTTTAAGCCTAAGTGCTTCCTCAGGCAACATCAAGACATTTACGCTGACGTGTCTCTGGGAACAGAGAAAAGGCAGGAAATGATGTAACAACACATGATGTATTTACTTTATTTTTGTTTGTCTTTAAAGCTATTTTTGCCTCTCCCCTTAAAGGGGACCTATTCATGCAAAATTCACTTTTTGATGTCTTTTCTACATAACTATGTGTCCCCGGTGCGTCAGGGAACTCACGCAGCGTCAGAAAATAAACCCCTCTCTCTTTTCCTCCGTACCCAAATCTCTAAAAACGGGGGAACAACGGAGCTGATCCAGATTTGAGTCCGATATGAGGTAATATCGGACCCACGGCCCTATCAGAAACGTTGCTATCAGAAACAATGCCCGACTGTTTTGGACGTAACATGGTCGGTGTTTACATTAGCATCGCTAACACTCAGAGCTAACCTGTACTGGAGAGCATGTGTGTGAAGAAGCAGGAAATAAAAAGGAACTCACCTTGTGGTATAACCGGCAAGAGAGAAAGCCTTTGAGCTCCATACTGTTTCAGAGATAATCCTTGATAATCCATGATATGGCGTTTCATCACGGCAGTATTTAGTTTAGACAGTAGCTGCCGGGTCCCGCATGAGCTCAGACCCTCCTTTAAAAAAAAAAAAAGCTTTATACCCAGAATCAGCACTTTTGAAACAGGAAGTGAAATAGAGGGATATGAGGCGTGGCTAGAATGGGTGATCTGTTTGGTATTTTGAGCAAAACACTTCATAGAAATGTTTTTTATATATTTGTATATATCTGAGACCTATGCTATTGCCTACAAATAGCGTGATAGGTGACCTTTAAGAGCTAGTGCTGAGTGTGTCTGGATATTTCACGAGAGAGAAGTGAGGTTAGTGCAGGGCCGTTCCTCCCTACAAGCCGATCATGGGGCCTCATCTTGCGGAGGGTGCCTCAACTGAGCCGAAAATGCGGCGCACCTACTGTATGCGCTTATGCGGCGCAATTAGTGTGGCGCGGCACGGTTTTGCCGCTGCGAGGCTCCACTAGCACCCGTCCCCCGGTCGACGTTCGCGAAACAGAAGGCCTCATATAACTTTGCGTGGGGCCTCATGTTGACGGCCCTGGGTTAGTGTCTCAACAAGGTTTAAAAATTAGGAGGAAGAGGTTTGTTTCTACGTTTTGAGAATTAAGTTAAAATACCATTTCGATATACATTTCACATTAGATTAAATCAATACATTACCAGCCTTACTTTTAGCATATGAACGTTTGACTTTGAGGTTTCTGTACTTTATTCTTCATATATGCAAAATATATAATGAAAAACCTCCGTCCTCTCAGTTTCAACATAAATATAAATACTAATCTAAAGTTATATTTAATTTATCTTGCTTTTCTAAGAGTGTATCTTCATGGTTTATTGCACTTATTCTAAATCGCTTTGGATAAAATCGTAAGCTAAATTAAGTGCAATGTTAACCTGTTACCTACCTATAATTATTATTTTTTATTGTTAATTCTTACATTTTTATTTTTATATTGAAGCCCTTTACTCTTATTATTATTTGTATTATTGTTATTATTATTTTTATAATTATAATCAATTTTTTATTTTGTATCATTATTACCGTGACAGTCTATCTCCCCACGTGTTTATCAGACCTCCTCCTCCTCCTCCTCCTCCTCCTCCTCCTCCTCCTCCTCCTCCTCCTCCTCCTCCTCCTCCTCCTCCTCCTCCTCCTCCTCCTCCTCCCGTCACATGCAGCTTAATAAACACTCTCCCATCAGTCGTGTGAATCATAAAATGCTTTAATGTTTTTTTTTGTTCAAGGCTCAGTAGTCCTCACTGTGATCAGAACCACAGTGACTCGTCCACAACAGAACGTGCCCTTTGTAACGTGACGGAGGAAATAAACAGAGTGTGATGATGAACAGATTCAGGCAGTGACAGATGCATAGAGACTCGATGGAACAGAGATATTATGGAAAATGACAAACAGTACTTAACCTTATACAGTCTATGTACTTAACCGAGCTAAACCTGAAGTACTAAGAAATGGGGCGAAGCCTGCCAGCTAGTTCAGGCAGTCAACTCGAGCACCAATGATACATTAACACGTGACACACCTCGTCCCTCTTACAACCAACCAAACACATTCTCCTAAACATGCCGCTCTATTGAAGCTGCCAGGTCTTCCTGCCTCTGCCTCGCTATGCTGCCGCTGCTGCTGTGTTCACTTGCTATTGCTGCGTTCATGTTCCTGCTGCTGTGTTTCATGCTGCTGCTGCCCCCCCCCCCCCCACCACCCCACCACCCCAGCTTCCACCTGTAGGCTCGGCGGATAGTTATCTAATCATCACTCAATGTTCTTTGTAAATCTGTGGAGTGATGAGGCCGAGCCTAGACGCCAAACTCAACTATATGCTGCTTCTAATAAACATATTAAGAAACACGTGAGTTGTCTGACTGAACCACATTTATGTGACAAAGATCTGTTTTGGCACCACCTATGGAGTCGAGTAGTTCACCATCACACTGACGATATGCTTAATAAATCACACACAGATACATGTCTTTTTTTCTGATAATAGAAAAAGAGATTTACAAATCGTTTTGTTCGTTCGTGGCTGCAGAAGTTTTTCAAAACTAACATTTTAAACCAGAACAACAAATGTTTTGGAGTAGTTTTTTCTGGCAGTTTTTCGACAAATTTCGTAAGTGCAACTTTTTAGAGCTCGCAATCTGAGGACACACACACACATCTGAATAAATAAATAAAAATAAATAACCACAAACCAAACCAAACATTCAAAGATATGCATTTTGTAAGGAAAATACTTCCATTCACAGTCAAATATGTTTTAAATATCCATGCTTGATGTAACGTGATTTCCTGATTCCTCGTCTGCCTTCATGCTTTTTCTGAATTTCCAACTTACTTTCACTTTAACACATCACCAGCTCCCTTTCAAAATAAAACTAAAATAACCCTTTTTTTGTCCTCAAATTGATTTTATTTTCTAAACAGGTGACTATAAGCCTAACAAAGGGGGTCCTGAACTTTTTACCTTTAGGGATTTCATTAGATTTTTTTATGCAAAACCAGCTTTAAACCTGCCATTTGACCTTTCTAATACACAATCATTGAATTCTCTTCCTCTTTAATTCCCTAAACAACTTCTTCTTAGGTCCATAATCTCTGTTCTTCTATTCAAATCCTCATCTTTACAATGTCTGCACTGTGTATGACTTATGATAAAGTCATCTGACCCACACCTGCACCCGGCATGTGATCCTGGACATTTTCAGCGAAGTAAACAAGTTCATAACAGCTGCAAAGAAGGGAAGTGAAACTGAATTCAGCTGGGTTCAAAAAATTGTCTCACAGCTGTTTTCTTTCTTGTGTTTTGGGGGAAATAAATAAATAAAACATGTTCCTAAAATGGTCGGTTTTACATACAGCAAATTCAGCAGAGTAGAAGACAGCTATCTACACCATGTCATTACACCTGGACTGATGCTGTGTAGGTAAAGCATGTTTTTAAATAAATAATGAGATGTAAAATATCAGTCCTACAACAGGTCGACGCCCCCTCCCACTACCCATAAGCCCCCGGGGTTTTGGGGTCTATGAGCTGATGATCTGGCCGGACCAGGTCTCATGTTTGGTGCCGGGGTTCAGGTGCACGATCTTCACCTCCACCGCCTGCACCTTCAGGTTCTTGGGCGGCACTCGGCTCACTTTGTACCTGACCTCGTCTCCCTCCACCGGGACGTACTCCCCCTCGATGCTGGAACAGAGAGAAAATAGGGCGATGAGGATGGAGAGTGGAAAAGGGACAGTTTGGCTTCATACTGTCTAGATAGATGTGTAGAAGCACAGGGATACAGGCGATGTTTAAATACAAGAAGTGTCACTACGATTAAAAAAAGACTCTATTATTAACATACAGTATGCCGACTGAAACGCCTAAAACACCTCCATTGGACTCCTTTGTTTACTTTAGAAACACAGTGACATCACTATGTAACACTCACGCTTTTATTGGCTAGCGCTTCAACACATTGTATATGATGGGCTAAGGGGCGGGACATATCTAAGCGGTTGACCAATCACAACAGAGCCGGCCAGCTAACCAATCAGAGCAGACTGGGCTCTGGTTTCAGACAGAGGGTGAAAAGAGGTGCTGCAGCACAGGTAGTATGAGGAAACAAAGAGCTTTATGAAAATTAAAGCATGGAGACATGTCCCAGTAGAGGCACTACATACTGATATACACCTGAACATCATCAGGAGAGGACTCTTTAAAGTAGAGACACTACTGATATACACCTGAACATCAGCAGGAGAGGACTCTTTAAAGTAGAGACACTACTGATATACACCTGAACATCAGCAGGAGAGGACTCTTTAAAGTAGAGACACTACATACTGATATACACCTGAACATCAGCAGGAGAGGACTATTTAAAGTAGAGACACTACATACTGATATACACCTGAACATCAGCAGGAGAGGACTCTTTAAAGTAGAGACACTACTGATATACACCTGAACATCAGCAGGAGAGGACTCTTTAAAGTAGAGACACTACTGATATACACCTGAACATCAGCAGGAGAGGACTCTTTAAAGTAGAGACACTACATACTGATATACACCTGAACATCAGCAGGAGAGGACTATTTAAAGTAGAGACACTACATACTGATATACACCTGAACATCAGCAGGAGAGGACTCTTTAAAGTAGAGACACTACTGATATACACCTGAACATCAGCAGGAGAGGACTCTTTAAAGTAGAGACACTACTGATATACACCTGAACATCATCAGGAGAGGACTCTTTAAAGTAGAGACACTACATACTGATATACACCTGAACATCAGCAGGAGAGGACTCTTTAAAGTAGAGACACTACTGATATACACCTGAACATCATCAGGAGAGGACTCTTTAAAGTAGAGACACTACATACTGATATACACCTGAACATCAGCAGGAGAGGACTCTTTAAAGTAGAGACACTACTGATATACACCTGAACATCATCAGGAGAGGACTCTTTAAAGTAGAGACACTACATACTGATATACACCTGAACATCAGCAGGAGAGGACTCTTTAAAGTAGAGACACTACTGATATACACCTGAACATCATCAGGAGAGGACTCTTTAAAGTAGAGACACTACTGATATACACCTGAACATCATCAGGAGAGGACTCTTTAAAGTAGAGACACTACATACTGATATACACCTGAACATCAGCAGGAGAGGACTCTTTAAAGTAGAGACACTACTGATATACACCTGAACATCAGCAGGAGAGGACTCTTTAAAGTAGAGACACTACATACTGATATACACCTGAACATCAGCAGGAGATGACTCTTTAAAGTAGATACACTACATACTGATATACACCTGAACATCAGCAGGAGATGACTCTTTAAAGTAGAGACACTACATACTGATATGAACCTGAACATCAGCAGGAGAGGACTCTTTAAAGTAGAGACACTGCATACTGATATGAACCTGAAAGTGAGCATAATAGGGCCCCTTTAAAACTTTTAATAAGTATAAATATTCTCATCTCACAAATATGTGGCCACACGCTCTAGTACAGCTCTAATACTGAAGACATTTGAGACAAGATAAACTCCCCGACCCACGATGCAGCTGTTCAGATGGATGATCCCGCAGAATCTGTTTTCACAAATGTGCCTTTGCTGAGGCTGTAGTAACATTCAGCTTACTGCTGGTGCTGAATAAAAGACTGAATAAAAGCACATTGCTGAACTATTTGTGCATTTCCACTTCAGGTGTCAGAGTCCTGTGAGAGTCGGAACAAATAGCTGTCCCTTTGAGAAAAGTACAAACGTAGACTTTTGTTTGCTGAGTTAAAACAGTCCTGAGGTGACGCTGCAGATCTGCAGTTAGTTTGTGTTGCTGTGACTCTCAGAGGACACGGCTGTAAAGTCTGCATGAGAGATATAAATACTGTGTGCAATACACACTTATGAACAACTTACTAAAGTTATAACTGCTGCTACTTCAGTACTGTTATGTGTTAATGCACTTATTGTAAGTCGCTATGTAATGTTCACTTGCTTTTTCATATTGATGTTTTACAATGGATGTTTGGATGTTTTGGAGTTCTTGTGTCTTTATTTATGACGTTGGTCTGCTCATTTTAGTTGTTCTTTTTATCTGCACTGCCCCTTTGCTGTAACAATGTACATTTCCCCTCAAATTGTTTTGGAATAATACAAAAAATATGTATTATATATTCTTTTATCTTTTTATGTTAATGTTTCTTGTACATTTGTATTTGTTGTTATATTTATGTTCTTATATTTTTCCTATACTACAGTACATTTATATATATAGGATTTTCCACATTTAATTATTTTATTTATTTATTAATGCACTTTTTGCCTTTTATCTGCAGTTGTTTCTTATTGTAAAAATGTATATTTCCCCGCTGTGGGAGAAATAAACTGATTTGTTTTGTATTTAAAGATGTGTTTTGTTACTCACTCTGAGATGTGAACAAAGATGTCCTCTCCGCCGTGGGAGGGTCGCAGGAAGCCGTGACCTTGTGACCTGGAGAAGTTCTTACAGATGCCTTTAAACACCGGACTTGATTGAGCGCGTACCGTACTGCAGCCAAAGACAAAAAAACAACAGTTATTTTGTTTAATCACACCCAGTACGACTGAAAGTTGTTATTGTTTCAGTAAGACGTGAAGGAGACGTTTACAATAGCATATTTTCTCTTTTGTGTCAGATCATTCATTCTGGCAGAGAAATGTAGAAGGATGCACAAAGAGAAGGATTCATAGAGAAGGAGAATCAACAGATAAAACCTATTTTTCTTCTTCCATGTTTCTTTACGTATTTTAATAGTATTTTTTTCTTATTCGTATTATATTTTTCTTCTGTTTTTATGTTTATGTCTCAATATTTGCAATATATTTTAAACCGATAGTAGGAACTTACCTATAATGATTTAGTTAATAAAATATCCTTTAGATCACATGTGTCAAACTCAAGGCCCGGGGGCCAAATCCGGCCCTTGGTGGATTTAATTTCGACCCGCAGGATAATTTCTCATTTCTATTAGATCAGGCCTGCCGGTATATTGCACGCACACCTTCACTCCATCCTGAGGGTCTCCTCAGCTCAGAGCCTGAGCCCAAACATTGATGACCTTGCACCCGAGATGAGATGCCAAGTATCTGAACTAGCATCACAGAGCAGCACACTGAGTTTACATGGATGTTTCCTTCTGCACTTTCTCTCTCACGACAACAGGGCATGTTTGGTTTTCTCTCTGAGGGGAATAGTTTTGTTGAAGCTGTTGTTGGCCTGTGGAAAAATGTACTCATAAGAAATGACTCTGGAAAAGCTGCAGATAGAGCCATAAGAAATGAATGCACCTGATTATTTAATGTTTAATGTTGTTTTTATAGGCAATAATTTAAGCTTTGTTAGTTCCAGGTTTAATATGTGCAATAAGTTCATTTCAATACGTTCTGCAATAAACATTGAACCAGTCCGGCCCTCGAGTAGCACCCATTTATTTATTTTGGCCCACTGTGTATTTGAGTTTGACACCCCTGCTTTAGTTACTTATCAAAAACTATTTTATAAGTGTTGCAATATAAGAAATAGTACTGATACATGAAATGGAATAAAAAGAACATTTGTATCTGTGATGTAATACCGTTTAAAAGTAGCATAAAATGGAAAAAATCCGACGTATGTGTTTGGATGTTTTTATCACCACACACTCTTTTTTTTTCAAGTTCAAAAGATTCAAAGGTTTTATCGTCATGTGCTCAAAGCTACAGCGTAGAAATGGCAATGGCATTCTTCTGACCTGAGCTCCTCCAACAATGCAACATATATAATAAAATACAAAAATACAAAATAAAAAGTAGTGCAAAAAGTCTATATACATGTCAATAGAATATGGGATGTGTACAAGAACAGAATATGAAATAAATACGGTAGATTAAGACAAAATTCAATCCGGTTTATTACGGTTACTCATTGTTTATAGTAAATAATAACAAACTCACGCTGAGTAGGTGCGGTTGCGTTTGGTCGGCAGCGGGCTCGGTAGATCTCGAGGCAGCGGGTGATCTTTCCCGTCCTCCCAAACCCGGCTCCTCTCCCTCAGGAAGGGGAAGGAGAGGGTGAGGGAGGCGTTGGGGGAGCGCAGCGGGGTCCTGGAGGGCGACGTGAGGCTGGGGTCCGCCATGTCACAAGAGACAGGGGTGAGGAGGACGAGGGAGGAAGAGGGAGGCTGTTCTGCTGACTGTATCGTCTGTCTTCTGCTTCAGGTCCAGAGTTATCCAGGTCAGCGCTGTCACTTCGGGTCTGTCAGGAGGAGGGAGACCACAGGGTGAGGAGGGGGAGATCAGAGAGGTGTCATGTGGCTTTAGAGGTGATGCAGGGGGAGATCAGAGAGGTGTCATGTGGCTTTAGAGGTGATGGAGGGGGAGATGAGGGATGGGTGTCATCCAGCCAGGAATTCAACTCATAATCAAGCAGACACATAACTGAGAGACCTGTGAGTGCCTTTGCAATGTTCTTTCCTTGTGTCTAAGAATTTATCTGGCACAACAATTTCCTTCGGGATGAATAAAGTCTTATCTTATCTTAGATAAAACTCTTTCAATAAGGAAAATAGATGTTAAGGTGATGTCCTTTATATCAAGTCCACTTTGATGTTAAAGGGGTACTCCAGTATTGCGTATACCATAAAACAGAGGAGACTTGCTACGGATTTGCAAAATAACTGGAAAGGTGTCTCCTTCCCCCCGAAACAAAGTTGAGTTAAATTGTAGCAGTGTGTGTCATACAGCTTCCTTATAGTATAGATTAAAAAATGTTTTAGCACAAAAAAGTTCAGCCCATTTGAAGCACGAGTTGTTCTGAGTTAGCATATTTTATTTTTTTGCACTTATCGTAAATCACTTTGGATAAAAGCGTCAGCTAAATAAATGTAATGTGATGTAAAAGATGGCGGATGTTAAGATAATTAAATCACTAACTTCAGTGGATCACAAACTATCATGTGTGACATTATTCTGCAGATGTTCCCGTTCAGAGTGATGCCTAACATTTCTATGGATGTCAGTTTTTGAGCCCAACAAAGGCCAAAACATGCCCTGCAACAGGACACATACTAACTACTAAAGTGGTTGTTAACCAATTGAGAGGAATAAGGAGTCAGCATTCAATTGACGGTCTAAAACAGTCCAAAAAAATCGCTTGTAAAATGTTTTGGAATCACTGCAACCATGAGTCGCCCTTGAGCAAACCGTCTAAATGTGCAAGGGAACATTAATCTGATGGTTCTAGTAGTATGCAAGATTAACCGTGAACAGATTATAAGTGAAATCAATGCAGCAGAGGTCATCATATCCTGAGTATCACAACATGGGTCCAAAAGCGGTGGATCCTACACTACCCACAATGCAACTCAATTGCATCATTACACCTTTTAATACATTTTACACCTCCAGTTTTTAACCCAGCACCATCTATTTTTCAAAAGCCCAGAGACACCATCAGGCTTATTTATGACATGACAAAAAAGATCAGCTGAAGACATTACACAACACGTTTCACCAGATTAGTCCTAATGAAAGGTAAATTGACCTTGGGAAGTATAATGACTGGATTGCCCCTTTAATCCAGCTTCATCAAATATAAAGAAACACACATGTTCTATATTGAACCTGAAGCCTTTGGGAGTTGTCCTGCTATTCAAAGCACTGCAATCCCCATGATCATAATACTACAGGTTTATCTCTAAAGCAACTCACCGCACGGTATATTAATAATGCATGTGGAGGTTTCATTTTCATATCTGCATCCATACTCTTCAGTGCAGGGAAGAATCAATGCCGTGTATGCTATTCAATGCACATCAGAGTTACGGTTGGATCCGTTTGTTTTAGTTATGAAAGTAGTCATCTATCTACGAGATTCTAGGCCATTGCCTAAAATAGAAATGTATTTGTTTTGACACTTTAAAAGAAAGATATCTCATATCTGCATACAATAACAAATTGGTACATGATCTTTGCACTTTTAATATCAACTACATAAATGTTACAGCCTATACATTAATAGATAGTGTGTTGGTTGGGTCGTAATAATCCAACTGATTTACAATTTGTATATCTCTTTAAAAGCATGAAACTATAAGTGTGGGTTTGAGTGTTTCTCTACACCTCCACACATGAGAGAGAGCACAGTTCTGATTATATATCTGATATATGTAATTGATAGTGCAATGGCTATAGACACTGCCTCCCATATTTAACACTCACAACACATTCCTGTTTATTCAGGTGGCCTTCAATACACCTCAGACTCGTTTCTCCACACAGTGCCCCCCCCCCCCCTCCCCCTCAACACAAACACTGGGTATTTTTCAATGTCAGGGAAGGATGCTCCAGAGCCACGATTTCAAGGATACGTCATCGAGTCCCGCCGAAGGACTGTTCTAGCAAGAAAGCGTCCTCGACATTGAGAAACACCCACTGTGTCGTGCTATACGTGCGTGTGTTTCTTTTGTACACCCCCTCATGTCGCCTGTGATGATAGTGATGCAGACACGGCGTGACGTCAGAGCAGCTGCAGCACGCCGTCTCGAGTTCGTGATGTCAGCGCCCCTTCCCCAAATGAACAACATATCCTACTCAAACGGAAGTACACACGCATGATATAATAAAGCCTCTATGTTGCACACACACAGAAGTATACACACACATTATTGATGATATTCTACAATATATTTTATAATGGACTCAAACACTGAGAGTTTACTCTAGTTTTTTCACACAGCAGGAGAACATCTGGATGAGCAGAAAGGAAGCCACAGAACTAAATAGGGTCATGTCTCCTCCGCCCGGGCCAGGCACAAATCTGTTTCCGGTCCCATGGTCATGAAAAGGCAGTGTGTATGTGTGAATTGTGTGTTGACACAATACTATATTTCACTTGCCTTTGGCTTCTTTTTTTATAGCAAAACGTAAATAAATGATTTTGACAGCCTTAATAAAACTGAAAATGATAATGAAAAAACGTAAATTGCGTTCAGTTTGGATGCTAAAAATCCCATATTTAACTCGCTTTTGCGCTTGTTTCATTTTAGCCAATAGCGATAACATTGACAACAACAATACAATTGCCAAAATCAATTTAAAAAAGCAGTGTGTGAATTGTGTATTGAGTTTCGACATTGTGTTCACACACTATGCAAAACATCCCGTATTTCACTCGCTTTACACCTTGTCTTACACCAGCGAAACGTAATGACATCCCATTGACACCCCAATACTATCCAACAAAATGAACAAAAAGGGATTCTCTGTGAATGTTGTGTTGATTTTCGAGAGCTGTACTCACGCATACAATCCCGTATTTCACTCACTTTCACCTTGTTTTATTACATCCAATAGTGAAACGTAAGGAAATCACATTGCCAGCCTTAATAAAACTGCCCAAATGAATTAAAGGCTGAAACAGCAGTCAGTGCTAATGAGAGAAGAATTGGACAATAGCGTGGTGCGTTCATGACACCAGCGTGGATCATAATATGGAGGAAATGTGACACCGATCAATCCTGCGTACATTCAGATATAAATAAATAACCTGTCCTTGTGATTTAGCGGTTTTCCACCAGGCGTGCAAAGAAGACATTGTACCCGATCCCAAAACAAAGACACGCACACACACACACCCCCCTGCAGGCACTACAACATGAATGTTATTTTTCCACAGAAATGTTACTTACTGGTAGGTTGCGGACGATCAGCTCGTGCCAGAGTGCGTCTTAAGTGGCGGAGTATTATATAATCAGTTATTAAATAAATAAGTCGGCTAAATCCGCGCAGTCTGTCGGAGAACCCTGATGATGGTGAGGATGTGACGAAGAGCTGCTGAGTCTGCGCAGCTGGCGGAGATTCCGATGGCGTGATGCGACTGCGTGTGTGAGTGAGAGTGTGTGTGTTTTGCTTTCTTCATTCCTTTGAATGTATGTAATCTATTATGGGAACAGTATGCTCAGTGTAAGGATATCTTGCCTTGATTTATCGTATTGCACTCTTTATGCAGCTGCTGTGGTGCTGCTTTATTACAAGGGACTTATAATAGTGTTTATATTGAGGACAGACTCCACTAATCCAACACATTTGAAATTGCATTAGTGGAGATATGTCAATAAAAACCAGTGGTGTAAAGTAACTAACTACATTTATTCAAGAAAAATTATGTTTTAAAGACACTTTAACTCCATTTGATGCTACTCCACTACATTTTGAAAGCAAATACTGTCATTTGTATACTTTGTAGGTTCATATTCTTAACAAATATAAATCAACAAATGAATTATGATGTACAATAAAGGATAAAAATACCTCCCAGGACAAAACTAATCGTTTCCTCTCCTGTAGTGTGTTACAGGTTTTAGTGCATGTTAATGGTCTGCAAAAGCTAAAATCCCTGTGTTCCCTCCAGAGGGAGTTTCTCTCCCACACACTCCTCCCCCCCCCCCCCCCTCCTGGAAACGCCTCAATTGGACTCCTTTGTTTACTTCAGTAACATAGTGACATCACTCTGTAAGCCTTGTACTGGGCTCTGGTTTCAGACAGAGGGTGAAAAGAGCTTTTTGAACATTAAAGGAAGGAGACATGTCACAGTAGAGACACTACATACTGATATGAAGCTGAAAATGAGCAGAATATTTAGGTAAAAAATGTGAACACTTCTTTTAGTTTTCTAAAACAAATCCAGAAACAATTTCAATGTCTAAGATAAGCTAAGATATTCAGTTATTTATTTTCATAGTCAAATATTTAATCCTTTAAGCTTAACTCTGCAATGAGGGTCACATGCAAACTTATTTATGTGTTTTTCTTTCGTATAAACGCGAAACAGTCTGACCTATTTTCACTGAAGACAAATGAGACAAACATCTAGGGGCTACGCAGTCGTCACATGAAACACAGCTCATTCATTTCTGATTGTACAACAAACACCAGTGTGTGTGTGTGTGTGTGTGTGTGTGTGTGTGTGTGTGTGTGTGTGTGTGTGTGTGTGTGTGTGTGTGTGTGTGTGTGTGTGTGTGTGTGAGTTTCTCTACTGACACTGACCAGCGTTCAGAGATCTGTTATAAACAAGCAGCGCTGTGGCCTTCACTGACCTCCAAACTGTGTGATTTAAAAGGCTGGCCGCTAATCCGTATTAGTTATTCCTCTTCCTATAATCACACAAAATGACAAATCACAAGCACTCACTCTGATGATACGTCCTTTTACTGTGAAAGTGAAAAACAGTTGTTAAATAAATGGAGGATAAAAAGGTGACATTTTAAATAAAAAGTTAATATTTTCATCTTCTGATGTTACTCCCACCGAGAAAAACATTTGTTATTATTGAAATCTTCAATCTTTTGCGATCTTGATACAAAGGAATAATAAATTGTCTTCTGGGTCTTTTTTCTACCAACCCAACCATCACTCAGCTTGTTTCTGTACATTCTCCCACCTTTATCATCCCTGACATGCTGAAGTGCATCACCTGCTTCAACTGAGGACATTATAACAAATCCTGATAACTAATGACTTTTTTCGTTTGAATTTAGGGTCAGGATCTCACTTTAAATGTACCAGAAAGACTGTAAACGCATGTCAAATCATTGTGTTTTTAGACCTGTGGTCAGGTTGATGTGTAAACATGGAGCTGGTGTGTTCAGGGCAGTATTTACAACACAGTCTGTCTCAGAGGGACTTCAGTCTCTTCACACCAACAGTGTCTCGGTTCAGAGCGTCTGACTTCGTGTCTTTACTTCTGTACCCAAACTCCTGGGTATCGTGTCTCCAGCTCACCGCTCCTCGTCTGTTCGGTCAGTTATGATGTTCCATCTGTTCGTAAAACACCAAATCTTCCTCCTCGTCCTCGTCCTCTTCCTCAGTGCTAGCTGTTCCACCAGGACAGCAGCCCCAGCCCCGGGTCACAGATGGTCCCCTGGAACAACAGCACAATGGATCAGAATCAGAATACTCTATTTATCCAAGGGGGGAATTGGGTTTCATAACAGTTGTAACATTTCAGAATTAAATTCATTATATGTATAAGATATAAAAACCAAAACAATGGAATACAAATATTTACATAAACATACGATTTAAATGTCCAAAAAACGCTAAAATAAAAATAGAAAGAGAATATTCATACATCCATGAACATTTAAGAATTGTGCAATAAATAAAATACAAATATTTATAAGAAGTAAAAATGTGAAATAAAAAGATACATTTCATTAAATAAAATATTTATATAAGCAAGTTAACGTTCAAAATGTGCAATAAAATACAGAACAAGATATTCATATAAACATAAGAATTTAAATTAAATTGTCCAATAAAAGAGTATCTAAAATGATTTTATATGACTAATAATTGTGGGGTCATTGTGTTATAGTGCCCTGGTTTTTAATACTAAATACTGTTTTTATGAGGGACTCTAAACCAGTTAAACAAACCTCTGTTAATGCATGTGTAAAAAGTTACTATCACAAAGAACCCAATTTCTTTTTATTTCTTCATGTAAAAAGTCTGAGCCACTTATTATTACCACATCAAACAGTAAAGAGGACACTTTAAATGTTAAGATATTTCCTGGTTAAATAAAGTTCTTATTAGATATAAACAATATCAATCCCAAATCAACAAAGAGACAGCTAAAATATCTTTTGATTTTCACTCTCATCAGAATGATCATCTCCCTGTTTTTATTAAAGCAGATCTCCTGGTGTGTGTGTGTGTGTGTGTGTGTGTGTGTGTGTGTGTGTGTGTGTGTGTGTGTGTGTGTGTGTGTGTGTGTGTGTGTGTGTGTGTGTGTGTGAACATGAGGTGTGTTCTTACGATCAGAGTGTACGGCGCCTCTTTCTTCTCCACCTCCTCAGCTGGCGGCGCCACAGGCTGTCCGGGTATTACCGGTGTTTCTGCGGCGGACGGGCCCGTCGGCGACGTGTCCACGAACATCTCATCTGTCACCCTGAAACGGATGTCCTCGCCCTGGTCCATGTAGAGGTCGTGGGCCCCCTCGTCCGTCTCGTACTCCCAGAGCCAGACCTGCTCCGCTTCATCACTGAGGCTGAAGATAAGGACTGGAACTACAAGCAACTCCACATCAGAACATTTTACAAATGTATTACGCGCCGTAGTTGAATACTCGATTCTGATTGGCCACTTTGGACAGTCAGCAGTCTGTTATTTCTTGATAGCAGATTGCCTAAGGATGATCAAGGGACTATGTGCGGTCATATCAATACGCAGAAGTCTGGATAATTTAACATCAGTGGTGGCTTAAAAAAATAACACATTATTATTCAAATGTTCTATCAGAAAATATCAGAACATTAGAATCAGTTTTCATATTCGTGGACAGCAGAAACATTTGGATTCATGATGGCTAAACTGTTACCAGTAAAGAAAAGAGAAGAGAAGAAGAACAGGAAAACCAGAGAAGGACTCATGTAGCTGGACTTTAGAGAAATCAACAGAAGAAGACGGACAGGAAATAAACACTTAAGAGAACAGCAGAAGAAGAAAGACAGGAAGTAAACACTACTTTTAAATGACTGGCGTGCTGCATATTATCCCACATGCCTTGATACACCTGTGTGTTCTTGAGATGAAATCACAGCACTTTGCTTCATTATAGGAACATTTTCAGGCAGGATACAATTTGGCGGGCTGCTGAAGAGACTCTGGAGGGATGAGGATGTCGTCAAAGAAGCCCATGGTCACTGTGAAGCAGAGAGGGAACAGAGTCAGAGTTCACAGTGGTACTTATATGTTGTGTGTGGTTCGTGTGAAAAGCAGAGACATGTGAGCCTTTAGGCCGACACCACCGCTGAGGAGCTTTTTTCAGTTTCGCCGTGAGCAGAGTTGCAGAAACTCCAGATCTGCATCAAATGCAGATCTAACCATCCCTCTGATGCCCCGGCCACACGAGGACGTAAACGGTCGTTTGCGTTACTGTTTAGTGTCATATAGACCGTTCGGCCACACGAGGACGACCGAATACGGCACTAAACGACTGCGGAAACGATAACGGGTCCCAAGGTGGATAGAACGGCATACGCAACGCTCTGGGGGGTCAAACGGCTCCGTGTGTACGCCCCATACGATCATTTTCTGATAATGATGAGGCAATAGCCCCGCCTCTCCCCACCTCTGCTGCTCACCCCCGCGTCAAAGTAAACTGTACACTGAATTCAGATTATTTATCTTTCTCTCGATATGGACATAAACGCGAGTGAAGTCTAATCTGACAGGACGGTGACACCTCTCAAACTACCTATAAATATGTTTATTTTTACTGTCGGCCGGGTCACTCATTACTGGATCAGCTGCTGCATGAGACAGACACTGGCGCTGTCCGAAAAGAGGGAGGAAAAAGAGAGGCTCCGTGTATTTTATTATTATATTATATAGAGTCGTTATTAATTTGTTTTAAAGCTCAATAAATAACAAAGAAGACCTTTGACCGGCACTTTTATAATTTTGTCGGAAGATTTAAACTTTAATACACGTTGACTGGCAAAAAACTCTGCCCGGTTCCCTCGGCCCCCACCGCGGAGAATAAACAGAAGGGCAACCATGACAACCATGCTTCTTCGCTGCTTTTGTGGAGGAAGTTACAGCGCCACGTACAGGCTCCTGCATATGTACTGCAGCTTCTCCAGCGGTTGGAGCTAAACGGAGCGGTCTCGTGTGGACAGACACTATCCGGTGAATATTGCGTGTGGACGGAAGCTTGTTTGCGATTGCGTTTGCGTTAATCCTATGCGTTTAGCCGTTTTCGTCCTCGTGTGGCCGGGGCATGAGGCGCACTGCCTTTGGACCATCAGCATTTTGGTTTACGGCCATCAAGCACTGGAATACTCTTCCAGTTGAACTTAACACCTGTACTGATTTTAACTCGTTTTCTTATGGTGCAAAAAAAATGATATTAAGCCACCAGTCATGCCAACATTAATTACACTGTAATCTGAGTTTTTTTAATTTGAACTGTATTGTCGTACTATATCTTAGATATTTTATTTAAGTGTATTTGAAGTGTACTAAGTATTATGTTCGTAACCTGTATTTAAATCAGGCTTTATAATTATTTGAGTGACCGAGATCATGTAAGTGTATTTCAAGTGTACTATGTATTCATTTATTGAGCTGTATTTAAATCAGGTTTTTAAATAGTTTGACTGATAGAGATCATGCAATGTTATTATTTGTTTATTGATTGTTATGAACCTGCCTGAGGACCACAGATGGAAATGAGCTATTAGCTACAATCTGGCATATTGCATCTCTTCTCTTTGCTGAGATGAATGTTTTTGTATGCATGGTCCTTCTATAAATAAATACAAGCAATAAGACTGTTTTTGATGTTTTCTGTGAGACTGTGAGGGGAAGTTTGACTAGTTCTTTTGATAACACATGCAGAAGTCATGTGCTTGTAATGACACAAAACCATGAAATGAATGAATGTGGACTGTTGGTGGGATGTGACATTGAATGCATCACCTTGAGAGTACATTAGAGAATATATCTGAGATGTAGTAAAACATGCCGAGATGGAGAGACAGAACTTACCATGAACTCCTTCTTGACTGCAATACTTGATTTTGCCGAGTAGGATCTCATCGAGGAAAGGGTGGAAAACAACGTACCTGAAATGAACTGAGAGAAAAAGCAAAGGAAGATGGGAGGGAGTCAGTAAGTGACAGTCCATCAACCCTCCCTTTAACCACACTTAAGATCGTACAAAAGTTGCAGTACCTAAGTTTAGCTGGAGACTAACCTCTATCGCTGTCAAGTGTTTTATTATTGGATAAGAAAGTTAAACAGGAAACTGTGAGACCAAATGTATCATAATCCGATTCAAACTGAGTGGAAGTGCTTTGTCAGGAAGTCATATTTATGTTGCGATGTATCTCAAATCTAATGCAGCAGTAAAAACACAATACATACTGTTTTATGTCCTATATATATATTCATGTTGGAGGAGCCTGTGACTTGAGTTTGCTTACACTGCAGCAGCTGTGACAATAAAGCCTTGAATCTTGATTGGAATGAACATGGCCTGATGCAAGTGAATGTATCTTTGTACCTATGGTGTGTGAGGCTCCGTCTCCGGGAAAGATATAGGAGTCGTCCAGTTTGGTGATGTCGTACAGGCAGATGCAGAGGCCCACGTTGAAGACCACCTGAGAGGAGGGCGGGTCACAATGATCAGATAGATGGTCTCACATGCAGAGCACACAGTGACATGTGTTCTCTTTTTTTAACCCATCCTAGTACCAGGAGTCTAGTACTAGGAGCAGTGGGCAGCTAGTGGGCAGCTAGTGTACAGCGCCCGGTATGAGGAAATGATGATATTACACAAGTGCTTGGGCTCGATGGTGTACAAACGATTGTAATACAAATAGCAAAACTGATTTGACTTTAACTGAAAGAAGCATCAAAACCCAAACTCATATTTTCTCAAATCACTGAAATGCATTGGTGTCTGTTAGTCAGAGGTTGGCCTTTTGAAGTTTCACCATAGTGGAAGACACAGGACAGAAAAGCAATACAATTCAGTACAATCATTATACTGAGTTGTATATGAGTATGTTTACCTCAGTATAGTGTATAACAAATCATTTATAAACCTGAAAGTATCATCTCAAAGGATGATTTTGAACTTTTAATTTGAGAGCTTATTTATAGAGGGGTGTTATTGTTGTTATTGCTGTTTTACTAATGTGATAATTTGCACACACACACACACACACACACACACACACACACACACACACACACACACACACACACACACACACACACACACACAACACACACACACACACACACACACACACACACACACACACACACACCACACACACACACACACACACACACACACACACACACACACACACCTTGTTGGCCAGTTTCTTGTTGAGCTCCTCGGCTATGGCCTCGTTCAGTTGTCTCTGGAAGTTCCACGGAGGGATCCTGACAGTGTCCACCATCTCCACCAACACGAACATGATGCACACTGTTACACACACAAACACACACACCGGTAGCGAAACACCCGGAGCGATGCAGTGTCGCTTATTTTCGGGAAAGCGTCTATTTTTTCCACACTGAAGAAGGGAAAAAAAGGGTCAAGAAGTTTCCACGATCTGCCAAAAAAAACTATTTAAAGTAGAATAATCTAGAGAAAACTCAACAGTATCCATGATGTCTCCATGTGAGTATTTACGACAGTGAGGTTTTACGACATGTCGCAAAACTTAAAGGTACAGAGCACAATTTTTCAGCTCTGTTTTGATGTTGATATTTCTCTTGTTCTTGAACCTACTGGGCTTTTTGGTTTCCACACATGTCCATACAAATGAGAAATATGTTATTTTTTAAAGGGAAGTAACAAAGTAGATTTACTCAAGTACTGTACTTTACATTTTGATGTACTTCCATTTTATACTACTTTTTACTTCTACTACAATTCAGAGGTAAATCGTGTACTTTTACTCCACTCGCTTTATTTAATACACATTACATGTCACTTGTTAGACACTTTTATCTAAAGCGATTTACATACTCAATACTGTGGGCAATCCCTCCCCACAGGAGCAATTTGGGGTGAAGTGTCTTGCCCAGGGACACAACGACATGCTGACTGCAGTGGGGTTTGAACCCTGATCCGAACACCAACGCACTACCCACTGAGCCACACGGCTCTCTTTGGATTACAGATTTGGATTAACGAATCTAATCAAGTGTTAAATCAGACTTTAGTTCCACCTGGAGTAAATTCACAAGCTACCCTGCAGTATACAAAGTCATTCAAACTAGCTGCACCTTTACCAGCTTTGAGAACACTTTAATGATCAATCATTATAAAACATATATTATTCTGAGATGGACCAATCTGCACAATGACTACTTTTACTTTTGGTACTTTAAATACATTTAAATGCTAATACTTTTCTACTTGAGGAACATTTTGAATGCAGGACTTTTACTGTAACAGAATATTCCTACACTCTGGTACTTCTACTTTACTCAAACAAGATCTGAGTACTTCTACCACCTCTGGTAAACAGTGAATAAACAAATGCTATTTTTTTGTTTGTTGATCTGAATTACTTGAATTAAAAGCTTATTCAATTAATAGCCTAATACTTTTAAAGCACAACGCACATACTTCTGTGAACACAACAATTCACAGTAAATACTACCGAGTATCTATCGGAATTTGAAGGTATATAAAATCAGATTTATGAATGAGGGAAAGTATGTAAACACTGTGTACCGATTTGATCAGGACGTCACTGTAACACTAACAATCACATGATCGTTTCTCTGATATCTTACAATAAGAAAATATCTCAAAAAAAACATTCACTTCATAATTTCATTTTTATTAATTTACCAGTCATTTTGTGTTAATAGTATTAATCTCAAGCAATAAAACCGCAGACGATTGAACAATCTACTTTTACAAAGAATGTAATGCTGAAACCGGAGTGTGAGGTAATCATCACTACGGGAAAAACATCGGTTCATATTCCATATTTATTTAGCTGTTTCTGAACACATGAAGCATGATGTGAAGGATATTTCAAACACACCAGAGGAAGCCTGACGACCGAGTACAAAATTACACCACAGACATGCTTTTTTTTTTAACAACATCATTTGATTTGTCACTTTACAGTAGCACTTTTAAAAACTCAGGGTTACATTAGCAAACTGTGATTCACAAGCGGCTGGTTTTAAATGTGCAAAGGATGATCAGATTAATCAATATTTTTGCAAGATGATATTTGAAAAAGACATTGATCGTGGTGAATTCTGTAGGAAACAACTCCCTGTACATATTCAAATAATGGACATTTCACAGATCACATAATAATGGGTGACTCATGGATACTTCAACATAGTCATTAGGCATCTTTGGCAGTAAATCTGAATACAGTGTCAAGGAGTGTGTATGATTTCCAGTTGAATATATGAACAGCTAACCCTAAATGGAGGCATTAACGTCCAAAACGTCTTAAAAGTTGGGCGTCCGCTCTTTCAAATCACCTTATTCCCTAAAAACGATTTGAACAAAACAAAAAATCAAGAGAAATACACAAAGTCCCCTTCCTAAAAGTCCCTAATCACTGTTGAAGCCGACAGCTACAATCCAATATATGTGCTTTAATTTACCCACAATGCAAATTGTTTTGTTAACCCATTCAATTCATGTATATTCAGTTTATTGAGGGGACTCTACATCATGACATATTAGATTTAACTCATTTAGACAGGCAGCCCACAGCATGTTACTCACTCTTTCTTTGTTTATATATATTTATCTATTTCATTATTTATGTACATGCCCTGTACAAAGTGCAGCTATATATCACATCATTTACACACGGGTCCAAACTTTTTTTAGTACATAGGGATTTAGCTCAGGAACTGTAAAGATTCATCGTGTGATTTTACTGTGAAGATGTATCGGCTTTCTGTAGCGGTACTCCCACATAAACCGTACCAGCGGCAAACACCTCAACAATATGTAACCACACTGTGTCAACATCAAGGCAAGACTTCTTGGTTTTCTACGGTCTGAAAACTGGTATTTTAATCGTGATTATTACTAACACAACAGAGATGTGCGCTGAAGATGTGAATGTTTGCAGTGGATACAAAAAGCTTGGCAAAGTAGTCCTAAAACCACTCTCCTAACCCTACAGAGTGCTAGTGTACAGGCGCCTGGACACTAGGTTGTGCGTTAGATTGTGTAAAAGGACAGCAGGTTCTCTCATGCTATGGAGAACCAAACCTCAACCTGAGAAAACATTCAGATTGGTTCGCTGGCCGGCTCTGTTGTGATTTGTCAACCGCTTAGAGATGTCCCGCCCCTTAGCCTATCACGTACAATGTGTTGGAGCGCTAGCCAATAGAAGTACGAGTGTCAGGTTGAGGTTTGGTCTGCATTGACACGCCTAAGTGAGAGCGATGAGCAAAGAGGGAAGCGATCACAGACTGATGTTAACCACCAAAGAAAGGTCTACACACAAAGGACAAAACACAGCTGGAAAGAAGTCAAATCAGCGCTAAGTTTTCACCCAATGGGATGTTTTATCACATGACAGATTTAGCAAAGAGGAAGCGAGCGTTGGACAAGCAGCAGGGAGCAAAATCTGGGTGAGATTAAGATAAAAAGCAGCATGAAAAATGAATTTTAAACTGAGAGAGGATGGCTGTAGTTGTACCGTAACAGTGCAGCATGGGATATCAATAATGCTTCTACAGTAAATCATTTTGCCTGGTAGTTTGTCTACAGTGTGGCTCTCAGCTACAACAGGTCCATGAGGGTGAAGCTAGCAGCCAAACAAAGACGACCAATGATTCAAAACGAATGGATTTCACGTACATTTGGTGCAATGTTATAATAAATAGGGATGATGTTAAAGGAAAAGTACAATCATAGGCCTTAAATAACTTTGACTTTAGAGCCATTTGGATGGAAAGACAAACACTTTACATTTTAGAGTGGATTTTAAAGCAGGAAGCTTTCAACTCGTCTGCCAACATCTTTTTTTAATATATAATATTCTGCATCTAGATCAGGTTTGTATACTTCAGACAAAAGGTAACAGTGTTCTTTATGTTAATGCTTCAAACAGACTGTATTTTCACTAAAGTATGAAAATAAATGGCGAGTTATATCCGATTATTATTATTATTATTATTATAGGAGTGCTGTCAGTATGAGTGATGCTGCCTGTATCAGGATCTAAGCTGTGGTTCCGTCGCCTGGGAAAGCAATAGCATTAATCCTGGCTGTGCGTGAACTGTACGTGCTCGTGTGTGTGTGCGCTTTCATCTGTACAGCAACCTTGCGTGTGTGTGTGTTTTCTTAAATTGAGCATCACTACAGTTGTCCCTAAACCAACTAAAGTCTGGTTACCATCCATTGTCTCTATGCCCACGTTTCTCCCCTTCTTAACCCCAGCCAAGGCCCCTCATTGGACCCCTACTGGCCCGTCCTCTTCATCAATTACTGGAGCTCCTTCATCCTGTTGAGGGCGGAGCCGGCCTGGAACCACTCGATCTGATTCGTGTTGAAGGTGTGGTTCAGAGTGATCGACTCCTGGCTGCCGTTGCTGTGTTTGATCACTGCTGTCACGGGCTGGGGGGGGGGGGGGCAGAGGAGGGAACAATCATGTATCATGTTATTCACAAAGATACAGTCATTAAAAAAGGACATTTTCCTGTCTTTGTGATCATAAAGTAGGTGTAGGTGCTGTAAAAATACTGCGTTAGTACAAAAACACTTTAATACAATTAACACTTCCCATAATTAGGGGTTGTGTAGAGGAAATTAAATGTATATCACAATATATATATATATCTTTCTATATTTTGCTGTAAAGGTTTTATGAGATAAGATTAGATATGCCTTCCTGATGCCACATTTTTTTAATGTAATGGGTTAAATCTCATAAAAAAAGAAAACTATATTGAACAAAATGCATGTGTTTATAAGCTACATGTAGGAATGGGGCTACTGAGACAGACCGTGAATAAAGAATCATAAAATAAATGTTTTTAGACCATTAAGAAAGTGAACATGTTATAGTAGAAAAGCCAAAATGATTAACCTAAATGTATGGTCCTGATAACGAGCTAATATGTCTCCTTTGAGAGAAGGTCAGCTGTCCTGTGGATCGATATTTCGTTGTCAGACTGCTCACCTTGCCGGGAGCGAAGGTCTTCAGTCCAGTGATTGAGATCTTGTCGTCGGGGCGGATCTTGTCGTAGTCTTTGGGGTCGGCAAACGTCAGAGGAAGAAGGCCCTGTTTCTTCAGGTTAGTCTCTGTGAGGAGGAGAGGGAAGATGGAAATATGAAACCCGACAGCGTCATACTGGACGTCAGGTAACCAGAGAAGAGCTCCTTGTGTGTCAGGAGAATATCGATTACAGAGATACACAAGATCATGGAGAATAATGCATGCGAGTGTGTGTGGCTGGTGGTTATTGATTAGCGCTTCTCAACATGAATACGCTATTCACACAGAATTCATGCTGTTGGGAATCCGTTTTTAGCCAAAGCATTTCTTTTGTGTCTTTCTGGTTCTGATGAAATGTTTTCACACGAATGATTGCAGGCTTTCAACATGAAGCCTCCTGTAACAAACTGGCTCTAATGGACACTAGTTATTACTCGGAGACATCCTTTTTCTCACAGACTGTAAACATGCCAGTAAATAGTCATCAGTTTGTTCTGAAACCATAACACTCATTGAGACACTGCCTCCCTTTGACAGGGATTAGATAAATGAATGGTTCGAGTGAAAGTGGAATAAAGACAGATGGATGTTGGCATGTTGTTTTCCATCTGTGGCGGTAAACGGACCGTGGATTCTGGCGAAGCTCTTGACGATGATGGCGCGTCCTCCCAGGTGTCGAGGCTCCAGGGCGGCGTGCTCTCTGCTGGATCCCTCTCCGTAGTTATCGTCTCCAACCACCACCCAGTTCACTCCATTGGCCTTTAACAAAGAAAAGGAAGTAGTTGAAGTGCTGTTGGGACCAGGATAGAGAAGACAAAGAAGTCCCATGGAGGAAACTGGGAAATCGGTTTCTCAGAAGGTATGCAACTCGAATAAGAATGGGGCTTTTCTTTGTTAGCACTAGCATACAGCATGCTACACAATCCACCTTCAGTTGGGTTCATCGGGTACACTAAAACAAAGCAGTAATAATGCAATAAAGTGTGCCTTTCTAACGGTTGTTATTGTCCGTTTCTTCTCCAATTTCGAGTTAAAGAGATGTTCAATTATTACCAGCATTACACTTTTATCTAAAGCAACTAGCATACACCTCACTATGGTAGACATTTTTGGGGTTAAGCATAAAGGACACTCAAGATGTTAACAAAGGGGACTCGGGATCGATAAATCAATATGTTGATTTATTTAATAGTAGCCTTGTAATAAGAGGGAGAATATGCCGGTCTTTAGGGCAAAAGGACCTTGAATCACCCTCTTAAACATTGACATGTAAACCTCTAAAGCAGGGGGGTCAAACTCAAATACACAGTGGGCCAAAATAAAAAGATGGGTGCTAGTCGAGGGCCGGACTGGTTCAATGTTTATTGCAGAACGTATTGAAATGAACTCGTTGCACATATTAAACCTGGAACTAACAAAGCTTAAATGATTGCCTATAAAAACAACATTAAACATTAAATAATCAGTTGCATTCATTTCTTATGGCTCTATCTGCAGCTTTTCCAGAGTCATTTCTTAGGATTACATTTTTCCACAGGCCAACAACAGCTTCAACAAAACTATTTCCCTCAAAGAGAAAACCAAACATGCCCTGTTGTCGTGAGAGAGAAAGTGCAGAAGGAAACATCCATTAAACTCAGTGTGCTGCTCTGTGAAGCTAGTTCAGATACTTGGCTATCTCATCTTGGGTGCAAGGTCATCAATGTTTGGGCTCAGGCTCTGAGCGGAGGAGACCCTCAGGATGGAGTGAAGGTGTGCGTGCAATATACCGGCGGGCCAGATCTAATAGGAATTAGAAATTATCCTGCGGGCCGAAATTGAATCCACCAAGGGCCGGATTTGGCCCCCGGGCCTTGAGTTTGACACATGTGACCTAACCCATCACAGTCCCCCTGCTTCCACTCCTACTTATTAAATTTGTACTTTATTATTTGCCCCTTTTGTTTGTTTGTTTGTTCACCATGTAAAGCGGCCTTGGGTCCCTTGAAAGGCGCTACACGAATGTAATCTATTATTAAAGTTTAAAGGTAAAACATATCAACAGTAGACAAGAGTCCAGACTCACCTTGTAGTGGCGGGCCACGTCGGGCACTCCTCCGAACTCTCCCGTCAGCAGGTTCTTCACCTTGTTGATGGCCTCGTTGTCGATGTTGACGGCTCCGATCAGCATGTTGTTGGAGATGTTGTCCAGATGGCCGCGGAACTTCAGCCAGGGCCCGGCGGCACTGATGTGGTCCGTGGTGCACTTTCCCTTCACCTAGAGGGACAGAAGTTATTGTCAATCTTTCAGTTTGTGTGTACAGACACACAGATCGAAAATACCATTTCCCACAATCCAGAATACAAATATGTATTATCCTCTGTCACACAATCAACAGACACATTTATAAATATGCACACATTAAGACATAAATAAAAGCACAACAATCAATATATACCAAATAACATATAGAGGTATAGAGGATCAGAAAAGACGTACAAATTAAACAATGTTTATTCACATCACACACCAGTACTTATATAGTTCTGTGGAGTTTCTCTTTTCTTCGCTGCTCACCTTGATGAGGACCCTCATTTCCTCCATGTCTTTTCCGTGCCACCTGTCGAAGGGCTCCAGCAGCTGCAGGCGGTTACTGGAGGGGCTCACGATCACCTGAACACGCCAAGATCACTGTTAGACATGAAGGCTCTTCCAAAAATATATATTTGTTTTCTTTTATTGACATTTGGCAGAAAACGTTTATGGTGTTTTCTTCAAGACGTTTGTCTGTCCGAACTGCCTTTTTTCTTTTTTTACACAAAGATAAAATAAAAACAGTAAAAAGTACGAACAATACGAACATTAGGGAGCGATCAGGACTTCACAGTAAAATCATACGTTTGTAAAAATAAAATCTGGCCTATGAGGTTTTACGACATCAGTCCACTTTCTCCATCGTGACACAAATAGTTCCAGTTTGTGATTGACAGATGATGTTATCCCCTCCATTTTGTAAATGTCCAAGAATATTTTCAAAGGCCAGAGGTGCAGACAACTTGGTTTGTAACATTTAGCCCACATTTATTTTCTTGCTGTATTTCTTTGTAGTAATTAGATTATCATTTAGTGTCCTTATTTAAGTTTATTTTAGCAGTTGTTTATGCTTTTGTTTTGAAGGCACCAGTTGATTTGGGTAATCATTGGATGCAGGTGGATGAATGATCAGACACCAGAAAGGCAGATGGTTTTTAAACACAGGAGAGAAAAAAAAGAGGATGTTGTTGTAAAGCCATTGTTCTTTGCATGCTGGGTCATTGACACCCAAGGAAAACAAACTCTAAACTAAATGATTGCCCGGATAATGACTTTCCTCCTGCGTAAGATTAGCTACCTGGTGCCTCAGTTGCAGTTCAATTTGTTTTAGCTTTAAAGATCCAAATGTACTGCTTCAAGCTCTTCTGGGTTTATGACGGAAGACGCTCAAATCACTCTAAAATGGCCGTGCTGCTTTCTGGATGGTCATGATAAAATACAGTGTCTTTGGAGAGAAAAATCACCGTCAGTGCGGCGCCGTCGGCGGGGGGGTGCTGGTAGGTGTCCTGGCCCGGGTCGAAGTCTTTGGAGGGGAGCTCGTCACCGGTGGGGGGCTCCAGCATGAACTTCTCTCCGTTAGCGGCGGTCAGATAGTCGGTCTCTGGGTTGAAGTCGAGGGTCCCAGCGATGGCCATGGCTGTGACGATCTATATTCAATTACATAATAAGCATTTAGGGTGAGTCAGTCACACACACACACACACACACACACTAAAAACACTACTTTTTACAGCTGCTTACCCAGAAGCCTTTTAGCTTGTTTTAGCACCTAACGTATTTACAATGTTGTTTTTAAACTATCTCTTGTATGCATGGTTTTTATGATGTTTAATTATTGTGTTCCTTTGTTGTCTTCTTGTTAAGTGTTAATGACGATGTAAAGCACTTTGAATTGCCTCTGTGTCTGAAAATGTGCTATATAAATACACGTACCGTACCTTAGCTACCTACCTACTATATTCACGAGCTACTGTAAGTCTGTCTATTGATTTTAATGTAATTATGAACTTCTGAGTCTTTCTTCATGCAGTACGTCTTACCTCAGGAGAGGTGACGAAAGCATGAGTAGCCGGGTTAGCATCATTCCTGGCGGTGAAGTTCCTGTTGTAGGACGTGACGATAGTATTCTTCTCTCCCTTCTTCACATCCTTCCTAAAGAGTCAAAACACAGAGCATGTTAGTCGGAGGCGTTGTGGTTAACATACATTGCTTTTATTTGATATTCATACTTTACTTTGTATATTTTTTGCGAGCAACCCGTTTAAAATCAGTTCACAAGACTGACATATTAAATCTCTACTGCTGGCTCATAGTAGATACAGAGTTCATGACATGCAGTGATACAGAAGTGTGGGAACAAACAACATTTGGATGATTTCACTGGAAACTGAAGTAGTCAAAAATCATTATGTGGGGAACACTTCTACAAAATGTAATCTGTGAATTTATAATGGAGGTGCGTACCTGTCCCACTGACCGATGCAGGGTCCACAAGCATTAGCGAGGACAACACCACCAACATCACGCAGGATCTTAGACTGGAAGAGGGACATTCTGAATTAGAGTAAATCCTTTCCTTGTGCTGAAAGAAAATGCCTGCATAGTATGGGTCACTAAATGTTAGTGGGATTGTGACTCACATATCCGTCTCTCTCGATGGTGGCGCGGATCTGCTCGGAGCCGGGGGTGACGGTGAACTGGGCTTTGCACTTCAGACCTTTATCCAGAGCCTGTTTGGCCAGAGAAGCCGCCCTGCCCATGTCCTCGTAGCTGGAGTTGGTGCAGCTGCCGATCAGACCTGCAGGAGATAAGATGAGAGAGGAGAAATCAGAACAAGGAGGCGCAATGGACTTTGTTTATCGGGTTTTTTCAACAGCATACAGTTATTCTATCAGAGCATGTATCAAAAGTAGGTAAACAAATCTACACTTTATAGAACAATAGGTAACAATGTAAATGCTGCTTAACACCAGGGCAAACTAAATCCCACCCAGACAGAAGACAAAAACAGACAAACAAATAAATACATAGAAAACCAGTCAGCTAAAACAAAAATGTCAATAATAAACAATAAATGTCAGTACGACGGCAGCACCTCCTCCCCGCGCCAGGCGCCAATTAGCTCTGAAATAGGTTTGAAAAAGATTGGAGGTTTTCACATTATTCTGCATATGAAACGAGAGAAAATTGTGGAAAAGGAGAACACAAAAGGCTCATTTATTATCTTAGTAATGTCCTATTTAGTCTTTCAATGACTGGACTTGTATTGCACGCTTTACTAATTCCTCCCTGAAAGGCCTCGTGACAGGCTGTAATGTGAGATCCGGTCAATAGCACAGCTCATCGGAACAAAGAAAGAAATATCAACTTTCACTAGACAAAGCATTTCAAACCCTGTAAGAGAATACAGCTAACGTCACAGATACTGACCGACTTTCACCTCCAGGGGCCAGCCGCTCTTCTTAGCCGTGGCCCCGATTTCAGACACAGGGTGGGCCAGGTCGGGGGTGAAGGGCCCGTTGATGTGGGGCTTCAACTGTTGGAGGAGAGAGAGTATTTTTTTAATGGACAACACTTGAAGCCTCCTTTGACTTACAACATATGCAAGGTTTCGTAGGTCAGTGATTCTTAGTGTAGATTTTTGTTTTACTGCCCAGCTTCGGGTCATTTATTAAAACTAGTTTATTTATTTTAATGCAGTTCTATGTTGACAATCTTGTCCTAACATAAAATAACATTTCATAGCAGGAAAATCCTCAAAACTGAAATGATCTGAGATTTATTTTTGACATTTTCAACTGTTTGGAGGAGATAGTTTATTTTTTAATGGACACTTGAAGTCTCCTTGGAATAACTTTGACTTACAACATAGTGTATGCAAGGTTTTGTAGGTCAGTGATTCTTAATGTAGATTGTATTTATTTATGTATTAAGCTAATGAATTTATTTGTGTGCAGTTGAAGTTCTTGTTCGAAAATAAAATAATATTTCATGGCAGCAAAATTCTCAAAACCTAAATGATCCCAGATGTCTTTTTACACATTGTGTAATTCCCTGTCAGTATTAAAACGTAAAGTACCTGGATTTCTTTGTATAACTAAAGCTGGTACACAGTTAATTAACTGTAGATCAGGACTATTCAATTGGCGGGCCAAATCCGGGGTGATATTTACTGGCCCTTTGAGTATAATGTTAAAAGTAAGCTACTTTTTTTTTTGGGCCATAGTGCCTTTATTCCAGAGAGGGTGTTACATTGAGAGATAGAGGGGAAGACATTGCCTGAGAAGTTCGAGGGGCTCGGGTTTCGAACCCACCTACTAGCTACTGTAGTGACACACTGTCATTGATTGCATCTCTGCGTGAATGACTAGATCATTTCACCTAAATGAAATCAAATGAAATGATGTTGTTGAATTAGCTTCACATGTCGGCCTACTGAGTTCTGAATTTGCCATTTATGTCGCGTTTCCACTGCAGGCCTCGCTCGGCCTCGCTCGGTTTGGTTAGGCCTTATTAGGCCCGGCTCACTTTAATGCTGCGCTTCCATTACAGTTTAGGAACTGGGGCAGTTACTATAGTAACGCAGTGTAGGCGGAGCCGTGACGTCATCTTCAATGAGAGCCCCAGAAAAACAACACAGCCGTTAGCTCTTAGCACTCAGAGCTCACAGCTCCTCATATCTGTTCAGAAACTAGACAAAAGTTAAACAAGTACAAACCACAGACTGCCTGTGTCATGGCGAATACAGTCGCTGGTTTATTTATGTCTGTAGGCCGTTGTTGTGAGTGTGGACGGTCGGAGCATATATAACGTTAGCTTAGCCAAGCTCCATTTAGAAAACACGCATTTTAAAAGGGTTTTTCGCCTGCCGTCTGTCTGCAGACTTGTCAAAGCATTAATTCATGGTTTTTACTAACCGGTATCAGTATGTTGTTACTTCGGCATCATTTTGAAACGTGTAATACAATTAAATCACGGTCAAATATGTTAATCTTGTTGTAGTTGTAGCCCCCTTGCCAGCGATTCTCTCTAGTTTAGCATACTCAGCCCGACTCAGCCTGGTTGTTCCTGGCCCAAGAACCACGATTTAGTCGGGCCAGAAAAAAGGTGAAAAGCCCCGGGCCAAAACTAGGCCAAGTGGAAACGCAACCAAAAACGGGCCCCGCACGGCTCGGCACGCTTAAAGCGAGCTACCCGCTGCAGTGGAAACGCGCCATTAGATCTCTAAAAGGCCTTGGGGCTATGTTGTTTGATTTCATTAAACACAATATATGCACTCCACTATGCTGTTGTAGTATTTACTGTATCGAAGCTCTTAATATGATTGCTCATATTTTAAGCCATCTTTCTCCCGGCCCCTTGCTTTGGATCATTTTCATCAACCGGCCCCATTCCAAACTAATTGAATAGCCCTGCTGTAGATAGTCTGGATTTGGGACATACCTATAAAAACGTCTTACATTACATGATTCATGTAAATGTTAAGACTCACCTCGCTCAGGTTGATCTCAATGACCTGATCGTATTCACAGCCGTTATCTGGAACCAAGTCTTCTTTGAACTGATCGGCCAACACAGCGATCTCTGAGAGGGAATGAAGAAGGAGGAGAGGAAGCTGTTGGTAAAACACCTTTCATAAATACTAAACTGAGACTGACGGCAAGAGACTGACCTCCACGGCCGGTTTTCTCCATGTACGTCTTCATGCGGTGGTTGTAGGGGAAAACGGACGTAGTGGCTCCGATCTCAGCGCCCATGTTACAGATTGTGGCCATTCCTGTAAAAAACAGTGTTATTTTAGCCTATGAGTAAAATAAACTACACTAAAGTTGAAGAAACTAATCTTTTATTCCAGCAAGGAATGGGTGAATGTTAGTCGATACGCCTGTGTTGATAGTTAAGTTAATCAAATATATCACACAAGATATATTTTTCACCGTTTTTGCTGAAATGTATATTGCCTCTTGGGTTTACATGCATGTTTGTTTAGAAATATTGTCACTAACATTTTAGCCAACATGAAGACAGAATGAACATTTACACCCCGGCAGAAATCAATAAACAACAGGCTCTGACAAAAAGAAAAAAATCATGAATTATTAAATACCTTAAACGATACTTAGGTCATTGATCGGAATTATTTCTGGGAAAATGTATCGTCTAATGAAAGTAGTGATTGTGCCAGGCCTAGTCGTTGAAGCGGTCACTGTTCTCCCTATTATTTTCCTTCACCAGTGTTGTGTTAGTACTTGTAATGAATGTGATGTTGACCTGTGCAGGAGATGGAGTCCACTCCAGGCCCGTGATACTCCACGATGGCTCCGGTGCCGCCCTTCACAGTCAGGATGCCGGCCACCTTCAGGATCACGTCCTTCGGTGAAGTCCATCCAGACAAACTTCCCGTCAGCTTCACTCCAATCACCTGAAGGGGAAAATACGCACAGGTTTAAACAAATAGAAAAAAACAAAACAGACTTCAGTGACTGAAAACAGGGTTGAGAGTGCTAATTAAATACAAATAATTATAGGGAGATTTTGAACACTCTCCCCCATGAGAGACTGCTTGCTACCTCAAGAGGGAATGACGGGCTATTTATGAGAATCTGATCACCTTTTCTGGATTATTTGCGTACTGACCTGAAAGCTTTACTTCTCTGGAGGGGTGGGGGGGGACACTTGAGGCTTCTGTTAACTGATTACCCTAACCCACATATTACGGACTGAAATTATATTCCTCATATAGATTGATATTCCAGCATGATGTATATGTATACACATATTTTATTTATCCTTTGTGGTCTATCTATATTATAGTGATTATGTAAATGAGGATTATTATTATTATTCAATTGTTGTCAAATTGAGGATGTGCTGTGTGGCTGTCTGTGGGGGGGGGTGTTGTGCATTGTTCTGTATGTTGCGTTAAACTCAATAAAGAGTATTTATAAAAAAAATTAAATAATTAACAAGATGTCAAAAACTCACATTGGGACACTTGAGCTCCCAGGGGATTCCTGCCATGACGTCCACAGCGTCCGCTCCACCCACTCCGATGCAGATGGAGCCGAGGCCACCGCCATTGGGAGTGTGGGAGTCTGTGCCAATCAGCATCACTCCAGGGTACGCATAGTTCTCCAGGATGATCTGTCCAAGGAAAGGGACGAGACACGAGTCAGTCACACAGTTTTATCTTGGGATGAAATTCTCCACAGATTACTGTTTTTAAATTGACTTCTTTGGAATGTCCTTTTCTGGATGGACAAATACATTATTTTTCAATGTAAAAGACATTTAAAACGTTATTATAAATCAGTGTACTGCACCTGATGGATGATTCCTGATCCGGGTTTCCAGAAGCCGACTCCGTATTTGGCTCCAGCAGAAGCAAGGAAGTTGTACACCTCCTCGTTTACTTCCTGTGTTCAGAATTATTGGTGAGGAGTTATTTTCATATAAGGTACATGAGTATGCTTGATGTTACCGCACATAATAAACTTGGATGCTGCATTAAATCCTAAAATGTAACAGTTATTTGATCAAGCAGGCAGCTTAAATTGAATAAAAACTATTTTTTATGACAGCTTCGGGCAGAAAACGACAATGCTGACAGATGGACAAAGGGAATACACTGCTATTAAGATGACCAAATGTTACCTTGACTAACATTATTTGGCTCAATTTAATTTAGAATAATGTGAGAACACAACTCAAGATAAATATATAATGTAGGTATATTCATTTTTTGCTTTACAATCAAATGCATCTCAACACATTTCAAAATGTTCCATCAATTTCCTGAATTTGCAATTTTCAACCAATGACTATACTATGAATGAACTATAATGCAATATAATGTACTACAATATATACATATAATCTCCATCTATATGTCTCTTTCTGTCCTCACCTTGGCCCTCTGCAGGTCCTCCACCCCTCCGATCTGAGCCTCGATCAGATGATCGCAGTGGATGGTGGAGGGCACGGCCACCCTGGGCAGACCGCTGCTGATGAACTGCAGCATGGCCATCTGAGCCGTGGCGTCCTGCATGGCCACGCGGTCGGGGCGCAAGCGCAGGTAGGTGCTGCCGCGGGCGATATCCTGCCCCTCCGGGTCGTCCAGGTGACCGTACACGATCTTCTCCGACAGAGTGAGAGGACGGCCGAGCCTGGAGGAGGGGATTAAGAGACGAGGAGTGTTTATAGCCTCAGAGACTACAAATGTCATCAATATGGCTAGAAAAACTAAACCAAATAAAGCTGTGTCGTTGATAGAAGCTGGAGAGGTTTTCACGTTTTGTTCGACTACATAGAAAAGATCAGTAAATATCCCCATGGTGAGTCTTAAGCTTCTATGGGCCTTAAAATGGCGGTTGCCAACAAGTGTCTAAATGAGACTACAAAACATCATCACGCCAAACACGCCTTTAGCTTAACGGTGGTGACCATAATGTAGCTTGTTTATATCGTTAGCTTTTTAGGGAGATCTTTACGATTACGATGCTAACTACCAGGTAGGCAAACAAAAAAACGTACAGCATGTGGTGACCTCAGTAGGCGGGAACACCAAGACATCCAAAGTTAGCTCTGTGGGCCCTCACTAGTAAACACTGTAAATGTCACAAGATGAACCGTGCAGCTGCCATAAACACCCGCCATTCCTCATGAGCCAAACTGTACTCATCAGGCACTCTGTGTAGTTCTGACCTTTGGCGCACGATGTTGATGTTCTCGTGCATCTTCCCATAGTTCACGGTGCTGTTGGGCTCAAAGCGGCTCATGGCCACCTTGGCCTTGGCGTTGAAGGCCGAGCAGACATGAAAACGCCTCGCCCCGCTTCCGAGGACCAGCTAGAGCAGAGGGAACAAAGGACCGGTTTGAGAAATTGCAAACAAAGTTTTACTGTAAAGAATAACACATAAATGAAGAAGAAGATTCAACTTATTGTCATGACGTAGTACAGGTACTATGTAACGAAACGGTTCCTCTGCGTTTGACCCATCCTAGTGTTAGGAGCAGTGTGCTGCCATTATGTACGGCGCCCGGGGAGCAGTGTAGGGAACGGTGCCTTGCTCAGGGACACCTCGTAGCACTTGGTCTTTCCGGGACTTGAACTGGTGACCTTCCAGTTGCCAAGTCCCTATAAATATTTGAGTTATAGACGCAATAAAGAGTGGAAGAATGGGACCATATGTGAGGATGGTTAAAACATAATCTTGCAAGAGCACCAATAGGAAATACAATGTGTAGTGAGTAAAAACACAGACAAAGAATCCTCTATTTTGGTCACAAACGGCTCGGCCAGCTTGGTTAAACATTGACATTATGATAGAAAGACAACTCTGAATTTCCTGAGCAACTCATTACTGGAGGTTATTGGTCATTTGTTAATCTTTTCCAATTGTACTCCAGTGGACAAAGGTGCCCTACTGGTAAAAAAACAAAACAAGAACCCTTTTGGACATATGGTTTTTCCACATGAATAAAAGACGGTCATTAAAAAAAAAAAATCCTTGTACAAATGAGGTTCTAGCCTCATTTACATTTTATTTTTGCTGATGATGAATTCATTTTAATGTCAGCATATGTTCATGCTGGGAATCTTTTTTTAAAGTTGTCAAAATAGGGTATGAATCTCTACTTTCTTAAACAAAATCAGAATCTGTGGACACTGTCAAAAGCATTTTAATAACTTAATGCCCTTTAATTGTGCATTGCAAGCTTTATTATGGAGCAAAACACACTAGATATAGTCCTGCATCAAGATTCTGGAAGAAATGAAGACACTGTGACTGAATCAAGTTTTTGGCTGTCATTTGCAACAGTGGGAAACTCGGCTATATCAAGCTATATTACAGGATCATATTTAAATCTGTCTTGCCAATGAGTGACCTTAGTCTACACAAGAGGGATGCTATGTTCTGTGTTGATATGCAGGGGAAAGACACTGTGCTCAGAGGAAACTGGGTGAAAGTTCACACAGCTCATATTTCAGTGGTTAGCCTCCCGCTAGGCTGGTACTGACAGTCTGATACAGGACCCTGTGGATGTGTGAACACTAGAGTCACAGGCAGAGTCAATCAGAGGAGCACTATTAACAACAACAAAGAAAATCAGTGGAAATAAACCAGGAGCAGTGGAGAAAATCCTCAGAGGGCCATTCCCCTAGCTCTGGAAAATGTTGACTTTTATTAGTGGGCTTTTTATATGTCCACTCAATGCAATGCTATCTATCTAACTAAGGTACCATCTCATAAACTAGACAACAAGTAATGACAAATCTCAAACGTATACAACTCAAGCACACTACACTGACAGCCATGTTTTTCTTCAGTCTAAATAAAGCTCCATTTCTGTCTGTAATATAACAGGTTTTTTTTGTTCATATTAACCCTGTAGTTTTTCCTTGGATGTTATCTGATACGAATAATGGATGAGGTCATATGTGATTGTTTATAGGTGGGATGACATTATTGTGGGAGCACATTATTTGGACGTACAGTCTGACATTTAAATACAAATAATGAGATAATAAAATGATGAATCACCAAGCAAAGCAAGCCCTTACCTAGCAGACAAAGCACTAAATATAGGTACATGCATTGTTTTATAGCAGCATTTCACTTCCTTATTTCTTTTATGTGTGTTGCACTTTTAGATGAGATTCACATTGCAAAAACGATGTTGTAACTATTCTGCAAATGAGAAAAAAAAACGAATCATTCACCACTGAGTACAACAATATATGACCGAGTAGGTGACTTTATAAGAAGCATACTTACTTGTGTTTACATTCTAATGTATACAGCTACGTACTGAAGGCCCTGTGCTATTTAAAATGAATATATACAATCTTATTTCCTCCATTTCCTAACAAAACATCAGAAACACAGTGCAGGGCATCACTCCCAGCTGTCAGGAGGAGCTGTAATGAAGTGCGCATTAAGAAAACTCTGTAACCTTGTGATCACCTTGCAAATATCAGGCCATCCGAGACCGTTTCCACACAACATCCAGCTGATATTGATTTAACTACATACTGATAGTATAAAAAACACGATTTAATGTTTGTTATTGTAAACTCTGGGTGTTTTTTAGCCGTTACAAGGCGACGCTTCCATGAGTCACACGAGGACACGGTGACCTGAGTAACGGTCGCTGTCTGCGCACTTTACCCGTTAACCGTCAAACTTAAGAGAAAAAAATATGACTATACAGAAACACATTTCTGTTGTCATGTATGTACTCGAAAACAAGGCGGTTGGAGAGTCTGTAAAAGATAAAATAACGTTTTCTTACCCGCAGTCTGGTGACAGTCAAACAGTAAGACGCCATTTTGTTCACTGACAAAGATGTGTGTCGCCCTCATGTGACGTAACTGGCTTAGTGCCCAAGTAAGTGTACACATACCTCTTATTGTTCTTATTATACATCCATGACACATACAAGGAATTTGCTTGGGTGTAATATGGTGCATACATGAATATAATAGGAAGATTGTCAAACAAGGGGCAAATATATAAAATGTAAAATATTATAAATAGAATACATAAAAAATAAATAGAAATATACAAAAAAGTAAGAGGAATAACACATGACAATTTATTCTGAAAATGTGTATTTATTTTATTTAATCATTTATTTGGCAGGGACAATGCACAGTAATTAACACTTACATTTTAAGTGTTCGATCTGTTCATCTGTCATACTGATCATACTGTCAATAACCTTGTTGTTATTAGCATCTGGTTAGCTAGCTATGCTAACGAATATAAGAAGCTTTTTCTCCAACCAGTGAGGTAAAGGCACATCTTTATATGATCATTATAGTTATCAAAAAACAAGATAATAAAGTAAACAGGTATAAAATACTATATGACAGTAAAAACAGTTGTTATTAATAAACAAGAATATAGTTTGAAAGGGGAGTGATTTGTAAAATATCCATAAAGAAAAATAAATCTGCTTACAGGCCTGTTTCATATAGATGTTGAGCGATGTATCCATCCTAATGTTGCTCTCAAAGTGCACCAGATTGATGGTTTTAACTTCAACATTTAAAAAAAAATCTTCCCGGGAGAGCATGCCCCCGGACCCCCCTGGAGATAGGTCCCCCCTAGGATGTTACCCCCCTAGAGGAGGTTAGGTCCCCCCCCCCCCCCCCACTTAAATCATGTCCACAGGGATAGGAAACTAAATACATTTGCACACATCATATCTTTCTGTTTTGGTGGTCATGCCACAACCGTGCACGTGCATGCATACGCGAGTCATGGTAACTTATCTGGATTAAGAGGTTGCTTTTTCTTTGCACATCATGAAAGAAAGGCTAAATGAATGGGCTGTGATTTTAGTATTTTTAAGCAGAGGTCAATCATTTGTACGGCTCTCGGAGGATGTGGAAAAAATTGAAATGGCCCTTGAGAGGAAAAAGGTTCCCCACCCCTGACTTAAAACATTAAAATGTGTCAAGCGTAACATTGCCAGATTTAGCTTTGAGCTAATTTCCATCCGCAGTCCCTCACATAAAACATTTAAGAAGTTTACATTTTACAAACATAGCAAAAACAAAATACATGATATGCAAAAAGTGCAAAAGTACGGAGCCCCTAAAGGGACATGGTAACCGGTAACTTTCTCAACAAAAAAAAGTGCGTACGAGTTAGTAAAAAAAAAGTCAGGATAACGAGTTAGTATCTCGTGCGCACGAGATACTAACTCGTTATCCTGACTTTTTTTTTTCTCTCTCTGTTTTATTTTTTTTTTACATGTCCCGTTAGGGGCTCCGTACAAAAGAGCAAGAGCAGCATACACAAGTATTTATGACATGGTAATACAATATAGCAACAACATATAAAGTGAAAGAGAAGATACAAGAGCTAAAGTGCAAGAGAAGATACAAGAGCTATAAAGTGCAAGAGGAGATACCCCTGTGTTAAAGTGCATTTAGCGGTGATTGCACAATATATACATCCGAATTTAAATTAGGAAATGGAATACATCTGTGCAATTAAAAAAAATGGGATTTATATTAAAGTATTGGTGACATGATAACACTGGAAATATGCCAGGCTCTCACTCAATACATCATTTATGTTTGGAATAATCCTTAAAAATTCACAAAAATGCAAAACTGTAATGGAAGATGTGGGACTACCTTAGTTTTTGATTAAATGTCTTGCGTGACTTAAAAGTTGAAGACTATATGGATGGGAAAAAAATTCTTAAATATACTCATAGGACTAACTGAAAATTATGGCATAGGCCTACTGTATGTGTTCGTGTAGTTGGGAGATGTCTATAATTGAATTTAGCCTATATCATTAGAATATGTTTCTTCATTGAATACAAAATCCATAATCACAGTACCTCTCATAGGATACTGTAGATGACTGATAATCAAAATGTGGATTGATTTGAATGCATAACAAACCCGGAATCAATCAATCTCTAATGCATGTCTTTTTTTATTTAACACTATCAATACCACCACACAACATTTAGCGGCAATAACCACATTTCCCACAAGCCCCTGGTAAAAGTCAAGTTGATTTAGCTGCTGAGTGGATGCTGCAGCCCAATAATGTGAGGGTCCTCCCCCCTCTCAGCCAATAGGGACTCTGTTGCTATCACCGCTTATATTTTTAGCAAATTGCACAGCACCGTTAGAAACTACAAATATACCTCCGCCAATTTTATCTAGTGCCTGCAAGGTAAACATGGAGGAAACATGCCCTCAATTAGCGTTTTTTACATCGTTATTTTTTGAAAGAGGAGTATGAAATTAGATCTTATATATGGTGTAAAAAATGCAAGGTATGAAAATAGTTTTTGGTTTTATTGTTATTCCAAAAAAGAAGTCTGCTTGGTAATATTTATATAAATATTCTGCATAAATATGACATTAACTAAATGATTTACTGGCAGCATCACATATGCATAGATACCGTTGTATGGAATAATAATAATAATAATAAAGAACCAGCTACTATAATATGAAGAAAGTAGTCCCTGCCGTCACGGGCGTGTGGGCGAGTCACAGTGTATAAATACGCCGGGTTGTCAAACAGTAAAGTTTCACTGGAGCCTCCATGCAAACTGTCAGCTGAAGAAAAACTGGGAAACCCTTTGGACCTTGCTGAAATGGGGGCAGCAGATTAATAAACACAACACTGGGGTGAGAACAATATCCAGTGGTCAGCATTTGCACCAAGGACTCGACACGTCCGCCTTGAAATCGAAGACAACACAGGGGAATTACAAGAGAAACGCAGGAGTCAAGGTAGAGCATCAGTGACGATAGGTGAGTAATTAAATGCCCGCTGGCGCATGAAACTGCATTTAAATGTCCTTAAATTGCGTGCATGTTGCTGTGTTTGGCTTTGCAAAATGCGCTCATTGTAATGAATGACAGCACTGGTTCGGCCATTTAAATAGAGACCCAGCTTTTGTTTTTATCCTGGCCCGTTGTAAATTAGCTTAAGTGCTCCCTTCTTGAAGTATATGCAACTGTCATGTTTATTTTATACATTGTTTGACTGTATATGCTAAGGAGGGACTGTCTTCCTTATTGCTCAGTGGGCACATACTCGCTCGATAGTCTGTTCTCCACTTATTTAGCCTTATAATTTAATTTACAGCGTTAATTTGGCATGGTGGGGGGGATTCTTCACTTGCATGTCATCTAAACCAGTGTCCATTATGCTCCACTGCCTTTTGACATATGGCAGTAATCCCCCAGGTAGACCCTGCTCCTTTTTAGTATCTGAGTTTAGCATCACACAGCTGATATCCCTCCAATCTGGCCCTCATCTTGCACATTTGGCATCTGGTAGTGCAAAGATATTCCCATTTAAGGGCATCTATTATTATCAATCTGTTTAGGGAGAACATTGTAAGTGATGGGGATTCAATGAAAGAGAAAATCACTATTCATATCCAATTGAGGTTTCAGGTGTAACTTGGTTCAGGAAGGCCTCCATTTGCTGCTTTAAAAGCTCAATTGTAATATTTCTAAAGGCTTTTTGCTTTCATGTATGTATTGTGTTTATTTTGCAAATTAGCTAGGGCTATCTGTAAGCTCACATGTGCTCAATAGATAAACAGGGGGCTTCGCAGCACACAGTGGCATATATGCAGCTCTGATAATGAGTCCATGTAAACAAAAATAGCTCTATAGATCCTGCTGCTGCTCTGACCTGCAACACCAGGCCTGCACACATCACTGGAGCTCCTTAAGTTGTGTAACAGTGAAGAATACAAAGCCAGGGATTTGTGAGCGTGGATGTTTTTATGAAAATGGCATGCTCTGGTTTAAGATTTAGACCTCTAAATACACTCTAAAGAAGCACATACTCACATAGCTACTCCTCTTATGTCATTGGATGACATTGGATCTTGTACATCTTGCTTTGTTTATATAATACGAGATATTAAATGCAGTAGAAGCTGCTGGTAGCTTTAACTGTTTGTGTGTGTGTTTGGGTGTGTGTGTGTGTACTAAAGGTTTGTATTGCTGGTGGCTGTTGCAGGTGCTGGACCAGGGGATTTTCCTGTACATCCTTTTTACGGTCACTTAAACTCATTTTAAACCAAGGTGCAGGAGAGGAACAGATGCAAAATGGGGCCCTATTTATAGCCCATTCTAACCAACCCCATTTTATCCTTCAATGTCACCTTTTTCATGCTATGGGGGGGAAAAGTGAATCTGTAACAGTCACTCTGCGTGCAGCTTTATCTGTGATAGCATTAGAATTGTCTTTTAATCGGAGGCGTCTTTCTAATCTTAGCTGCTGAATCCCCATCTGGCAGGGAAGTGAATGTGAGTGAATTGTTTGTGTGTGTAAGGGGGGAGGGGGGAGATCACACGCACTGCATGGTGGGAAATGGTGTTCTGTGAAGTCGACTTACTGTCCTGCCATTTTACACCTTCTTTTCTGAGTATCGGTGGTGTTATTGCTTCTTTTTGCCTGTAATCCTTCAGTGCTTTTGACTCAGCAGCATGGCCTCCGTGTGACTGTGTTTAAGCGTCAAAGCAGGATGCGTTCCCGGGATCAGATTCAGATTATAAAGGATTTATGAAGCCCACAACACAGCATCTGTTACATCCATCAGTAGATCCTGCAGCTGATGAAACCAACATATAGAATATTATAAAGCATGTCTGATGCTGTGTTTCACTGAAACTCTGGTGTTTTCCACACGTTAAGCATCTCACAAATGTATCATTTGATTACTAAAGCCAATATGGTGAGTTTTCTGCACTGTTTGTCCAACCGCTCTGAATCTATTTATGATGGCTTCAAATGCATTTTACCAAAAGTTATCTTTTTGAATCAATGTTTGCACTCTTTCAGTATAGAAATGTCTTAATCCACAGCTTATTAATCACTTCCTCTCATGCATGCAGAAGTGCACGTTTCTTGCCTTTTCTTTTTATTCGAGTCAATGACCCATATGGAGGCATAAGTGTGCCAAATAATCATGTAAATCAATTAAGCGTCCATTAACTGATACATAACTTTTTTCTGTGACCAAAAGGAAATGATTAGCAGCATTTTGTTTTGGTACAGTTGGTGTGTTTATTTTTATTTCAGAATCTGTTTTCTTTTGCCAACACAAACCAGGAATACCCTTATTTCCACATTAACTAGCACACACAGAAAAAAGACCACCCACACGAAAAAAACAACAATGTCAGAAAAATGTACATTACATCACTGCTAGATTAGATAATTAGCTACCAAAGACATACAATGACATGACGGCACTTAAAGGTGGGGTAGGTAAGTTTGAGAAACCGGCTCGAGATACGCTTTGTTATATTCCATGGAATGCTCTTAACATCCCGATAGCAATGAATATCTTAAGTGCTTTAACAAAAAATCCATAACAAAATGTCATCTGTGGAAGCCGTGGCGCTGTGAAAAGCACGACCAATCATCTGAGCCGGCCCGGCTAAAGTAACTGGATGGCCTACCTGCCTGTCAGCCTTTCTGTGCACAAACTTATCTCGTGCCCTCATTGGTCATGTGCGCGTTCGTGTGTGTTGGAGGAGGGGCTCTGTGAGGAAGTCTGAAGGAAGTGGCAGATTTTTTCCGGCTGTGTATTTTCAAATTCTAGCGCACTCGAGCTGGTTCCTCCAAAATTACCTACCCCACATTTAAAGAAAATAAGTGCCAAATCAAAATAAATGAAAAAGTCGTTAACATTTTAAATGTGATTTAAGGTTGACAGATGGAGAACATTGCAGTGTCCCCTTCCTTTGTTTGTTTTCAATTCACTTCCCTTGATCTCCCCTTTTATCTTCCTCTGGCTCTTTCAAAATAAAATGACGCCCTTCTTCTCTTTTCTCCTTCACAGTTGGAACCTGAAAACGCCACATTTGTGACGACAAAGACCGCCTGCAACCTGCCGCCTTCGAGGTGCCTTTACCATGGTGACACTAAAGGACTCATACACGTTACAATAAAGCCAGAGGAAAAACTCCTTGTTACCGTTTGCATCGCCTCACCCTCGACCCCTTTCCCCCCCCCCACGCTGACCCGGAGCAGCCATGCATCTCGAGGTGAAGGTCGCCCTGAACTTCATTGTGTCCTACCTCTACAACAAGCTGCCTCGGCGCCGTGCCGATCTGTTTGGCGAGGAGCTGGAGAGGATACTGATTTCTCGGTTCGAGGGTCACTGGTACCCCGAAGCCCCTCTCAGAGGTTCTGCCTTTCGCTGCATTCACCTGGGAGCTCCGAGGGACCCCGTGGTGGAGTTAGCCGCCAAGAGGAGCGGCTTGGACACGGAGGAAGTTCGTGCAAACGTTCCTGCAGAGCTCAGCGTGTGGATCGACCCGTACGAGGTTTCCTACCAGATCGGAGAGAAGGGGGCGGTGAAGGTCCTCTACCTGGAAGAGACTCCTGGACTCGGGTGTGACGGAGAGATGCCGGAGGGGCCCACCAGAGAGGGTAAACTCACTTATATACATTGTTTTCAGGTGGTCCCTTGAGGATTTAAATTGAACTTAAATCTGTAATTATTCTGTAAAGTGTATATTGTATTCAATGTTTACATTTTGTGAGTTAGATAGGCTGGACCAGCATAACCAACACTGCCTTCAATTCTGTTATTTTTATATTTATATTATGTTTTCAATATATATATACTCTATAAATATATATCCTTTATTATTGATCTGTATATAATCATTGTTTTGCGTATTTTGTTTATCTTCTACTGCAATGGCTTATCTATGCTGCTGTGACAAAAACAATTCCTAAATTGGGATAAAAAACGTATCTCTTATTCTCTTAGCATCTACACAGCTTTCCTTAACAATACTGCACATACTTTATTACTTAGTACTTTGCGATAGTATACTTTACGTCGTTTTTTGGTATATCCAGATTTAATGTCACTCATTTTCAATATCTTAACTCAACATAGTTTAAAAAATATACATTTTATTTTGTATCTTCTTTAACTGTTTATATGCACCATGTACACCAAGGCACATTCCTCGTATGTGTAAACGTTCTTGTCAATAAAACCTCTTTCTGATTCCTTAAAGGAGACTCAGAGGCGGAGGAGGCCAAGAGTTTGGGGTTCAACCCGGACGCTCAGGTGTTCGTTCCGATCGGCAGCCAGGCGTCGCCCGCCCTCATGCCCTCTCTCTCCAGCTCCCCCACCCCGATGTCCACCGCCCTCTTCAGCTACCCGAGCTCCAGCACGCCCCCCGACCCCTCTGCCCACTCCTCCAACACCTCCACCCCCTCCCCCCCCAGCGGCGGCCTGCCCTACCTCTCCGCTCAGCAGCAGCCGCCGCCCTCCTCCATCCCCACCGCCCGCCCCCAGCCCATCACCTTCACCACCGCCAGCTTCGCCGCCACCAAATTTGGCTCGACCAAGATGAAGAAGTGCAGCGGTGCCGGGTCAACAACTGGCTCCAATGTCTCCATCCTCCCCCCTGCTCAGAGGATGCTCACCCACTCCCCCACCGCCATCTTGGCTCCGGACCTGCTGAAGCACAAGCCTCTCTCTCTGTCCTTGCACTCCCTCGGAGGCGCTCCCATCGCCAGCCAGCTCTCCCCCAACGCCAAAGAGTTCGTGTACCCAGGATCGCCGGGCGCCCTTTACTTCGATGCTGACTCCCAGCCCATGCAGCCTCACGTCAGCCCGTTCCAGCCGCCACACTCCCATCCGACCTTTGACCCCTTCTCTAGCCCTCCTCCGCCCCCCAGCGTTGGCATCATCGGCAGCAGCGGGGGAATCCCCTACATGGAGAAGCCCCCGTTTGTGGAGGGTCTAGGAAGCTACAACCTGCAATACCCCAGCCAGTCCTTCCAGCCGGTGGTGCTGGCCAACTAAAGCCTTCATTTGTAACGAAAAAGAAATGTTGTCCCGAGGTGGGTCTGAAAAATGACGCTCCAGATATTTTTTTTCTAACAAATTGTTCCGATACTAATACGCGTTGAGAATTAGTTTTACTACGAGGATTTAAAAAGTACCACGTCCACTGAATAATGAAATGTAGTTTGTTACCTCCAATCCCCGCCCTATCTTTTCATTCGTTGCTTTCGTCCGTTTGCTTTGATGACAGGAGTGGGTGGGGAGGGGTGGGTTCCTTTCTACGTTTGAGTCGTTGCCAATCGCTTTTATGTTTATTCCTTTGCATTGAATGTTAACGTTAAGGACTTGTTTTTGTTTTGTGGTTTAATGGACCCGGCTCTAGTGTAGCTCCACTTTTGCACTGCACTGTCATGCTGTGAAAGAAGCTCTTCGCCAAGTCCTGCAGGGAACGACGGCTGTGGAAAGCTCAGCACTTTGCTCTGCAATCTGCTCTGCCCTACTTGCCACAAATACAGAGAAGGGGGGGGTCTGCTGTGTGTGCGTGCGTGTGTGTGTGTGTGTGTGTGTGTGGCGCTGCTCTGTTTTGTTGTGGCTCAGCGTGATGGAGAGACCCATTGTTTGTACGATTGTGGGCCCTCTCCACTAGCAGTTTGTCGTCAGCTGGGATGTGTGTACATGACACGGGTTTAAATGAAGCGAGAGCAGTGGAGTGAGCAGAAAGGCAGCTTGGGGGAGTAAAGGAGCGATGTAGGGGAATGTATTGCATCTGTCAGGGGGGATACTGCAGCTAGGAAGGTCAGGGAAACCTTGGTGGAGAAACGGGTTTGCATTTTAAGACTTTAACCGAGCGTTGATGCCTCAATTTAACACACTGGGATGTAAATGATGCTTTCATACGTGCACACACGCAGGCGGTCGTGTGAGAAGGTGAAGAAGAATGCAGCAGGCATTGTGATAAATGGCTTAGCATGACTTTGAGGGAGAGCTTTTCCTCTGCACGAAGAAGGAAGTGAAAGGGAGAGCAGCAGCTAGAGGCTTCTTTCGCCTCGGTGTTATCCAGGCTGTGGAGAGATTTAAAACCCAGAACACGTTTGCCGTGAGCTTAAATGGTATTGAAGCCAACCATTCTCTCCCTCCTCTTGAAATTCTCCTCTTCTCCTCTGGTTGCTGACAAAAGATTCATACAGATGAGTGATCCTCAATCGGTCTGCTGCTTTTATTGGTTAGATTTTAAGTCTGCTGCACGTCTCTAACAATGGTTTGTTTACCAGCCGGGTCCATGTGATTGTTGGTGAGTCTCTGCAGGGAGGGGTAGCTCTCAGATGAGCAGCACTTTATTTCTGAGGCGCTACATCGTTCCTTTAGCCTCCATGAAATGCTTTAGAGATTCAAACAGTGCAGATGCAAGATTGAGGAGATGCTGTTTATTTGAATGTTTCCAGAAACCTATTAATGAGGACCCTTGACTCTGGGTTTGCAACGTGACATCTTGTCATATGCATGGAAGATTTTATTTCTTTGTTTTTGTTTCAAGGGGATGGGTGGGGAGGTCTGTAAATGTCATTATGATTGTGAGGGGAAAGATGCATTTATATTGTTTTGTAATTTATTTCTATATATTTTTGTTTTTTTCTGCAAAAATGATCACTGACATTTGTACGAGTAAAGACATGACAAGTCCAGGAAATATGTATATATACAAAGTTCTTACGTTCAGATTTATTTGTTTAGTTTCTTACATGCCGAGGTTATTTTTTCAGAAAATAACGTGAATATATGCAAACCGAGACAAAAATAAAGATGTACAGAATAAAGTATTGAATGTGTATTGTACCTTGTACCTTTTTGGCATTTGTCTAATAAGACGGGTAAATGTATTCATTCTTCAAGTCGGATTTGAAGTTTAAGATGTGAATGTTTACAAAGGGTTTGTGTAGGAAAGATGGCTGATTTCACTTTTGTTCCGTGCTCCCAGGGCAGTCTCACAACACTACTCCCCATTGGCAGTGCATTGAAACCAAAAATTACACATTTCAGATTTGTTATTGTCCATTTCCCTTTTTTTTCTTCTATTGTCAATTCCCTACGTATTTAGTTACCCTGCTTGTCTTTTATCCTTCGAGCTAAAAGTACCATTCATTTTTCCCCACTTTATTTAAACACATTTTCACTACCCCCAATAGGCAATGCATTTAGACAAACGATCCACATTTCGGAGTTATTCTTAAGTGAAATGTCCATTTATTTTGGTGAATCCCCTACATATTTATTACATTCCCTACAAGTTACTTATCTTTTTTCCTACTTTAGTTAATAATCACGTCTACTCTACTTCCCATAGAAATGTATTTAAACAAAACAATTTACATTTCAGATATATTCAAGGCCAAGTCCTTCCCTCTTTTCCTTTTTTTTGTTGTAAATTCAATACTTATTTAGGATCACAATTCATTTTGTGAGATTTCCTACATTTAGTTTTTGTTTTACTCCCATCCAACCAACACTACTCTCTAACACTCCTTGACTTCTTTTGTTTGCTACGAAAGCACCTAACCCAGATAAATCATATTTACTAGAACAAAACGCCCCCTTATATTATATATCCCATCACATTTCACTTTGTCTCACTTCATCTTTTTCCCTTTCTCCCCAGGTCCTTTGGTCCTGGTACTATAGCCATATCCCAGACTGTCTTTGCTTACACAGACGCTCGCTCTTCTCCAGTGCAATGTAATGCCATAGTTTAAATTACCCTGAAGGATTTAAGGGGTTTCTACCTCTCTGCACCCGGGAAAAAAAATACAAAAATCAGTATATCGTCTCAATGAGAAGACAGTGTTACGGAAAGGATGAAGGAAATGAATGTGCTGTGAATGTGATCTGTTTATTAGGCTACACCCTGGTTGAGATGGCCTGCGGATAATAAATAAGGGAAACAGAATTGTTTTGTGTTTAAACATGACAGTCACATGCATGTCCAAAATGACTAAGTGACCATTTTTTTTTCATATTTGTGAGATTATTCTTAGCAAACGAGGTGTTGTTAAATTTCGTCTGTATACAAATCGGGCTCCTCTGAGGATGTGACGATGACTGTAAAAGAGTAAATGCTGGTTTGTGTTTTTTCACGCTTTTCTAAACGCACTCCAAACGCAGGCCATTCAACAATCAGGGTTGAACGTTATTAAGGAGGAAAAACAAGAATTTTGTATTCTGATGTCCGTTTGCTTATATCGATGTGTGCGTTTTATTTTGCACTTTGGAATATTGCATTGTCATAAAAGAAGTTTATTTTCTATGTAAAAAATGTAACATTTAAGAGTACAAATAAATATAATTAAAAGTTCAGATGTATAAATATAGTGCTTTCTTTCCTGCCTGTATTTTATTATTTTTGTTCCTATTTTGTATCTGATCTGTACACCCTGTATGTAATGAATCTTTCACTACTGAAATGCAATGACCTGTTTTCTGTGCTGCCCCACCCCCGGGAATGGGGAGTTACTACTGCAGTTTCTTATTGTATCAGATTCTTTTTTAAGTTTGTAATAAAATAAACAGATTGGCAAAAAAACAAGCATGGAACATAAGATCATTGTGTCATCCTCATTGTTTGTGGTGGAGGAATAGTGTTGCATGACATACTTATTTCAAGTGGTGGAAGAAGTACCTGGATGTCTTAAGTGAAAGTAGCAATACTAAATTGTATAAATGTCAAAAAGTAATACCCCAAAAAGTAGTATACTAATTTTTAGGCTCACATTTGTATGTAGTGTCTCTACTGTGACATGTCTCAATGCTTTAATGTTCAAAAAGCTCTTTATTCTTCTCATACTGCCTGTGCTGCAGCACCTCTTTTCACCCTCTGTCTGAAACCAGAGCCCAGTCTGCTCTGATTGGTTAGCTGGCCGGCTCTGTTGTGATTGGTCAACTGCTTAGAGATGTCCCGCCCCTTAGCCTATCACGTACACAGTGTTGGAGCGCTAGCCAGTAGAAGTGCAAGTGTTACATAGTGATGTCACTATCTTTTGCAAGTAAACAAAAGGAGTCCAATGGAGTCAGTTAACTTATAACGATATATCAATTTTAATTTATTAGTCTATTTATATTTTTGAGGTATCTATTAATGTGCATTTGTAATGTAACTAAACCTGTAAAATAAATAGTAGTGGATTAAAAAACTCAATATTGGCTTATAAAATGTAGTGGAGTAGATATATAAAATAGCATAAAAGGAAAATCCTTACTAAAAGTACCTGAACAATGTACTATTTTAGTAAATATACTTCATTATATTCCATCACTGTTCACCTCGGTTTTAATATTGAACATATTGCAGATCAAAGCTGATCCCCTGAGCTCCTGTGAGAAGCCTCAGTTTGAGCTTTGTGGCGGTAAACAAACTCAAGTGATGTTTGATCAATAATTCAAAACAAAGCTGAAATTCTCAAATGGTGAGGATCCAGATTGCTCCCCGCCCACCTCAGCTGGTCCCAGCAGATATTACATTAAATGTAATCATGGAGCGCTCTCTGTGAACGCTGTATAGTAACATGCAGTGGTGTGACATTAACATGCATGGCTGGGCTCCTCCTTGGCTCTCCTCCACGTCTTGCTCGCCCACGCACTGCATCCCTCCCTCCCTCTGATCACATGTTTCAAGCTGCATCCCTGTTCTCCATCTTTCCATGTCCATCTTGTTTGCACCCCTCTCCAATTCTCCCTCCCTCTCCTTCTTCTCCATCCTTTTCAAACACCTGATCCTTTCCTCCCTTTTGTCCCCCACCCCTCCCTAATTCCCAGAGCCCCTCCTTTTTGATTTTCTTTCCTCCTCACACACACTCACACACACCCCCATCCTGCTGGTCTTTGAAGCTGCTGTTACGCAACGCTGCTCCCCAGTGTGTCGATGTGATCATTACGCAACATCTCCTACTCCTCTGGAATACTGATGAGCAGCAGGACCAATGGAGGGGCTGTAAAATAAACAACTGGTCGAAGGAAAATCATGGGGGATTGTGTATTTGAACATATGCATCAAGGTTAGGTTAAAAAACTAGGAGAAAACGTCTTCATCTGTGCACCAAACTGCTGCTTTCTTTTGTCTCTTCATCTCTCGGCACTGCTACATCTGCCGCAGCTGGCTGATGACTCAGGCAAGGTCAAGCAAAAGAGCCAACGAGTCATGAAATCTTCATTTATTTTCAATTGCATGATACAAGATACAGTTAGGACATAGTACTGCATCCTTCATGGTTAGGACAATACAAAAACACGTAACAAAAATCATGTTTATATAAAAAAGGGGGGAAATAAACCAAATCACAACAGCTTAGAAATAAATGGACTTTTAAATATTCTTCCAGGTGTTTTAAAGCTACTTTGAATAGCAAACAGTCATTATTATGATGCAGCAACCGTTTTAGGCTAGAAAACAGCTCATTAGTGCCAAGGCCTGTACACCTGTGCTACCTGCAGGTAAAGTATTACAGCTGCAATTATTATAAGCTTTTTGTATGAGACACTTGTTACACAGCAAATATAGATGTCAGTAAACACTTTTATTCTCTAATTCCTAATATTGAAATGCTGATTTTAAGCATGCTCTGGGCGATGTTGCTGTGAAACAAATGTGTTATTTTTTTTAACTAACTGGCGATAATAGAGTTTATATTTCAAACCTCCAACAGACACAAAGTAAATGGCTCCTTTTAAGGAAAAGAACGCTGTTGTAAAACTTTGTTCCTAAATTAGTGCTCAGGTAAAGACGCCAGTAGCCTACTGTTTTTGTCTGTAGGAGGCGACCGAGCTGCTGATCTTAACTGCTGCTGCTTTCTTCATTACCTATTGGTTTTATCGCCAGCTAAATTAAAATGTGCAGAATTGAGAATTACTAGCATGAAGAAACGTTGCTACATACTGTATCCAGTAGGCTACTTAAAGAATCCGTGTTTGTGTCTTCTAAAATAATCTCTTGGCCTGTACCCAGTGGCGGACTGGGGACGGATGGGCCGATACCGAAGTGGGCCGCTCGGATAAGTCAGTCACTAGCACCCCACGTTGTCAATTTACTAGCGGTATAACTAGCGGTACCGAAGTGGGCCGGTCGAGAGTCCCGGGCTGATTTTTAGTCCCAGTCCGCCTCTGCCTGTACCGATAGAGTTGTGCAGGAATGTGGCCTTATACCAGGACATTTCACTACATCTGGTTCCCTCATCTCCAAGACAATGGTTTTATAAATGTGTTTTAACCTGAAATAAAATCTGTGGTTAACACAAGATAAAGAGATTTTCAAATGTTTTCGTCACTAAATACATCACTGCTGAATGTCTGAAGCTTCTATGTGTCATAAAAACAACGGTTGCTAACATACAAGTGACTAAATCAGACTACTAAACATCACACCGAATATTAGCCGCCTTTAGCTTGGCAGTGGTTGATGAATTGGAAATGGGGGACCCTGATGTAAACAAGACGAAAGTCTTTCTCTGGTCTGCATCCCCTTAACAATTGTATGTTTTGAGCTGTACTGTACTGTACCCAATATACAAGCTGTTAATAAACTTTTCAATCAATCAATCAATCATCATCAAGTGGTGACGGGAAGTTCCTTATTATTTTTACTTCTGGGGATTGCATTTATTCCTACATTTTTTTAAATTAATATGTGGAGATTTTCCTGCTAAACCAAACGTCTTAATCATAAAAATGTGATTACCACAGATCTTATTTTCTGAAATCCAATGAAAAAATCCCATTGGATTTTTGTCGAGGGAGCCCTTGGCCCTTGCGATGCTAACTTCAGGGTCAGCCTACAAATATACGTCATCACTGCACTGCTCTTTCATCAGCCTGGCTGCTGTTGTAGAACATTTTAATTAAAAAAATAACTAAACGGTTGCATTCATCACCTACTTTGATGTATACAATTCAGTCAAAGCAACATAAACACGTTGCTAAGAAATGTCACGAAATCGTCAGGAAACAAGAACACACAAAATCAAAAGCAGACCAGTGTATCTAGATATAGATCAATGTTTAGTTAATAGAAAACAATCCACACAGTGATCAAAAGATGTTTCCTGCTGATGTTCGCCCCAAGGTCAAGCACTGCTGCACGAGGATAGGTGGCGCTATGCAAGTCGTAAACACAGGAGATCATAGCAAACTTCTGACAGAACTGTACAATAGACCATCAACGTACCCATCCAAAAACATATGGAGTTTTCAGTGATGGTTTACAGACATAAGTACACTTTGTGTGAAATATTCAGCGGAATAACAAAGACAGGTCACTGGGTTTCATGCATTAGGATCCTGGACTACAGAGGATCTAAACTGGAAGCACAAATGACTTTGGGGCATGTCTATTCAGTACATCATAATACGTTTACATACATCACTGAAATAAAACGAGCATTACATAACAGAGTATTATTGCCACATTTTTTTTTCTTTCCAAGATTATTACGGCGATTATGAGCACAAGCCAAACCGAGCACGACATGTGCATCAGCCAAAGACATTTGAGCTATCGAGTCCCATAACAGTCTGAAATCTATTCAATAATTTAGAAATTCAGCAACCCAACGCATCCACTCGGAGTTCTGCCAAATGAAATAAGCTGCTTTATGTGCTTTCTGCTTCCAACCCTGCTAAACGTTATATCGTTTAAAATAGGAAGTGTTGGATGAGGTAAATAAGAGTGTCTTTTCTCTGTGTTCAGACACATGCTGAATGTATATATATATATATATATATATAGAAACAAAACAAAACCAATAAAACTATATATAAATCTGTTTAAACATCCAAAAGCACAGTTTACCCTTTGATTTCCCTGCAATGGTTTCATTATAGAAGTATTGTTCCTCAAAGGAAATGATCTGACACATACATCAAAATCAACAGATGCATTATTACCATCAGAATAAATACAGCACTCATTTGGCAAATATAGGAATAATATCGAGCTTATAGAGACAGAATCTCAGTAAATAAAGAACCATATTTACAACAGTTTGTTTTCGAAGCAGTCGACTTTGGGCTTGGTTAAATCTTTAAAAAAATAAAATCCAGCTGTCACTACATTAGACCAGACAGGCGGAGGCTCTAGCGCCCTCTACCTGCAGTGTGCAGTAAAATAAACTCTCCTACGCATGAGCATACCCCCCCACTGCTGAGGGCCCATCAGACATATGCCTTTAACCTACAAGAAATACATCTCTCTTTCTATAATCATCTTTTCAAAGGAAACCTGTCTTATCCTGTGAGGTCTCTGGAAGCTGATCTGAGGTCAGTAGAAAAAGGAAACCACATCACAGTAGCTTTAAATTGTAGGGCATGCATGTTTTTCCCCCGAATAAAAAATCGATGTGTCTCCCATGGTGTTATACGGTAGATTTAAACACTGTGGCCCAGGGACACGACTACATACACAAAGAGATTTTGTGTTGATGTGGAAGAACTGTGAGTGAATTACTCATGTTCTCCTCCTTTCTGCTTCCTCCCTCTGGAAGTACCTGATTCTTTCTCCTGCTCCTTCATCATCTGCTCCTATCGTCTTAGCTGGAGTGTTTAAAAGGGAGTACAGACACGACACAAACACGAGGAAACTTGAGGGACGTAAAGTGTGCACCACACTGAACACAGGACTTCTAAACTGACATGCTTTGGTCCACTAAGAAGAATAAGTGCTGTGCAGTTCTAAAAAACTGATTTGTGATTCATTTGTACCGCTTTGCTCAGATTTCCTGACTTTTCTGTGTGTTTGACCACGGGAGTGTCCTCAATCTTCCTCTCTGAGTGTGTAGGAGCCAGGCGCTCTTCCACAGGCCCTCCTGCGGCCCCCGCTCCATCACGAAGCCTCGCCGCCTGCCAGTGTGTGTCCGAACCTCCGGACCTCGCGTCGGGAAAACACACCCGGAGCTCGACACATGGACCGGAGCTCGGCGAAGATGCAAATTTAGATTCCCTTGGTGGTTGGTGTCCGTGTTGAATTCTGCGGGGAAGAGAGTTCTGCTTTTTGTCTCATTGATACGTCATGTTTTTGGTGTTAATGAGTTGTTTACAGCGGGCCGTACTTGGCCTCGTATCGGGTCAGGACGGTCTTGCATCGTCCGCAGTCTTTCCGCAGCTCGGACACTTGCTGCCGCAGCGCCGCGTTCTCCCGCTCCAGGAAGGAGGCGCGCACCGTGATCTGGTTCTCCTTCAGCCGCCGCGCGTCACGGGAACGCTTCGCCGCCACGTTGTTCTTCTTCCTCCTGGACCAGTATCTGTCATCCTGCGGGGAAACGAGAGAGAAAGTGAGCAGTAGAGTTGATATTAGCAAAGGGATTTGAAACAAACGAACATCTGTGTTGTGAAAACATCCCCCCCTTTCTTTGATCTCTAATCCACCGCTCTGTTAGCAAACGCTTTAATCTTCACCATGCAGGACGAGACCACCGAGACCCCCTGAGTCACACTTAGCTGTCCTTTTTGGTGTAAAAGATTATGTCACCATGCTTCTAAGTATGTGTATGGTGATATGTATAATCAATCAATGTGTTACTCATGTGAAATGCAATGTATACATGCTGCTCGAACACAAGCATTTCCAAAATTTGGATCATTAAACAAAATTTCAACAAAATTGATCTTAAATAAAAATAAAATGAAATAATGTCAACATATTGTTTTTAAAATGGTGTTATTATTATATTATATATATATATATTATATTAAAAATACAAATTGTGCAGCCACTATTATTTACATTATTGCTTTTAAATGTAATTAAAAAAATGTGAGTACTTTGTTTATTGAGTATTGTTACTCAATAGATATATGTTTGTAATGTTGAGATATGTATAGATGTAATGTTTATGAGTATTTTAAATGTTTGTTAAATGCATTGTTTACATGCTGCTGTAACAAAAACAATTTCCCAAATTTGGATCAATAAAGTAAAATGATCTAAAATGATTATTTCTAGGTCTCACAGTCGTCAGCTTTGGTATGAATAAACGTGTTTTCTTTATATAAATACGCCTACCTTCTGCTCGTTGGGAACAAACACTTTCTTGGCCTTCTTGATCATGGGCTGGGGCTTCAGCTCCTCTTCGGAGAACTTGTGTTTGCGCGGGTTGAACAGCTCCCCCCCCGGCACGCTGGACAGAACCAGGTCCGTGGGGTCCGGCTGGAAGTTAATGTCCACCTCCATGGCCTCGGGGTCCACGGGGGAGGGGGTGCGGCGCTCTGCAGGGTACCGAGATACAAAGTTAGCTTGGATATAAAAGAGGACACTCCAATAAAGCAAAATACTACATATATGGCAAATCAGGGGTTACCTGTCCGATCCCACCCCCTGCATACATGTCAAAGTGTGTCCTTGGGGATCATCAATGGTTTCCATAGGTCTAAGGTAGTGCAGTGTAAGACTCAGCCAGACATCATGGAACAATACTGTAGGTGCCATAACGCCACTTAGCCCAAGTTCATTATTTGTATTATTATTATTTGTTTACGTCACTTTTAATTGTTTGTTGAGCTTACGGTAATTGTCACATGGGTGTGGTTTGGTTATATAAGTCACCTGTTTGATGTTGAGTGCGGATGACAGAGGGTTAGCTTGTGCTGTCATTTTTTCTGTTGATCTATTGTTGTGTTTAAGCATTGTGTGTATAATCTTCCTTCTCCCTTGTTAAGTTTTTAAGTGAGGTGAATAAATAGAGTAACCTGTATAGTGAATGTAATGAAGTAAAAAGTACCATATTCACTTCTAAAATGTTGTGTAGTATCGAGTAACATAAAAAGACGATAGAACAAGTACCGTAAAATTGTACTTGAGTAAACGTATTTCACTGCTTCCACCACCAGATGTTTATATAGTCAATGTGACTTGTCAAGTATTCTCACGAGAACTCACCAACAATATTCTGGGTAGTGAAAGTCAAACAAAGTGAGCTTTGTTGAAGGCAGAAGACAAACTTTGTAATTTTGTTTGCACACTCTGTGTCTTTTGCTCATAGATTGTTCAACAGGGAATGTGTTTCTTTCTCAAGATAGCACTGTAAATGTCTGCTTTTAGTCGCAGGGTCCTACACAACAGTGATGTGCAATAGACCGCACGCTGGCCATGAGACAAACACAATAAGAGCTATAGCATGAGCTCAAAGGTCTGTGACCTCATGTGTAATGTTAGTTTATGTTATCCCAGCATCTACAAGACAAGAGCGAATAAGACACTACCGCACCTATACAAAGACACCTAAACAACTACATAGAGCTGAAACAAATGATTGCTGTTAGTCACAGAACTTAAAGAAGACATATAATGCTTTGTCTGAGGTTCATATCAGTATGCAGTGTCTCTCCTGGGACATGTCTCCATGCTTTAATGTTCAAAAAGCTCTTTATTGTTCTCATACTGCCTGTGCTACCTCTTTTCACCCTCTGTCTGAAACCAGAGCCCAGTCTGCTCTGATTGGTCAGCTGGCCGGCTCTGATTGGTCAACAGCTTAGAGATCCCTCGGCGCTTAGCCTATCACGTACAATGTGTTGGAGTGCTAGCCAATAGGAGCGCCAGTTTTACAAAGTGATGTCTCTTTGTTCCTGAAGTAAACAAAGGAGTCCAATGGAGGCGTTTCAGGTAAACAAGTCATCACAACATAAAATATAACGTGTTAAAAATGTCTATGAAAGGATGAAAGGTGTCTAAGTGGCTAAAGGAAGCAAAGGAAGTGTATATCCAAAAATAAAATACAACATCTCTATTTCTCACCTGTTTTTTTCTCTTTCACTTCCACTTTGACTTCCTGACACAACGTCTCCTCCTCTGGTCCTTCCTCTTCCCCTTCCTCCTCCTCCTCCTCCTCCTCCTCCTCTTCCTCCTCTTCTTCTTCTTCTTCTTCCTCTTCTTCCTCTTCTTCTTCTTCTTCTTCTTCTTCTATCTTTGCCGGTAGTAGCGTAGTGACCGTCACCGGCTCCTCTGGCTCTGAGGTGACAGTGGAGGTGGCGGAGGCTGAGGGGGAAGACGCCGAGGCGGGGACGGGGGCGACGGCAGGAGTCGTGGTCGTAGTAGAAGAAGCTGTTGGAGTAACCTTGGGGAGGAATTTGGCTTTGATTCCCACGGAGGCTAAAGTCTTCTGCAGCTCCTCCTCCTCCAGGGTCGCAGGGATCCCGTTCTCCAGGAGGAACTCGTCCAGGTCCATGTACTCCAGGTGGAAGGTCTCCCCATCGTAGGGAATGGTCTTGTCCCAAATGGCAGGGGTTAAGGAGGCTGAAACACCTCCACCAGCACCTGCAACAACAACGCTTCCTTCTCCTCCTCCTCTTCCTCCTCCTCCTCCTTCTCCTCCTCCTCTTCCTCCTCCTCCTCCAGCACTGGCTGCTCCTGCCCCGCCTCCATCCACAACGGAGCACAGCTTCTCCTTCTCTATTTCTGCAATAACACAAGAGGATAATAATTAAATGGCTGCGTGAAAGGGTTCTTTGTGCGCACAATGACAATTTTTCACTTTATAATTAATACCAATATTGGCTGCTATCCTTCAGTTCAACAGTAATACATCTGTAAATAACTCATATAATTGCAATACTATCACATGGCTGTAGGGCTGCTCAATTAATCGTTTTTTTTTTTCATCGCAATTACGATTATGGCTTGCAACGATTATTATTACTTCTTTTTTTTCAACTGTTAAAAACATACTGTTCAAAAAAAAATTCTCAAAAAAATGGATGTTTTCAAAGTAAATGGATAATCGTTTTTAATAATCGTGATATCAATTATTGACTCAAATAATCGAGATTATGATTTTTGCCATAATCGAGCAGCCGTACATGGCTGATATCACACCCTATACATGCTACACTTATAGTGTTACTGGAAGTGGATGTGTATTTTGAAATGTGTGTAATTACTATTTTTATTTTAGATATTTTATGCATGCCTCTTAATTATTATTTTGGATATTGCTCTTTATTATTGCTGTTGCAATGTAAATGTCCCCTCTGTTGGACGAATAAAGGTATTCTGATGGTGATTTGGAGAGGATCAGACAGGTGAGGAGAATCCCTTTGCATATGATGGTGAAAAAGGGGGCGTGGTGGCAGTGTCTGAGAAAAAAAATTGGCTTCATCAAAGACTGTGTGAATGAGTTTGAAAGTGAAATCCTAGACTAAACGCTAAACACTAAACAAGGCTTTGAGGAAACCAGCATTAGACGAGGAAAGGCACAGGAAACAAACAATGAGCACCGCTTTCCCCACACATGCACCACCTCACACAAAACACCACCACACACACTGCTGACCCAATTACACACCAGACTAAAATGTCTAATCAAAAAGCCAACATCTCCCTTTTCTCCATGGTTTCTTCACAGTGTGTGTGCGATGCTTGCAGGGCATTAGAAAGGAGTTAGAACTTGTTGTTCTTTTTTGTATACAACTGGCACCGTGCAACATATAGGCTTCAGTATGCAGTGAGAATCCTAATGTGGCCTGATTATTTCATCCTAATGCAAATAAACAGCCCTTTGCATGGATTTGTGCACAAACAGTTAGGTTAATAGGGTCAAATCCGTAGACATAAACAAAAGGAGCGCTCGTTTTTGTTTCTTGTTGCATTTCGATCTTACCGTCCTCGCCTTCCTCCAGGATGTTAGGGGGAGGAATGTCCATGATCTTCTTTAAAACAAAAGGGAATGATTTCTGCGGAGCCTCTGGAGCCTTGTTGCCCCCAGGCTTCAGCACAACTGTCACCGCAGCTTTGCCAGACATTGTTCCCTGACAGGGGGCGACGTTCCACCAGGCGGGATGCGAAAAACGCAAAAAAATATCCGCTATGATCCACCACTAAGTGCTGCTTTCAGGACTGTTTGTTAATATAAAACAATTTAAGGATGCAAAAACAAACACTACACAAGCCCCTTGTTCTCTGTGCCCACCGAGCGCACTCATTGGATATTCATTAGCTGCAAGCCCCGCGCACTCGAGCAATAGTAGAAGCCGATTGGTTCGCAGTGCTGCCCATGTTAATGTGTATTACAGTGTATTGCATTGTTGCTCTTCTAGAAAGACATTGAGGCTGAAACATATTTCCTCAGTTCAACAATTGTGCCACAGAGCTGGATTCAACTCAAAGCAATATCAATACACGTTATTCATTTAGTGTCAATCAAAGCTGGAGTATTTTTGATAGAAAACATTTTGTAATTTCAAATTATTTGACTTATTTATGTTGCTTGAATATAACCGTACTCTGTTGTTAATGATTGTTTTTTTGTCAATACATTTTATTTGTATTGTATACTGTATTTACACCATGCAATGTTATTGATTGAAAGTAAGTGGCTCAAAGGCTAAGGCTTGCAAATGACTCGATTAATAGGCTACAGTTTAATAAACTTCTTTGTCTGTAGCGTGGTTGTACATCAGAAAATCCTCGACATGGAAATTAATATATATATAAAACATGTGCAGCCATCATTAACATCTTTAAATTAGACTCATACAAGCTGCAGAAAAGCAGCCTCCAACGGAAGCAAACTACATCTCCCATGAGCACACTTGTGTCATGACAACACGTTAAATGGCACATATGCACTCGTTCACCCTTGATACACCCTAATCAAAACAACGAAGTCTTTTTGTCACTCGCACATCCTCCAAAAAGAGATACTCGTTGCAGAACACGTGCCCCCGCCCCTCGTGCTCACTTGAATGTACAATCTGTCAGGGGGCGTGGCTTCCGATATCTGGCACATGCTGGCACGAACTGGAGCAGGCATGGCATCCAGAGGTAACAGAGTTCTTCTGCCTAAAAAATACCTCCTGTAACCACCAAGTGTCTCATTTTCTAACAAAAATATCATATTTCGACCAAATGTTTCCAAAATGATAAATAACATTCAATTTAATACATGTGTCAATCCACATTGTTATTGCCATTATTATGCTATTAAATCTTGCATCAAAAGCTCCCAGTGCAACAACAAAATATGACATGTACGTGCACATCCCTCGCAGCAGGATGTTTGGCTTCAGGAACACCATGTTCTTTTATGTTTGTCTACAGATTCGCGAGTCACCACCCTGCAGCAGTTTAAACACAGAGGGGACTGAAGATCTCACTGTGTTTTGTCAACACTCCTCTCTTATCTATTGATGAATGTTAGACAGGTAGAGAAAATACCAGCATCTTTACATGGTGGTGAGTTGGTCCTACTTGAGCAACTTCTAAACATGTGCAAAATCTTGTTAAACTCCATGCAAATGTTTTTTGGGGGCAATTATCCCTTGATTTGATCATTTAAGAGTAGAGGAATCGGGAATATATAAAGTGATTGCAAACATTGTCTTTTGAGTCAACCATGTTACATGTAAGGCTGTTTACAACCTAATACTGTTAGACCCTTTGACACACTAGGTCATGATTTTAGAAATACTGAGTCATAAGTGTAGTGCGAGTCCCCAAGGCCGTACCACACACACACACACACACACACACACACACACACACACACACACACACACACACACACACACACACACACACACACACACACACACACACACACACACTCACACACACACACACACACACACACACACACACACACACACACACACACACACACACACACACACACACACACTTGAGACAACCACTTAAAAATAACGTGCTGAAGAAGTATGTAGTATACAGTGTAACTTGTACATGGCCGAGGCTCCAAAGAAGTAAAACAACATCTCAGATTCTTCTTAAATGTTGAATCTCAATCCCAACATGTCTTACCCGGGGCCTATACTATTAACCCTGCCCTGAAGGGCCCTTGAGTGTTTTATAGAGTGGTATTCAAATTCTTAATTGGAATACAACGAGTTTATGGGATCATTTAGTCAGTTAATACTATACAGTTTTTATCATTTAAAGATCCATTTGGAGAATAGTAGCATAGTAGGACATAGCGAATACGAGTAAAGTAGTTTGGTTTTCAGTGTTACAAAGGGTCACTGTTTATACATAGACAATGTATGTATGTAGACAGTAATGTTATAGATATGTTACAGTATAGGGGCACCCCTGAGGCCAGGTGGTCCATGTCACCATGTACCAACTTGTGTTTTCCTTTTGTTGCTACTGTCAAATATCAGATACAAATGCCAAGAAACGCAAGAGAGTATTCAAGAAGAACAGGGTGCAAAAAGAGACGAATGATGTGATGAAACTGAGAGTGAGGCTGTTTCAGGGTTGTTACATCAGTTGTTGCAGTTTTTTGGCTGACACACTTTCACTTATAGGCTTAAGGCTGCAACAGGGTGAACTTCAACATAACAGGACCATCGTACTTCAGTAATCAATACAAGTTCCTGACTCCAGCAGAAGGAGTGAATGAGATAGAGAAACCAGAAACCATCTAATCCTATTGTTATGATCAATTTAGCAGTAGATCATACACCTGGATTTAAGATGTCCACTGTAGATCTAATAACTTTAAATACATATATTGGAGTAGTAATGGGACATTTTACTTTAAAAAAGAGCAATGCAAGAGTGTTTGATTGTTAAAATACTAGTCATGCATTCTTAATTCTATTCAGTAGTACTTTTGCAGAGAAACTACTTTAGGTATCAGAAGTACAGTACCCATTAGCAGCAGAATGGACACTGATTGGATTGTAATCAGCGGTGATGTGTGAAGTGGTCAAGCTAAGCTTATTTTAAGGATACAAGGTTCATTTATGTATATGTTATTACACAGATGCAATGCAGTTATAATCATATTTGCTACATAAAGTTAAGAAAGGCAGAAAACATGTGTTATCTCTTCAGCTAATTTATATACTACTAGTTTATTATTTGTAAATTAATATGTTTAGTCACATCAATGCAGTGGAGTAGTGCAATATTAGCTTTAGTTGGCTATAGTAGCATATAATGACTCAATACCCAAATATTTAAGTAGAATAGTAGATTCAATTTGCACATACAAACTATATAATACCAAGTACAACGCTTTGACACGTTTAAAGTATGTTATTTTTCTCAATTAAACAATGGAAAAGAGATTTACCGGTGTCCACAAAGTCAGCAAAGCAGAAGGGATATTCAGCCAAGGATTTGAGCAGATCTGGCACTTCGTTCCTGTCTCCGAAGAAATTGTGGCTAGTTGTTGACATGATGAGCAACGGGTGAAATATCTTCTGAAATCTAAAAAGCGTCCAACAGAGTGAGAGTCCCTCAAACTATGAGTCAGCAGCAGATTTCAGTCACTTAACCAACTTTCTAGCAAGTCATATCACGGGGATTCATGCATGTGTCCAAGCAAAGAGCGAGGGGAGCTACGCCCCCTCTGGACCACGCCGATTGGATGACAGTGGTGCACGGCTCTGTCAGTCACACCGCGGAGCCAATGAGAGAGCACGGGGCGGGCTCTAACATGAACCTAACAACAACACCGCTCAGCTGAGAACATTTGTTTCCATGCACGCACGGCAGCATGTGTACGGAAAGTCTGAAGTCTCGAGGCCAGCTGCACGCGAGCTCCAGCGCCATCTAGTGACCTAAGAGTAATGCAGTAATAAAACATGGATTTAAAGCAGAAGTTTGTATTTATTTTCAGCTGTGAAGAAGTATTCACCTTTAACTGCTTGGTAGCTTATCCAATAAAAACAACCATAATCAGGCTGCACAATCAAGGTTTAAACCCCCGCAAAAAGTATTTTCTTGCAATATAATATGCATGTTTTGTTTGTTTTTATTAGCATTTCCAGTATAGTTAATATCTATTTTGCATGTTTATTAATTCAAACTAATTGTTTTTAGGGTGTTCATCTGTCAGCCTGTGGTGCATTTCTGTTGAATAAACTAATAAATAAATCAACCTGCCCCATATGTTTCTTCCTACTTTGCTACTGTGGATTTGCACAGTTGCACATATACTTTATATGTTTATCTTATATTTGATAATTATTTTTTATATACATGCTGTTTTATACAGTCTTACCATATTATTTTGTTATTTCAATGTAAACTGTTATTATTCCTGTGTGCTCTCTCCTGCCCTATGCTCGGTTTCCTTTGTGTCTTATTGTCGTTGCTGCCTCGCCCATTGAATTGTCCTACAGTGATTAATAAAAGGTTTATTTGATCTAATCTTAAATCCGAATCTTTAGCTAAATAACTTGTAACAAAAAATGCATTTGGTGAAAAAAGTACAAGATTGCTCCTGTACTTCTACTCCGTATACAGTTCGGATTACCATCACATAAAAATACATGGTTGACCATGTTAACCAGGGTGACCCGGTTGTGTGAGTACTTGTCTCTGTTACTTTCCACCACTGGTAGCAATACCACACTGAAAATATTCAATGCATTACAAGTTAATAGTTCACAGGTCTAACAAAAGAAACAGTGCAACATAACGTTTATTTTTCATTTACTTGAAACATCTTGTCAGTCCCAGAGTTAGGGTTAGATTCATCAATGTTGCAACACCAGACTGTGCCGATGGTTAGTTTGAACCACAATAACAAACACATTAAAACACTAAATCAAAATTATACAACCCAAAAACACGTGTTGGTTTTGTTACATGGCTTTATTGAGACTTTGATACACATAATCTCCCAGTCTGAACGCACTCTTGATAATAAAACTCCCTTTATTAACAGGACACAACATAAGGGACAATAACTAAACAACTCAACACATTTGTGTGAATTTCACATTAGTTTGAGCAAAGAAAAGGCTGCATGTATGGATATGATCCTTTTTGAATATTCTGGTGTGTGTTTGTATCTGCTGTGTCGTTTTTACAGTGGCACCAATATGAGCCTTACTTCACAGCACTTTCTTTACTGATGTTTGATTGAACAGACACGCGCAAAAGTGGCTCTCAAAACAGGGATAAGAAACATCTAAAAATAAAATATTTACCATTTTGAAATTAAGGGGTTTATGGCATGTTTGAAAGGCTCTTCTGGCAGTGCCATTTTTAACACTGATAGTTTGATTTGGTCATGTTGAATAAAAAGACAGGCTAGTTTGGCAGTTAAGGCTCATAACGTGAAATAGATCTACTCAGTCCTGAAGTAGAAAGTTGAACTTCCCGAAGTCAAACTCGTCGGGCATGACTAGCATGTCTTCTCTGGCTTTGGCTAGCTTCTGCCGCAGGAAGTCCCGCCTCTCGGTCCACTCCTGCAGCTCCTGCATGCTGTGGGCGAAGTCGCAGCTCACGCCTTCAGGACAGCCACCATCCAACCTGTCAAACATGAACATCACAAGCTGTAAACATCGACTAAATACACACTTCTAAAGTTGATTATTTACACTTCAAGCAGACACAGCGACATTAGCACTCATTTGAAACCAAAAATCAATAATTAATCTTCTTTAAAGAGGCCCTATTATGCTTTTTGGGGTTTTCCCTTTCATGTAAATGGTCTGCAAAGGCTAAAATCCCTGTGTTCCCTGCTGAGGGAGTTTCTCTCCCACACACTCCCCCTCCTCCCTGCCTGAAACACCTCCATTGGACTCCTTCGTTTACTTCCATAACATAGTGAAAGGACTAAATAACACTTGTGCTTCTATTTAGATCTTTAAGCTATTGACCAATCACAACAGAGCCGGCCAGCTAACCAATCAGAGCAGACTGGGCTCTGGTTTCAGACAGAGGGTGAAGAGAGGTGCTGCAGTACAGGCAGTATGAGAAAAATGCATGTAAACATCTCACAGTAGAGACACTAAATATATATGAATATGAACCTGAAAATGAGCATTAGATGGCTTTTTTAAGTATAAGATCTGAATACTTCTTCCACCAATGGGTCCAATTCAAAAACTGATCCAGGGTCAGTGGTCTTACTTGGGGCAGAGGTCAAAGCAGGGTCCAGGGAAGCGGTAGTTCCAGGTCAGAGCCTCCTCTTCTCCCTCGCAGCTGAACACTCTGTCTTTGTGCTTCTCAGACGAGATGTGCTGCTGCCACTGCCGCTCGCCGTTACTATGCCGACCACACAGACGGCAGTACAAGCCAGTCTGAAACACAAAGAGGAGGAACCATCGTCATGTGAAACACTCAACACGTGGACCTTTTTTTTTTTGGTGGCAATGCTCGAAAATCAAATGTGAACCCACCATTGGCTCAGCGTAGTCAGTCGGCATGACGATGTACTTTTCCTCTGAAGTGGACTGAGTGAACGCGGCTCCGTTTGCTTGGTGGTTGTTGGCAGTTAATGACAGCCACATGTCGTACATCTGTTGCATGTCGTGCACTACAGGTACAAATACACAGATCTGTGGTCACTTTGAGGATGTTCAGTGGGAAGCAGACAACAAATCAAGGCCCAAAGGAATGATCGGGCACAATGCTATTTAAATGAGATAAGAAATTATAGTTACACACGTTTTCAGCAAACATTTGGACCACTTATCTTAAGTCAGTCAAAATGAAAAACTAAGTTAAAAGCAATTTCTATTATCTATTCAGTTTTAACTATATAGTCTCCA